TTCTTTCGTCTTCAGGGAGTCTCGGGACGCTACAATGTAAACAGCAGTCGTTATTAATACCCGGGACTTGGAAAAGCAAGCGTCGACTTGGTATTGCTGTCGATATTTTAAAAGACAAACCCCTAAGCAGGTGCAAATTTTAGACAAAAGTAATGTATCAAGCTTGAAATTAACAGCCGACTGCGGTTTTTTTTCTTTGGTCTTTTTCATTTACAGGTAAACCTCTTTGGCAGTGGCTAAAATCGCATTACAGCGATTTCGACCTGACGAAAAAATGGTTGTTTGCAAGTGGCAAGGAGCTATATTTGTAGAAAGCGAAGTTCTGGTTTTTATTCAAATTACCTACAACCCTTCAGATTATTCAGAGCGGTTACTTTATCTTTGTGGTCAGTTGATTGCCGGAGGTAGTGCTCTAGCCTGTGGGATATGTTTTGCATTTAAAGCGATATTCACTTTACTTGTTTTTTATGAAGCACTTATTGTGCAGCGGTGTTTTTGATAAGCACTTTGGGTGTGGCGTAATTGGACTTTTTCACTTCCTCAAAATATTACTTCAAAATTCAGGCAAAGATGACGACTGAAATGAAAATTATTTATCAATTATAAGTTAGGCACTTCCTGTGTATCAAACATTAGACTGGGGTATCAATGTTTTAGTTGTGTTTTGTAGTTGTGCTTTTATTCCCGCTACTTACGTAGTTTATTAAACCGTTGTAATTCCACGTCTTTACTTTTACTGGTTTTGCTGAATGCTCCGACGTTAAGAAGTTGGGTAACCCATTAATATGGATAGACCTGATCCGTTTTACGTTGTGCGCGATGAAATAGTCAAGTCTTTGGGCCAGGCAAAGGTGGAATTCGATGCATGGAAGCATGAAGTTGTTTCAGAATCAACTAACATAAAGACCGCCGAAACTGCGTTGAAAGAAACCATCAGAAACATTGATTGGGATCTTGAAGACCTTCAGGTATTTTGAAGTAGCTTCTGTAAATTGTGCTTTGTCTTAAGATTGAATGAACCGCATTGTACTGATCTGTCTTAAATTAAGTTTCGTTTTCAATTAATTTTTGCTTTGGGGGTCGCCAACTATCAGTAATTTAGCTCTGAACTACAAGCTCGCTTCCCACTACCTTTTAATATTGAGTATACTGCTTAAAAGTAGTTTCACAATGGTTGCAGTACGGCATATGATGTCATAACTGCTTTCGCATAGGTAAACCTGTGGCGTATTGAATTACTCATGGTGTCCGTAGTCGCTTCATTGAATTTAATCGGCTTTATCCTAGATATCGACTGCCTATTTACGCTACTTTACCGGATAAAGCGAGCTATTACCGTTGACAAGTACTCAAAATACTCGTTTGATTAGCATATTTACGGGTGCTTCTTACTCATCTTACAAAATTCCTGTTTATCATCGATTGCATTCATTTATGAGTCGTAAAGCTTCCGTTTTTTTCGGTCTTACACAAAGGAAACAGTTCAAATTGTGGAAAGAAACCCATCTAAGTTCCGTATAAGTGTCGAGGAGCTGCGATCACGCCGGCACTTTTTGCAGGAGGTGAAAACAGTTGTGAAAAATGTTAAGGACCAACTCCATCATCCGGATGAGCTTCTAAATGGAAATAGTAGAAACATCTATTTCGATGTGGCGACGGCAAACAAAGCGTCATCCGGTGCTATTAATGGTATCGATGTCAAAAATCCTCCTAGTTTTCCGCAAGTTCCTCTTTCATTTTTTTATTGCTTGACTAGTTGGATATGTTGAGTTTAACAACTATCTTATCCATTCATTCATAACCATTGATAGCTTTCTTGCGCCTGACTGGAATACATGTTTTTAAAGTCATACGAACAGTTTACTTAATAATTTAAGTAGAAACCTTTGTCACAAAATGGCTTAGTATGTGTGAAACAATAAGAATTTATTCACACAAGCGTCTTTTATTTATCATAACTAAATGGCTATCGTGTAACTTTTGTAGCTATTGCCACGATAAAAGCAAAATATACACTATTTATTTGCTTGTAGAGCATAGGCTTTCGGGTACTATTGTTGCACAGATTTATTATTTTTAACCTTGTAGGCATGATGCTTGTTTTTAGTCTCACGTTTCACAGTCTTCAATTTCTGTTGCTTTTGGACTAGGGATCTTGGGTGTATCTTCTTACAGAAGAATAGCAGTTAATGCACGTCTAGAGACTAGAAGCAGCACTTTGACATTGTGCTGCTTTACATACTTTTACTTGAACTTACAAGTTTAGGCCATATTAGCTAATCAGAACTAAGTTCTGCCCATGAATTGCAATCTTATTCAAATCCGTTCGGTAGGTGAAGTAAAGTTTGAATTTAGATGCAATCCTTGTGCTGCTTTCACGTTTGTGCTTGCTGACAACGAAGGACAGTAATCTAATGGATGCTTCTGGAAACGACGGCTTTCGGATCTAAGTCGCTATCGTAGATGATTAATAGGAAGCTTCCCTACCGGAATACTTTCTTAATCCCTGTACTTATTGACGTCTGAACATAGAATGCAGCGTGTAGTGATTCATAAGGCTTTAAGAGTGTTTCTTAATCAATTACGAAGTTATTAAAAGACATGATTCGATTTATTCCATGGAGTACTGCAAACACTTTTCAGTTTTGTGTTAGAGGATTTACTAGCCCCTAAAACAGATCCGTCTCATTTGATTGAATGCATAATGACCAACACTATGAAGTTTTACATCTACTTTGGAAGTTATTGAAACACTATTTCCCCTCTCTTCCCAGGATGTATTCTGACCTTAGAGCGTTTCGTCCATCCTGACCGTACTTGTTGATCTTTTTTATTCCGGCTCCACTACCACTCAGCCACGCAGTTTATTATCCCACAGTGATGCGGAGCTGCACCAACACAACAGCTGCTCGTATGCGAATAGGCCATTTCTCACCGAATGCCACACACTACATCGCGACAGCCGTTGGTAGCTGTAAGCGGCTGTTTTCAACTTATCTGCTAACGAGGCATCCATTTTCCACATACCCCTTTGAAGTGTCTCCAGGTGGTATTGAACCCCTTTGTGGTGCTCAGGCATTTCGGAGCCTCCTCCGCTTAAATCATATGTCGTAAAATCTACGTTACTGCTTGATTCATCCTGGTTTTGTTGTGGAGATAGAAATCACGAATTCAGCACTCACCCATCGTCAATTGAAATAGCTTTTGTTATCATTTTCAAAGTTTTATTTACAAGCCTTACTCACGAATTGTACTGTCTTACAGTTGAACAGGACTCTCGGAGAATTCCGGCTCGCTCATATCCATCTTTCTGAATTCTTGTTCGGTCAGTTCATAAAACAAGCCCCCAATGCAATTTGAAGTCACATTTGCGTTGTTTCATACCTCGGATTCTTTGACTGCAGTATGTGGTGTTGCCGATCTTTTTTAGACCGAAACGTAGTTTTGTATACGAACAATCATACAATCCTTTACTCTGGCTTTCGACAGTTCTTCAGTTGACTTATTTCTGCAACAGCTTCGAAAAGTAAACATTTAAAACACTACTTCTCTACCACTGCACTCTTTTCTCTATATAAGTTTCTAGAAAATATCCCATCTTACACCCAGTTTACTGAAATTGCTCATGCTGTTTCACTTCGTGTTTTAATCAGTTCATCCTTAGTTTTACATTTGCAACCAAGGCGACGCGGCGGCTGATGCTACTTGTCTGTAGTCAATCACGCTCATCCTATCCCGGTCTTCTTCCATGGCTTCCGGTCTATCCTCATCTCGAAACTTCAAGTTAGTTAAGACGCACTAAATTGGACTCTGTTTAGTGACGTTTACTGCGCATTACCAAGCGCAGCCCCAATGCTACCTCATGCAGCCAAATTCAGGCCTATTTATGGGTAACCATAGCGTGGTGTTTCAAACCTCATTGATGCCCTAGCACTCGAAAGTATCTGACATTAATTTCCCGCAGTCTCTTCCTAATCATTCCCGTACTCCCGGTGATGCTCCCGATGTGGCCATCATTAGCAAAAAGTGATTTGCCTTTTTTTCGTTCCCTTTTCAGCATATTTGTAGATTAGGTGCAAATTCACGTGAAATGTCGATATCGTTTTGAGAAGATTTCGGTATTTGGCGGTGGTGTTTAGCAGACAGCTGCAGAACACAACAGCTCCATGAGAAACTGACTGCCTATTTCAGGATTTGCGTGAATTATTGAGGGAATATTTATATCCTTTCCACTGTTATCGTCCTTCACGCCCTCATAGTTTGCCCCCGCTACTATCATACGTGAAATCAGGCCTCCTAGTAGTGGTTCCCACATTTTCAGCATAAACTGACACATCATCTATTAACGTTAAAATGCAGTGCGTGTACGTGTGCAAGACGTTGAACTCCTTGTCATTTAAATGCATATTTCACTTCTCCCTTTTACAATTCTATGATGTAAAGTGACCGACTGGTCGTCTGTTTCATCAGGAAACATTTTGCAAGCAGCACTAGTTAGCAACCACTGCTATTTCCACTTTTTGAATAGACTAGCCATTTTTTATTGATTCAGGAAATCACTCAAACACCCTTTGTCCTTCTTTCTAATCCAATGGGTTTCCCCAGGAATTACTATTGAGTCCATTACATAACTGAATCATCCTTCGTTAAGCGGCTGAAAATCTTTTCACCGGTCTTGTTGGATAATCGCAATTAGACAAAAAGAGCACCACATGGCTCTACTAGTCACGTAATATGATAACATTTGGGGACTGATGGTCTTTTGGTTTTTATGGCACGTAGTATTTTTCTGCACTTTTTCAACCGAGTTGCATTACCTTGTTGACACGGCAAATTGAACACTTGGTTTTTATGGTTAAGCTGGTGGAAAAGCTGTTCGAATCCCTGTGAAAGTGCAAACTGATTCAATAAGAATTTGTCTCCAAAACGGCCAACGCACTGTTTTTGTATGATTACACGAGGGCGAATACATCAATCTAATCAAAAGTACGCAAAGTTCACCTATGACCGGAATCGCCTTGCTGTCTCCCTTCATCTCTCCAAAACAAGGTTTTATTGCATATTTCTGCATCTTCCCAAATGTGGTGCTTCATTCAATAGACATCTCCATCGTCTTATTGGTGAGTTATCGTGGCACGTGGCTCCTGTTGTGAGTTCAAACGCTCCAGCTAATTGTCACACCTGTTGCAGCGCTTGAGGGCAACTACTTGAGTATCAATTGTACCCGTCGCCACACCAAGATATGCTTTGGAAAACTGCTAAAATTGGTTGTGCAAGTAAACACAGACTCCATTGAAGCTAACTATTTCGGTTTTGTTCATTCAACTTCTTGCTTTCGGTTTTGCAGTCTGAGCATTTCATATTGTAAAAATTGTGCCTTTGTTTATCTTTTTCACTATGGATGTGAACAGGTCTCTCACGTGTTGACTCATTGTTTACCATCGCTAATACGACTCCCGAACGGTTATTTCGTTTCCTCTTTTCATCTCAGTACAAGTTGTAGGGCGCGCGGACGCCCTGAGAGTCAATCAATACTCACCTTTGCCCAAGCCAAGTGGTCAGGCAGACATGCAAGCGCGCAGGCGCGTAAGCGAGTGGGTGGGTGGGCGGGCACAAGTCCCCACTGCCGCGTTCGAGCCCACTGCGCTCATTTTATGGCACTGTCTACCATGGACGGAGGAGTTGAAGAAGTTAATCTACCTTGCCGTTAGGCGAAACCACATGATAGATTGGACTGTACAACAGTCTACTACATCAGACGATCAGCACACAAAGTGGGCATTAACAAAACTAACCATTTATCAAGTTTACGTCGCATAACTGTCTTGATTTTTGGAGCACGTGGATTTAAGCATCCAAACATGTTTTGCCATTAATAATCAAATTCCCCGCGTTTTAGGTGGTTAGTGTTGTGGTTATCTGTAATTTTTCTACATCTAAATGCAAAGGTAGTACTTCCGTCTCTTATCGGGGCAATTTTAAGGTCACCCCAGAAACGGAATGGCTGCTAATTAGGCTTCAAGTACCAGTCGAGTGGAGGCGGAATTGATGGTCGGTTGTTGTCATTTGAATAGCAGGTCGGCAGCAGAGACGGGAATAGGTGGAGATGGGGGCGAGGGGGGTGGCGGTTTCACAGAGGACTTAAAGTGGCGCAGCGAGCACCCGGGCACAGATGCGCCGGGTCTGTTGGCGGAGCAAGTGGCGCTATTGCGCGAGCAGGACGAGCACCTGGACCAGCTTGGCTCGAGCATCTCGCGACTCAAGCAGATGTCGCACCGCATCGGCGGCGAGCTTGGAGATCAGGTGGCCCTGCTGGATGAGTTCAGTGAAGAGATGACCCACACCGAGTCGCGGTTGGACAACGCCATGCGTCGCGCAGCCCGCCTCCTCCACATCGATTCCTCACGCGCCCAGTGGTTCGTCATAGGCATCCTCCTCCTTACCCTCCTCGTCATTCTCATCCTCTTCGTCATCCTCTGATTTATGCCCAAATACCCTCACCCATCCTGTTGTACGTGAATTCCCTCGTTTATTTTTCGAATTCCTTTCATCGCCTTGTGGTTGTTGTACGGCCGGCCTTCCTCTTGCAGTGATTTCCAACTAACCTAAAGCGTAATTTTTTGGAAAGAGTAGTTTAATTGAGACATTTTTTATTATTACTCTGTATGTCTTGGGAGGTTTTTCTTCGCCCTTTAAATGGTCGTTGGTTAAGTAGAATCTGGATGTTGCATTGTGGAACAAAAGAGGTATAAAGGTAGTTTGCAACGGCTGTAGTGGAACAAGAAATGTGTCATTAGGTAAAGTAGATTTTGATTTTTGGCAATAAGATTTTGCGTACAATCTGTTTGATATTATCTAAAGCACTTCGTCTGATGGAGCCGTTAGTTTTCAGGCGTTTTTCAAGGAGCGAATCTGAGGCATAGACTACGAGTCGATGACTAGGGCGACCGTTTTCATCTTCATGGGTGCGTTTGGGCGGAAATGCGCGAAGAGGATTCATACCTCTTCATCATTTCATTTGATGTCCATGGGTCATTTGTGTTTACTAACGTAATTTGGCTGTCAATCGTGTGTTGCAATCCCCCTCGGCGCTAGTGAGCTGGTTTTCAGTACACGGACAGGAACCCTGCTACAATTTCGGGGGTTCGTGGAAATTTGGACTTGCAAATGGCAACGGTTCTTGTGCTGTTCGATCCATTCCTAGGAATGAAGTACCCGAATTTTGGCCTAGGCAGCAATGACTTTGGCTGTCACGGCGTCACAAATCACAGAACTTTCATGAAATCATTAACTGTAGTACGATATCGTGTGTATGTGGACCATGGAGACAAATGGAAATAGGAGATACTCGGATATGAATTCGGAAGCATATGTACGGAGGAGGATTCTGCGAACTCACTACCGATTAGATATGTCATTTCGTGGTCATTACACTGTTTTAGCGGTCGAAACCTCTGCTTTGTGGCTGTTTTGTCCGAAAACGGTATCTTAAGTGGCACAGTTCATTCGAATGAATTCTAATGTGCACTTAACTTCACTCCCCTTCCCCTCCCCTCCCCCCCCCCACCGCTTTGTTTACCAGATTTCGCAGCGTGGGAACTGATCTTATTCCTACACTTCAAACCATTTGTAGGATTTCAAATTGAACCTAAGGTAGGGTTCGAGTCTGCTGTGCATTTAGCAAAACAGGTGTGCTGAAATTTTTTTAGACGCAAATAAAATCTGAGAACCTTGAAGTATGCAGCCTAATCAAATTTCCTAAATAACTTGTATTCTTACTGTGAAATCTGCAACCCGAGTGGATTCGAGGCAGAGGAGGGGTATCTTGATAGTGCTACAAATCATGGTTGAACATTTATCATGCCTTGTTGTTCAACTAATAACTAATAATCAACTTACAGACTAATCTTTGAACTCTATGGTCTGTCGAATTGAGGGCTAATGAAAAATGTGGTAAGCACAGTCTTTCTGGCAGAAGTGAGAAGACCTTACATCTGCTTTTGGCCGTTTTGTGAGGAATGATCCTGTAGAACGGCATCGCTGCATTCTCGACGTGTTTGCTATCTCTTTCCTTCAGTGATTAGTCATCATTCCTTAAGTGGATATGTCTGAGCAAATCTTCCTTTAATTAACTTTTCCAACAAAGGTAGCTAACACCCATCATTCAAAGTGTAGATAACAATTGGCGCTACGTACACGCCAAATGGTGGATGTGTAGAGCGAAAGGAGGGCAAAAAACAAACTAAGCCCTTCCTTGAAAAGGATAATGGCACACCCAAACGGGTTGATTTTTAAATCAAAGCATAAAGCGTAAAAATCTTGTCTAAGCGGAAAACGAAATGTGGATTGGCATTTTGGCAACCGGTTTGTAGAAGAAATCACAGAGTACTCTGAGTACCCTTAATTCACTTAATTTGCAAATAAACTTAGACAAATTGATGCATTTGGTGCTCCTTCACAGTGGTCCCGAAACAAACGTGAGCAACGTCAATACTGATGCTGCATTCAGATGGTACCCAATCGCCCTGGCATTGCACAACGATTACCCAAATTTGCAGGTTCGGTTTAGGCTCTGAACACAACACACGCAGGTATTTAAGATTGGAGGTACATGAAAAAGGGCTGAAAAAAGGAAAGTAGCATAAGGAAAATACATAATGAGAGAATTTTAATGTGTTCGCAATTTGGACCGTGATGCAGGTTAATTTTATCACCGATTACCTGCATGACCAGCATATCAAATAGCAAGATTTCCATGCCTAAACAATGGCCACGGTTTTCCCAATAATTAGTCAAGACCTTTTTAAACCTCCTTCCCCTTTTTCAATTTTTTCTGGTCATCCATCGGCCAAGTCTCACGTTGTGTTAAGGTGCTCTTAAAATTTTACGTCTGGATCGCATTAATCGTGCTGACTAATTTGATCAATACGGATGTTCCAATTGTCTTCTACCAACAGACGAAATGTCACGATTGATCAATTAGCATTAGCATCAGTTTTACGTCTGAATTTTGGCGGACATAAATGAAAGATTTTATACTCATTGCTCCTTTACGCGGTTTTGTATTTATCAGTGTTTGGGATTTATCGCTGTATTAAACACTACAATATTACTAATCGGCCATTCTTGATCTCTGGTAGAAATACTCAGGTAAGTATTGATAGGAGAAATGAGTCGATTCTGAGGGCAAAGGTGTTTCAGAGTTTTCGATTTTGAGGGGATGAAGAATGTCACCACAGGTGCCGTTTTGATCCTGAAATTTACTTATTGTCGTATTTCCCCTCTTTTTGAGAATGGTCTCGCATAAATTAATCAAAACAAATTAATTGACATTGTCTCGAGGTGATGATAACAAGTCTTTTACAATTTTAATCACCTGCAAGAGTTTCGCACAACAAAGACATGCTTAATTAAGATTTACTTTGAAGTAAATCAAATCCGCAATTCCTGTGTTCCAACTTTTTTCCAGTATGATCATCACTACATAACTTCAGGCATGCTTCACATTGTCCCATCCATTTCTATGTTTCAAAGTAATTTTTTGAATCACAGTTAATGGTTTCTAGACAAATACCTTACAAGCAATCCTTCAAGTCGGAAACCCAAAAAACGCTAACATCCGCTTATACGCAAGCAATTGCCACTATATTTCACTAATTTCCAGGGCCTTTTTTAAGCTCAATGACATGATCACGGAAAAAACGGTAGCACAGCAGTTATTTATATATATTTCAGCATATTTTGTTGCCTTTTATTCACAACAATGCAGATCCCATGGCAAAAAGTACGGTTGCTAATTCACCAAAAAGGTAGTTTACGATTCATCCAACCAAACCAAACTGCAGACGGACCTGCGCTAATCATATGAAAATCGGGCCTTATTCAGCGCAGAATTTAGTCTCAAAATGTTGATAGTCATGAGTCTTCGAGGATTAGCATGCCTTTTGTTGCAATGGTATGCGGAAACAGGCGCCGAAAGTACAAATGGCTTAGGAACCGCTGAATGAGTGGCGGGAAGGGGGGATATCGGGGATGGCCATCAATGTTTGTCCCCCCAGTTAACTATGCTGCATCAATGCGAAAGAATTTTTATACCCTTGTCAGCTTATGCTCCCAAACTCGTGTCTCCGATTGACAGCAATCGCCTCTTCAAAAAATGGTCTTGGCAATAGTAGTTTTGTTCCGAAAAATTTTATAGCCACAATAATTGCAGTTCATAACACTAATGCGACAAAATAGGGCATGTTTTAGAAAAATACATTTCGATCTAACATAAAGTGAACCAATTAATTTTTTAAATACGAAGCCTTCCAAATTTGTTTTGCTCAACATTTTTGAAATTTAACTTGAGTGAATCAGACACAAATATCATATGTGGCAATGGTAATGATGCGCTAAGAAGCACTGGAGTAGCCGGAAATAACAGGACCTTCCGCGTGACTTCTCATCTACTGAACCACATTATTTGAGTTACAATGCTTCACCAAACCAGTGTCAAAGCCCACTATTCGCTGTTACCAATGCTGTGTCACCAAAAGGGAGAAAGTTCATGCATTCTGTTGGCGATGCAATAAAAAGTTTAGGTGTACATACTCGGACTGCTTTGCTGATTCGCATTCTAAATACTTAAACCGTCCGAAACCTCTTGGTAATACTTGGTAATGATATAAAAAGGGACGAATTGAACCAAAACCAATTGATGTACACCGTGAACTGCTTCCATCCATGTTGAGGGAAATAGAAACTTAAGAAAAAATTGACTCTGGAAATTTTCTAATTTTTCGTGTTTGTTAATTGACTCGTTGCAATTGTAGATGTTGGTACGCATTGACACGACTCGATTGCATAGAATTACCAACAAAAGAGTAAAAGAATGGGATAACATCCATCGAAGCGATGCGCTAATGCATGAATTTGAATATGTACTTACCTACTTATTACTATGAACAAAAGAATCGCATCTTTCACCTATTTTTCTTTAACGCATAAGTTTTCCAGTAAACACTTGTCAGATGGAGGCCTACCAGACACACATAGAATGTCGAAGTCTACTTAAATGCTTGTTAACATCTATCCTTTGGGTGCATAAAAGTCCCTTGCGCATTATTCTTAGGATTCGCCGCCATGTAGTCAATTTCCACTTACCCCATTAGACGGATCGGCAAATCAGAAGTGGCGGTGCCTTTGAGTAGCCATCCCATTGGCAATGGCATTAAGGTGAGGGAACTGTAGCCCAAATGGTTCAAACTATGACCTTAGCTTGTATCAGATTAGGATGCAGAACGGGCAACATTTTTATTAAGCACTATTGAACCATTGTACAAATATTTGGCACACTAATACTGCATCAGTTTATCCAAACCACCAATATTCCTAGGTCACAACCTAGAAAACTTGTGCAAATGGAATTCAGGTGACATTGGACTTTGGTCTATGAATATATAAAGACAGTGCACCCCGTGATTTGGTCAGTTAAAAAGAAACCCTAGTATTTGGAGAAACAAAAGGCTACTTTAATCATGTGTAATGGCCTATTAACCACCTTACTAACCCAGCGCGAAATCTTGCAAAGTAGCCGCTGGACAATTCGCGGTTACATAATTACCCACCATAGATGGTGAAAAACATCCACACCATATATAAAAATGTTTACAAATGTATATAGAATGGACTAAAAAAGCCTCCCTCTATGAGGTGAGCATAATAAAGGGATTAGACGATAATCACACCGCTAGTTTAACTTGTTGCGCTCTTAGTTAGTCTTGATACTACGTTTTCAGTAGTGTTTAGGAGCCTGGATCTTGTGAAGGCTACAACAGAAATCAGATGTGGCTAATTCTCTAACAAAGCGACGAATGATGGGGCTTAGTGGTTTTAAAAAAGAATTAGATTGTGTTTTAAAGCAAATTTCCACAAACTCTCCGATGTAAGACTGATACAGCAGCTAACCTAGTTACGCATTAAACACCTTGTTACCTTTGGACCATACTTAATATGTGATTTAATTTAAGTCTCTAAAGAAAGTTTTCAACCCAGGACCAGCTTTGTTTTAACAGCCTGACTAGACGGGTCTGAAAGACGATGTCAGCATCATGCTCATGCGCTGTAAAAACTAGCCTTAAAAACCTTTACCGAAGAGCTCGATTTGCTAGCTGTGCATTCCTCGTCTTGAGGGAAACCGAGCAAACTCTATGCAGATAGAAGACGTGTCAAATTAATCTTAACACAGAAAAAGGTTTCTTAAATTCCTCGTTTTGCTTTGCTACTAAGGGTCGGTTTGTTGTTGAACAATGGTGAAGTTGTAAATTAGTTAAGTTAATTAATGACTTACTCCAACTTGAGCTAAGTCGTAAGAACAAAGTGTAAACAATTTAAGTATGATTATTTATCAAGCTTTCCTTGATCACCTCTCACGAAAAGTTCACAAATAACAAGAAATTCATTTTGACACGACATTCGCAGTGGTGTGTCATTTGTAGCCCATTTCATCCATTAATAAGTCACGAGTATTATCCCATTAAGCAGCGATGATAGTTTTCCCCAATTTGGCCATGGGAGGTGCTTATTAATGCCTCCTATTTCCGATCGGAAGGAGTAATCATTGACTGTTTCGGGAGTGCCAAAGAAACCGGCTATAATGCTCGTCCTAAAGACTAGCCTGAGAACGACAAGGTCACCTTATGCAGCCAAGCTACTAAAAATTTTAAAAGCTCTTACCGCGATTAATGAAAAAGTTACAGAACGCTATATTTGCTTTTTTATTACATACAAGGAAAGGGGTGGAATACGGATCTTGCACAGTCTCAATCTACTTGTAGTGAGGCCAAAATTTACGACTAAATTCACAAATACGGCGCACTTGCAATTTCCCAGATCCCCTTCTTGTCACGTCATTTGCAGTTATACAAATTGCCTTAGCAAACCGTCATAGAAAACAGAGTAAACTTTACTTTGTTTCGAAAAGTGAAACACTGCAGAACAATGGCAAAAGCAGTTCACTGAAGCGATCAACGGTAACTATCATGTTCAAGGAATTTTTTTAGCAGGGTCAAAACGTACTATTCACCATCAAAATATCAGTTTTTACTTCGCCACGGAAACTATGGACGTGTTTAAACACATTTTGACTATTTTTGTCAATGGCTTTTACAGCCTTCGACACTTTTACAGTGGTTAGACGATAAAATAACAATTTAGTTCAGTTCAGTAGCTAAATGGCATTAAAAATTTAAGGAAATTCCTTAATAAAAATTGGTTCCAAGCACAACAGGAGCACAAAAGTGAACACAGGTGCATCTGCTCCATTTCGACGGAGAGGCGACATTAGGTAGAAAATGTGCAGGAAGCACTTCCAATGCGACTTTTACGGCAACCATTGGAATAGCAAAGCTTCCAGCGGCCAATATCGGTGGCAGACGTGCATACGCCGTCGCTCAAAGGTAGGTGTATCAGTATAAACCATCGGTGGTAGAATTCATAACAAAAAAAACGCAATTCCCACGCCTTTGAGGGGTTGATTTTAGTTGGCGGACCACCATTGAAAACGCCAATGTACGCAGGCAACTTTGCAAATCCTCCTATTGCTCATTTTTCTCTTTCCCTGCAATATGTATCGTGTTTTCAATAGCTGGAGTGCCATAAATGCGCGCTTAGAAGGATGTTGTTCGCAAGTTTCACTTTTTTGCATAAATGAAGCGGCGCTGAATTAACAGGTAGCTCAAACATTGCATTAAATCTTCCCATAAATATTACTCTCATTGAAGACATTAAAATTTCACAGATCTCGCCCACAATATGCTCTTCCTAGACAATTTTTCAATGAATTCTTTTCCAAATTGCGGTTAAGTTTCGGTGAGCTGATGAGAAACGTTGGTTTGCACATTTCCACCTACGTCACAATTCAAAACAATGAGCGAGTTCAATACTGTAACCGTTCAAGGAAGTTCGCGCACTTTTTGTAATTTCGTCACATTAAGCATAGAATGTGATTAAAAACGCAGCATCGACCCCGAAAAGAGGTCGGGGCCTTAAAAAATTTTGTATCCAGAGCTCGATTTGTTTTGGACGCACTTAAAATCCGAAACTAGTGGCAATCCTCCATTATTCTACGTCGCCTTGACCTGAAGCCCATTGCTCTCGTCTTCTGCGCGCCTGATTGGTTTCATCTTACCCCAGTCATGCTGCCTAAGACACAGATTTGCCTGAATTTGGGCGTAAACAGTCACAACAGCACTAGTATTGATGCAAATGAAAATCATTCGTGCGTGTAGCCACCATGACGGCAAAAATAAGTTTCTTCATTTGCGTGAAAGCATTGACAATGGATTTGCTTGGGAAAACAAGGTGGAGTGTACGGTGAAAGAGGAGAGGAGGAAAAAGGAGGGTTGCCCTAGAACCTGGGCAGATCGTGCAGAGGAAAGTTGACAAGCAGAAATCTTATTTAAGAGCAGGCAGCTGGTGACTGCATTTCAATCATACCATTTACCGATAGATACGGTCCCTTTGAAACAATTATTTAGGCTAAAAAGTTAATAAACTTGTGAAAAATTTGACTAACCCGATTATGTGGTGTCGAGTAGAGATATAAGTAGCTTCCATAGCGGCCTTATTTTTCTTCATTATGTATTTCAAACTTTTATTTTATCGCGTTTAGTGATGGGCATTACGTGTGGATGGAAAAATTACAATACCGAATAGATTCAACTTCAGATCGCTTAGTCAGACTTTTCGCTTAAATATGTGTACATCAGGCATTTTTCACACAAATTGTGAATAAAAGCAGAAGAAAAGATGTACTCATTGTTTCGAAAGTACATGAAGTCAACTGCAACACGAGAGTGCTTGCAAAACTGATTAAATGAGAATTTTTGAATGCCACTTTTGTATGGTGAAACTACACCCATGTATGCTATTTATTCCATATATATGCAAATGCACATGCGTATATCATTTTCAGGGAACGCACCCAAAAGAGTCGCATCTAAAATTCTTAAATGGCATTGGAAGTTGTAAGTGAAAAGCAGTAAAGGCTGGAAAAATGCTATTTAAGGGGAGCGGAATTATTTGACTCCACGATATCATTTTTGGATATTCGGATAGATTACCGACGCTCTGCTGGAACTATTAGGAAAACCGCTTTCATGGCCACAGAGGTTATAAAGCAAATGAAGATTCCCCATAAAAATAATTGAACTTCATTGAGATTATTACTTAAACATGTTGACTTTGGTTGGTCCTATCGCTCAGCAGCAAGAAACTTACCTGATATCGTTTCGTCAACTTGTTGAGATTCACTAAATCCAAATCAGCCTTAAAGTTATTATTACCCAAGTGGAGTAGTTGATATAATACCATTAATGACAGAGTGACAAATGTTAAGATGTAAAGGCGTTGAGTCGTGGGTTGACGCAGTCGATTGTGTGGAAATATGCCACTCGAGGTTTCCCTTTCTCCTTGGAAAATCCTTTTATTTAATTATTTGTAGCTTGGGACTTAAAAAGTCCCTTGCATTCTGGAGTTTAAAAAGAGAGAGGACAAAGGATAAAATACGCCTCTGTGTAATTGGGACAACTCTTCGAACTTCATTTATTTGTTTGTTTCCTTTTAATGGAGAGCGAGAACCCGAAGTCATTTCCTACTAAACTCATTGAGGTAAATATCAAATATGTCGGAGATTTTCACACATCGTGCAGTTATGTCCATTAAAAGAGGTGGAGATGTCCAGTTTCTGGATTGACACATATCCATCTGTTGTTTGACATCAAGTAAAAAGCAAGGTGGTAAACAGAGCAGTAAATTATTACCAAGTTTATTTTCTGGCTGCCTTATGCTGCTCTTAGCCAAATAACCAAAGGAACTCTGAGAAATGTCCTAAATTTTAGCCAATGTGCTTGTGGCAAGTGAGATGGAAAGTATTATGATGGCCAGTGTCGATGGAAGTGTATGGGGTATTCACTCATGCTAACAACCGACTCCACACATAGTTGGTCCTATAAATGTGGAAGTTAGTGAGCCTCATTATACTTTGGAGAATTGTATGCTAGGTGCACAAGAATATAACGATGGCTTCCAGATATGCCAAAACGTGTGATTGGTTTGTTTTCATTATATCAGAAGAGGTTCGCCTAATAGTCAATAACATCCAATGGGAAGCTTTCCTGAGGGCCTTAGAGCTAGCACTAAATGATTAAATGAACGCTCTACTCAGGAGCATAGTTGGCATTCTTACACATAATAACTGAGGGAATGGAATCAAGATAATTTACTGTGTGCCATGGCAACAGATGCTGCAACATTCATTCAGTGTTAATTAGAATAGTCATAAATCATCCATGCACAATAATTCTTGCGGATGCATATTAACAAGTAAATAGCCCAAACAGATAGAGATAGGGATTAAATGCTAAGATTTAACTTACCTTATAAAAAGCCCTATAATTTAGTAGAACGATACGCTAGAATCAATGTTTTTCAGTTATAAATGGTAAATTTTAGAGTGAAATTTTACCCAATCTTGTATGTGTATGTGATAAAGGGAAGATAGGTAAATGGATATTTATTTCTGTGGGAGGTAGTTTATGGACCCTCCAGGGCCAATAGCAGTGTTTATGGCCTTTGTGTAGGTGGTGAAATAAACACGTCAAGCAACACACATGAAACGCACATTCCTTTCCCCTGATGACGTCTGCGTCTGATGACTTCATCCCAATATTGCTGAAAGTAAACCTTTGTTTATGTTGATTCCCGACACTCAGATCATCAGAAATTGTAATTATCGTCATAGCTATTCATTTCGGAAAGCGTGCATTTTAATGGGTGTGGGGTTTTACAGGACAATATTTCATTTGCTCCGATATTTGATCCAAATGCTCTTCAGGCTTGGTGGGAGAGCATTTTGTGAAGGTATAAAGCGTTTCTATGTTAGCGACCAAAATTTCTTACTAAACGTGGGAACGATAAAAATAACACTTGTACAAATGGAACAATGCTCTTTCGTTATTAATTGTAAATTTTCTGCTTAATGCGTTGAAGTTCCAACAAAAGGCATTCCCGTGTGCATTTTGAAGACGATTTGTCTCCAGTCGCTTTACATCAAGGTAAGAATTTTCGACTAGTCAGAGTGGTTATAAACTGCATTTGGAGAGGAAACATGCTTTGCGTCAAGTAGGTGGCACTAATAATAGGCATTGAAGGCGTAGACGTGGTCACTACTGTAGAAAAGCCAGACGTAGTCGAAACTCGTAAATACCCTTATCCGTCTTCTGAGTGCATTTATTTATTTTTTGATGCTGCTTCGTTACAGGATTTGATATAATACTAACTATAACTATCTGACGCATTACATTCTTAATAATTTTCCTGTAAGTAAATACGACTGCTTTTGAGAGGCTCCACAGAACACTTTGTTTAAGAGCATTGTTACGGTGTAAATTCAGCCTACAAATTTCCTAACGTAGGCCGTTTAGGTGGATTAAAGGATACAAATAGTCTAATCAGTTGCTTCAACATGTCACAGCAGATTTTGTCGAAAGCACGCTCTGCAGGAGAATTCCGCATCAGAGCTACGTTTTGTGAAACACAGCTACTCCATGTAGCGTATTCTTCGTCGGATTATTAAGAACTTGGCTATATTGTGTGGTAAGGAGAGCTTTGATATTCCCAAATAAGCATTCTTTGCATCAACCATTTCTACTCATCATGACGAGTGATTAAATAAATAAAACTACTCTTGACTAATAAGATCACCACTAGATGCTTCGCATTCAAGCATACAAGGCTACAATAGGCTTGTTTTCATACCAAAAATTACCCGTGGTAATTGTGCTCAATTCTACCTATATTTTACAATGGCTGAATCACTTCGCACTACATTAGTAATTGACATTAACTTCAGCTTCATATTATGTGGCCATGCGCACACACGCACGCACTGGCGCTGCGGTTCGGTCGTGTTCACTTTGCGGCTAAATACCCTCTCGTAGGGTGTGATTAATTATCCCTTTTGTCTGTTCGAATGAGCGAAAGGGGATGTGTGTTCGTGTGCAAGTGAGGAAAAGTGCTAGAAATGACATAAAGCTATATGGACAGTAATCGTACCGCTGCTGAACGCGACATGAGATCTCTGAGCAGAAGCACGTTTCCACGGCTTTTCAACTAACCACGCACCTCTGCGCGCTTTCAAAAATGGCCTGGCAATTGGCCTTTCTCATGGGGACTCAAATGAAACTTACTCGTAAAAGTTTGCTCTCAAGGTTGTAATTGAAAAAAAGAAATTTTAAGGACCATTTATGCATAATTCCTTCCCATTCTATTAAGACCTGTTTTTCTTAAATTACATAATATTTACTATGCCAGGAGGAAAATATCAGAAGCATCCTCCCTTAGTTGTTGGGAAACATTGTTCAATTGAATATTTCATGAGAAAAAAGCCTGCTATAGTAGTTCCACAGGCTGCACTACTACTGCTGCCAACTATTTCGGTTGCCAGTTAGCTTGCACTTGACACAAAAGATAACTGGGCGAAACATGGGACAACTTGTGAAACCCTCTCTATCGTCCTCCCCTCAGACTTGTGGTGTCGATGAACATTGAAGGCGAGGTTTTCACATCTCACAGTTGGGTTAGCACCAACTGTCCCGTTACGAGTAAATCCTTTTTACTTCGATTTAACACTAATGTGAAGGGAATCATGATGCTCCCAAGTAGTAGCAGCACCGAGTATTTAGAAATACAAATAATCCACTCCTAAGCACAAAACACAGCTTAAATCTTGCAAGGTATGTTGGTTTTACAAGGTTTTAGAGCAGAAGCCATTTTGGATTTTTGGTTAACTGATTATTACAGAATGGGCAGTTTCGTTATTATAGATGAGACCACGTAGAAACAATCCGAAATATCCCGGCTTCACAACCGCCTCACATTTTATCGGATTCTTCATACATCTTAGTCCTTCAGAATTCAAACAAGCAAAAGTAAAATCAAAAATAGACTGAATTTTTTCATTACAGGAAGTGAATGTTTTCCCATTAATAAAAAGAAACATTCAAGACAATAGCTTTTATTAAAGGTGTATTCATAAAAAAATTGAAACCTAAATTGATTTTAACTACAGAAAATGGCGGAGTACATTTCTTTCCTCTTGGTTTTTTTATTCTCACGAAACTTCCAATTACTCTAAATCACTAATTTTGTATTTTGGGGGACTATTTCTCAAAGTGCATTCAGAAGTATCGCACTGAGTAGGGAGGGCGAAACTAGAGAGACGCACGCGAAGGGCCGCTCTGATTAATGCATCATTAAAAACCAGGAGGTTGTCACCATTGGAAGTGCTAAACATTCACTCAGCTTCGAAAACCCTTCATCACCCAAAATCCAGTATGCCTGCTTTGCCAAGACCAAGATTGATGTTACTGCTGTTTGTGGTATGCACAGGGGGATTTGGCGAGCACACAGTGGGCGGTTATGGCTAATTTGGGTAATGCAGTAAATGTCACGGCAAACATTACTAGCAGTGATCTTTGTCTGTTTCCGCGCATTTGTGGTTAATGCTGGACCCAAATACATTCAGGCCTTCGCCTAGTATAACAAAAACAAAACAGTCATTATAACAGCCAATGCGACCAGTAATACTTGCTTACCCATATTAAATTGTATGTATCTTAATCCAATTTCTAAAGGCGTGCACATAGTGTTACATTTTTTTTTCCATCAAAATGGCAAAATGATGTTAAAGCATACAGAAGCCTACCATGGTTGTTCAGATATTAGCTTAAAATAGTGGAAACGAAAATCTCAAATGAACTTGACCTATTCAGTGGTCAGGAGGGCAAAGAGGCTTGATTTTAATGCAGTACTGGTGTACAAAAATAGGATATCAGGGCTTAACGTTGATTTCTTGTCTAGATAGGTCCAAATGCATTACCAGCCTGCTTGAATTATATTTTATAAATTGCCGTTTGTGGGATATTTTCCGCAACGCACCTAGGGGTAGCGTCTATTCTAACAAATCCAAAATACGGTTTTTTAAATAGGGTGGTTAGGCTAGTATGCTATTCTGCATAAGGAAAAATCACTTTTGAGATACGTTTATGTCATCATATTCAGCAATTGTGTGCAATGCAAGGAAAGTATCTTCGCTAAAAGGAGATGCGAATACTTACATTTCTCGGTGTTGTAGGAAAATTAAATGCAATATGAACGGATTATTTGAAATTTTTTGGATTGACTAAAAAATCTAATTTTGAGTTGGATTAACACTCCTCTTTTGCCTATGGGCAAATATTTTAATTACTTTGTTCTAAAAATTTTTCCCTTGCTTTTCAAGTTTATTGATTCCACAAAGTGTACCGGGAGGAACTGATATAATACTTGATTTGCTGACGGGCAAAATTCATGCAAACTTATCGCTTTCAACTTGTTTACCATTTTGTTTAGTTGTAAGTTCAAGAGGATTACGCCAACTTTTAGTATTTAGAAGATACTCTAAACTACTTTTCCTCAGAGAGGATGAACCTGCATGTTTCATATTTCTGTTGTGCAAATTCGTCAGCATTTAAAAGACCAAATGCCGCTGGGCAGCTAAACCTTTTGCAATGCATCAAGACACCTGCATGAAAATTGTCAACTGAGACTTGCCTTCCTCCTCTGTCAACATCTAGATCGTCCGACAACTTGATGTGAGACATAATGCACTGCTAAGCATTCACTTGCACGTTATTACGGACAATAACATATAAACACAAGCCCTAGGACTCATTTTAACCATACTCTATGGTATCACAATTATAATCAGCATTGAGACTTCAAAATTCCTCGAAAATACCAGTACCTATTGGGATTACTGAGCATTTAATTGATGACAAATAAACAAGTCAAGGGAATCGCAAAGCGAAAACATAAATAGGGTAAAAATTCTTGACTGTTTAATGTTACTCAAACGACAGATCATCCTTTATTTAGGCTCATGCATTCTCAAATAAAATTTTGGAACATTTTATTATAATACCTATCATTGCGCTTTGATAACCTATGTAGAAATCCTTCTCCCGAAGTAAGATAATAAATATCAATAAATTGGAATGCAAATGCCAGACAGTATTGCGATAAGTGCTTCAGAAAATGGGAAGGTGCTTTTTAAACAAACGACGCATTTACGCTTCGGTCAATAAACAAATTTTGAGGTTTTTCATTGGAATCGCAGTATATCGGCTAGTAAACGTTATAACCATGGAGGCACAACATTTCTTGATATGCTCTGAAAATGGTAAATAGTGAATTCTACAGATAAAAGTAGAGGTACAGGCGGGTAAATGGGTAAAAACAGAGGTCTCCATTCCGAGCACGTGGCCAAAGAATCACTTATCCTCACCTCTCCACCCCCTCAACGATATCAACCACCCCGACGGAAGGTGCTCTTTTTCAGCTAAAACACGCACAGTGCGTAGGCCCTATAAATCAACCTCTGCACGAATGCATCCTGCCTCAATATACGCTCTTGCATGCTTGCTCAAGTTCATCCTCACTTTCGAGCCTTTACATTTCTGGCAAATTTTTCTTGACACAATAATTACTGAATGTAAGTTTAAAAGAATATGTTTTCTAAGCTCTAGGACGAAGAATGTAAAATTGGTTTCATGAGTCCAAATTTACTATAATCATTTATGCACTGCTCAAAAATTTCGTGATAAACACAATAAAAACACTTATTCTTGATTTCCCAGGCTAGTTCTACCGTATACTTTTGTTGCCACCCTCTGAACGAAAAGAGGTTAACGATCCTTTGAACGCCGCTATTTAATTTAAACTGGGCAATTGCTGATGAGGTGGTGCCCACTTACACTTCCCGGAATTATAAAATATTCCAAATTGTAAGTTCAATATTGCTGATGCATGGCACCGAATTTGGCGACAACTTTTACAACCCTCTACTGACATAACAGTGGCAAAAAACATGAGACAAATGGCTTACGAGCATGGAAATATTACATTAACGTACTCGTATTCTCAGGATCAAACTACTTGCTCTGTGGATTGTCTTCATTTTATTTATAGTTTGTTGGTGGTGAATGTTCCTTATTCCTCGGGCTTAATATGTGATGGGAAATTGGCTATAAATATATTTTTAAGGCAATCATACGTCACTTTAAACACTGGCGTTGCTTTAATAATGGAATACCAAGCCCACACTGCATGCCTTTTACTCATCATGAGCATCTACAGTGGGAATGACCTTCGTCTTGAGAGAACAAGGAAGAGATCAGAGGGTGAAAAACATTTCACAGTTCATAGTGAAAACGCACAAATCCTTGACCTCCATCATTAATTTGGACCTTAGGGGACGGTATCTGGAATCAGGTGTCACTCGAATTACTGCGTGAATGAAGCACAGTTTTCGACTGAAATGAAAATTCTTAACAATTTTCATCTAACACGTGATCTGCTTCCGTCTGCATTTGAGTGAATGTCTGGAGAAGAAAATCTCTTTTAAGAAGAAACTAGCTCATTCAAAACTAACTCCTAACCTGTTGTTTCTATTATTTAAATGTACCAACAACTTCGGTCTTTTGTTTAGAAATCCATTTTAACCATGTGCATTTTGTAGCTAATTACTAAAAAAACATTTCTCGAACTACATTCTTGGGATCTTGGTGAAACCATAATAAATGCCTTCATTGTTTTTAAAGATAAAGGATATGTCAAAGGTTTATAGTGATCAAATAATCCGCGATTGGCGTTGAAAACGGTCTAACAATTTCCTTGCTAATTATTTGTAATTCCATTAAATAATTGCGTACTTAGAGTGAACTTAAATTAGCTCCAAAAGCACGCGAAAATGCACTCGACTTGTGGATCCACAAATGTATGTAACGATACATAGCACGCTCCCAAAGTGTGTCCATCATCAGTACTGTTCAGGGGCGTGCTCTGCGAGCTGCCGGCTTTTCGCAATGCCTTTGATTTGATCTTTGCTGCCTTTAGGTTGATATGCTACGGAAAACTAACTCATACACTTTGGCAAGTTTTGCTTCATTCTTATCTCATAATTAGCGTATTTACATCAATGTCGAATGCCTACGATCAGGCCAGAAGTGCGGCAATGAAAAGTAAGGAAATGGCCCCATTCGTGGTTTCATAAACACTCGTGCTACTTTGTGGTAGTGTACGATGAACTGCTAGACAAGGAGGCTTGGTTGCATGCAGAACTGTTGTCCACTTTTATACGTGGGTTTATTTAAAGTACGGACCAAGAGCGACCAAACTGCCTAAAAGAGCACATGCTCAATTGTGTGGAGACCTTATCACAACTATTTATTACTTATGCAGTCACCAAAGTCGTGAATAATGTCCTCATGTATGTACCCTGTTTACTGGTATTCCTTCCGCAGATGAAATGCACGCCCTAGGCAGGAGGCTTTGGGTAATAATGTGTTAATTCGACCGAAGAGACAAATTTCTACAAAACGCGACTTAGTTAAGCAGTTAAACTGGTCGTTCGAACGCCCGTGCCTTCTGTGTGCATTTTTTGCCACGATTGTATACCGATCTTTCTTAAAAAACCTATTTCGTTTTATCTCCAAAAACGAATTATGCAAATACTAAAGCAACTGGAGGCACATGCGGCACTCATCGGACTTTAAATCCCGCACCTGTGATTTAAAACAACTCAACCGTTGCTTTTGTGTACTAATACAATAATCTTCAGCCCTAAACCACCATGACTTAATCGGTTTTCATTAAGCTTGAACGTGCTTCTTTCAACTTCCATTTTTCCCTTGCATTGAAAGCTTATGGGTGTTTATTCCATTTCGACATTTAAAACTGACAAGGTACTTAAAATTCCCCGACTTGAATCCCTTTTTCAAATTATGCTGCGCTTATTTTACTTCACTTTTCTTCTAAACGTAGGCGTTGCATGATTGCTTCTAAAAGTTTTCTAGTCTTGAAGGGGCGAGAGGTTGAACACAAGTAGCAATTATCGTTTGCAAATGCCCTGTACCCTGGCCACATGGAACCCTAAGCACACCACTTCACTTAGAAACAACCCTCCAGTCCGTTTAATGAATACTAATTATAGGTTCTTTATGTAATTACAGAAGATGAATAACTTGCTTCCTGCATGCTTATAACACCCACCTACCTGGTAAAAATTGCTACCAACACGTGGTCGTTGCTGGCATGCAATAAGAGGAATTTGGCTTTTGCATACCCGCTAAACCATAATGCTTTGACACATTATACAGAAGTAAATTCATAATTTTTATCTTGAAAAGTGCGGTACGAGTTGGTGTTGTGCGTCAAGCATATCCTGCATTTGTCATCTACCGGAGAGGCAACAAGTGAAGAAATGAAATGTCCATGGAACAAAGCACCGAGCTATGGCTCACTCTGTGCAGTTCTTGTAAAATTAAACTAGTATCCCGGTAACCAACACACACAGCTTTTCTTCCATCTAGATACATAAATTTTGTAACAACTTGACAGCATAAATATCTTCGTTGGCATTGATTAACTCCCTACTATTCTTAACATCGTCTAGGGAGTGATTTCTCCCCTGCCAATCGACTTCACATATTTTACCACATTCAACAACAGCGGCAATCAAAATCACTTCCTAGCCTTCACATTTCGGGCTAGCTTTGGTGGCAATTAGTAAAGGCAAAAAAACTTTAATGGATTTGACTAAAAATGTGTAAGTTGATGGTTTCAAGTCCTGCTGCATTCTTTGAGCTATCTTAAAATCGACCTCAAATAAAAATTTTTACTCAACTTTTTAAAGCTTCTCTTTCATTCTGCTATTCACGAATGCAATGATGCGATGCCGACCGCACAATGATATTTCCACTTTATACCATAGGACAGTTACATGGAAAAGTTAACTAGCCCTTCACACTCGATGGACCACTTACTGAGGGAACCAACGAGAGGGGACCAGTGAATGAGCCCCCGAACAGCTGCTTGAGGAAGTTCCCAAATGATTGCGGTCCTTACTCATGTTAATCACAAACAAGCGCTTGAAAGTCGAGGCGCAAGTAGAACCCTTGCACCCAAAATAAAAATTGTTTTACTTTTATGCACTTTTTGCATAATCTATTACTATGTTTATTTTATTTAATGCATCAGAGTCGACCGAAATAAATGTTTGGATTTTCACTTTTCTTCCTAGATGAAAAGGAGGATACATCACTTTTTCCTCCCTAATCTGCTCATAATCTTGGGTTCTTTCACAGATGAAAAATTTCCAGGTAAGGCTACACTTTTATGCCACTAAAGAGAATTCACTTCTCCATTATCTCATATTTTTTGTTCACCTATGCTTTAGACACATGGGGCAAATCCGATAGTTAATCAAGAAATGTTTCTGCAGCGTTACTAAATTAGCAGAAAAATAACCGAATTCAATGAGGGGAAGAAAACGGTGGTTTGGAACAAATCATACTGAGGAGCCCTTGATGGCTTATTGTCCGGCAGCAGAACCTGTTAATCGTCACCGGATGGGGCGAGAGGGAAAGGTGGGAGCTGCTAACGGGGCAAACCAAGAGACGCACCCACGTACGCACTTAAGCGCTCATCCGCCACTGGTAGTCATGTCGATGTGTCGGGCCGTCTGATTGGCTGTCGCACATGCACCCGCTCGCAGACTGAGCAGGAAGCTGCCCACGGAGTTAACGTACTGTCGCTCCACTTGAGGCAACAGAACTCCTCGATTGAAAAACCCCTCCGCTTCCTCCTTGCCGCGGAATATACTCACCACTCTTTGAATCAATGTTGTCAGCATTGCTGTGAGTTGAACGGCCTGTCTCTTTGTCTACCATTATCTCAAAATTTCTTGTCTACCATTATCTCACAATTTCAAAAAATTTCCATCTCTGCAATAGTTGAGCTTTGATTAAAGAATCCATCATTCCATCCTCTCGCACTTCGCAGAGTCCTTTGATTGGTTGGCGTATGAGGTAGCTTTTTGCAACTAAATGAGATAAATTTTGGCACTCCGACCTTTAATGGGATGACCTGTAGTGTTGTTTTATGAGGCTTGTGTTAAATGCTAACCGTAATTGCCACTTTGGCGATCGACCCACGTGGGGTGACTAACATGATCAACCGATGACTGCACGTCATAAAGTCGCTCAGGTGTGCAGCCTTCGACGCTTAAGAAAAAGCACCGCTCAAGGGGAGGCACATTGCACCCAATTACTCGATGCCCATCCAATTGGAAAAATTCTGTTTTAGCAATTTAGAGTGGCTCTTGATTTCACCCCCTCTAGCATTAACAATACGTGAATTCTTGCAGAGACACCAATTTTATATTATGAGAAGCAATGTCTTTGTCTCCCACTACTTTGACAAGAAAGTGAATTATCCGATCTTAGGGCAGTATAATAAATAGGTTTGCCTCTAAGTCCTCGCACTTAAAACGTTTTGACAGCAACTGGCTCTAAATTGTATTTACAATCTGCAGCACTAAATCCGGATGACATTTGAACCCGATTAAACTTATTTATGCCGTATTTGCCTTAAAAAATAACCTTTGAGAATAAATTTGTTACTGTGTGGCTTCACAGTGTTTTGGAAACTAGAAGTTTTGAGTGTTTCAGATTAAAGGCTTCTCTTAGTTGAATGCCTTAATCTGGCTTCGGATCATTTGCTCCTGATTCTGATACAAGAAAGTAAACTTTCTTACGAAAATATCGGAATTTATTTGCAACTGCGACGCATGTCCTTCTTTACTATTTTTATTGCTCGGGGTGTTTCTATTTGTCCTCTGGAGCGGTGTTGTTTAAAATAACGAATTTTGGGCGCACACGCACGTAGTTCTTAAATTACGGCTCATCATTCTGGCTGTAAATAGTTTATAAATTTATTTTAGATCCACAAGATCAGAAATGTTTGTAGAAAAACAGCTACTCTAGCTATCATAGTATCTTCTGTGTTTGCTGCATTTCGTCAACGATATACTTTGATGATCTTGTTATCATTCACACTAAGTGGTGGCAATAAAAGGGAATGACTGCTCCTAGGCTCTTTACGATGAGAAGCCTTTTCGATGAAGGCGGGCTATGGCGTTTTGCAGACTATCGTGGCGCTGCCTTGGAGATGAGTCACGCGGCTGATGACATGTGAGCGGTATGACCCATCGCAGGCATCGGAAAACGCCTTCTCTCAGGTCGTCTTGCCAAGCAGGGTGGGGCAGAGCAGTGATACATCATGACCTGCCCACTTTCCTCTCCACTCCTTACTCTGCGGTTTTTATGGATCACGCGTGATTAACTAACCAGAGGGTGTCAAGCCCAGGTACCGCTGACGCGACAGCTACGTCTTCGACTTTCCCGTTTCCAATAATAGCCATGAAATGCTGCTAGTGTAGTGAAACATCCTGATCCCAAATTTCCTAGTCAAAACACAACCTCTAATTGCTAAGGCATTTTACACGGACGTCCTAAATTCCGGAGGCTTCTGAATAAACCACCTTAGTCACTAGGCAATGCGGGTGCGTGGCACCTCAAAATATTCTTCAGCGGGTCTCAACGGCGAAGATGCGTATTATTTGTTTTAGTTGTTCATCAAAGATGGCTGGGATCAAATGGTTGGACGTATTTGTAATTAGTGAGGTTATCGACTCCAGTAATATGCTGTGTTAATCATATGTAAAAGTTATTGTCCAAGGCTCCCTCTTCAAATGCTCATTGATTACCTAACTATTTACATCGTAATTTCATTTAAAATTTATTCTAAAAGCGCAAACCCTTCATTCATCTCATCTCTTTTTTAAACCGTCCGCATACGCTGTTAAAAAATTAGAACATTTCGCTAAGGCAAAAGATGAGGATTAGACCAAATTTTCGGCGGTTTATGTGCAAAAAGGTGTGCTTCTTCTGGCTGTGCATGAGTCGAATACCTCTATCCTGTTGTAACATGCCGTGATTTAGTCATATTTCAAGAGGAGGTGGCGATTAAAGAGACGTTCAATGCTTAGGACTTGATCACTAGAAGGCAAATCAATGAAGACTACAGCACTCCAAATGGGAAATAGGCTTTAAGTAAAGCAGAACTAGTGGTAGCTACTCACTGTGATTAGACTATTGCGCACATACAGAACCAAAAAAACTGTAATTTCCTTAAAATGTGACGAATTAATGTCCCCATTTTTAGTGGCAGTTACCATTTAATTCACCAAGAATGTGCGCCACCATTAGGACTGTGGGACTGCACCCGAAATAGTACTTGGAAATAATTTGGAAAGTGGCTTCTATCCTCAAAGTATTGTCAAGAATTTCTTACTAGCTAAAAACAATGCTCTAAGTGCGTAAGCATACTCCGAAGCGCATTCAAAACAAATGTCTGCTCTGTAAATATTTAATTTAAGTATTCTTTTATTGTAGAAAAAGCTAACTTACAAACCCCAAGTTTACTCAAATGCAAAAGCATACTGTAATCTAGAAACGAAAGAAAACATCAAAGTTTTCGATTTTGGTTCGCAATAAACTCAAACATGATGAGTAAATCGTCCACAAAAGATTTGATTGGGAAGTCTGCAATCGAATGTGATCTTACTATGAGGTCAAATGTAGAGAGCACTCGTGCAGTTGAAATTATGGTCCATTAGTTTTATGCAGAAATCATTTAAATATCCTGGCTGAACTGGTCCCCACGGCCTAACTAGAATATATTTAATCTGTTTCAAACGTTACCGAAATGATGGATAGTTATGAGGCAGTGTAGCGCAAAGCGAGCACCAAGATTAAAAGCAAGCAAACCTCCAAGTTTGTAGGCGCACCGGCACTGACACGCGCAGGAATACCGAGACCTGTCGGTGGTGCAGGTTCGCGCATGCCCTTGTCTCCTTCCGGCCGTATTCCATTTTACTTGAACGTGAGTTTGCGTGTGTGTGTCAAGTTCCGACACAGACGCTACTCCGGAGCATGACTGATCGGGCACAGCGCACCCGCGTGCAAGCTTGATGTCTTGAGTGGATGTAAGCATTCGCACTAGGCGGTGCTTCAACTGCCGCACACTTTCCCACGCGAACGTCTGAGGTAATCGCATTGAAAAAAAGTTTATGAAGAGCATTCCATTTAAAAGTTTAGAAACTGGACAAGTTGCCTTAGTCTCCATTTCTCAACGGCTACAAGTGCTGAAGATTTTCCATCTTTAAATCATTTTTGTATGCGATTCTATTATTTATTCTGACGTCAATCTTGCTTCTAATGAAACTGGTCGTATATTTGGATACAATTTTGTTGTTTCATTGAACGCGTAAGACGTGAAAGTAGTTTTCGCCTTTGACAGAAGATAAATGAGTCTCAAAATCGTAATATGGCTGTTTCGATAGATGCTTGCATACTGGCTCCAGGTTCAAATTTTCTTAAACACAATCGTTGCAATCACCGAAGCACTTGCAGGCATCTAGAAAACAGACCAAAAGGCTACTCCAAAAATCACTATCACACAAACTTATAGAAGAGGAATCGGAATGTCAAGAAGGCATTGCCTTGAGAGGCCTTGTATCGGGACGGCCATCAGATAAGCGAGCTAATACGGCAACATCTGTGAGAATAATCGGGGCTATGTGAATTCGTGTGATATTAGGTCATTTTAGAGACTGAAGATTACAGACAAGCATCCACAAGCACCCAAAAATCTCCGTTTTGCAGAATCATTTTGTGTGTTTAGTGAATTAAACTTTACTTGGTGCACCGAATAAGCCTTCCAGGGCTGAGTGTTTTATCAGTCGTTTTGATGAATACAAACGAAGACAACGGCAAAAGAAATTGTGGACAAAATAGAGAGGGTTGTGCTATAATAATATGCTATTTAGCAGGAGGGGACCACTTCGTCATTATGACCGCTGCACTCTCACATCCTGCGATAGCGTGACCTCCTGAATCACATTTCATAAGTGTGGTTAATCGGTATATGAGGGAATTTCGTGGCAAAGGGCGTGAACCTAAGGTCAAACTTTTGCGGGCCAACATGTCATACCCAGTGGCAGCGCTTCGGAGGCTTGCAAGTTAAGTTCAAGCTGGCGCTTTCCGCACCTGGGATCACACTCGGCGCTGTGACGACTGCGAATATTCCGCACTCAAATTGGGATAAGGTAAACAGTGCCGTCGTTGCATGCACCACTACAAGTCATGCGCTCGCTGTAAAGCAGTGAAATTGGGGAGTGACGCTGATTGTCCTGGCCGCACACAAACAAGGTAAAATTCTTCTTCATAAACATCCTTGATTTAATTGTCTCAACTAAGTGACGCACTAATGGACATTTCCATCCTGTCACTCGGCCAAGACTGTCTTTCATTCAACCAATTGTACCCGCCTTGGCAGTGCCGTTTGCTGGTGATGCTACAACCGTGCATGTGTGGACGAAAGAGCTGACAAAACCTGGTGGGAAAAGTTGAGATGTTCAAAAACAGAAAAGCAAGGGCGGGTGAAATAATTAAGTTAGAGGAGGTTGTCAGATGGTAAAGCGTTTGAAGCCATCTTCCTTTGGTTTATAATAAAATATGTTGCAATGAATTTTCGGGGAGGCAAAAGCAAAACTTATTCCCCCTATCAAATAGACACTTTGACTAGCATAGCATTATTGAGTATTTCTGCGTCGGCAAAAGACCACCGAATTCATTGCGGTATTGCTGGCGTATCTCAATCTGACTCCTTAAATCACTATTTGTCTTAAAGGTATACGCCTAGTTGCTATTTTTGTTCAGGTTTCTTGAAGACGGACGGTAAATACGTTTTCTGAATGGGCGGTTCCATTGCGAAATGTTTTTGTCCATTGTAGGCTCAATGTTTAAGTTTCCTCTCTGGTTCAATTTTTTTTTCTAGTTGGTGAAGACTGCATTAGCATTCACTTTAACCATGGAAATTTGGCCGTCTTTAGGTGATTTTTGAGGTCATTTCTTTGTTGAATCATGGATAATAATCAAAATAAGTGTTTCAATATTTCGGATGTCCGCTACACTGTGCGGATACGGCTGATGGAATAGCCTTAAACGAAATGAATTTTGAAAGAAATATCCGCACACTCTGACAATCAATATGACTACCGAAGTAGCTGTGAATAACCTTCTAAGAGAAAATGAACAAATGGCTCGAGGAGCTGCAGAGATCCACAAAGCTTGCGTGCCCGATGGGTGTGACCGCATTTCGGAGACACATCCTCGCACGAAATATGTAGAAATTGTGAATGACGGAACCACAACCTAGAGCCCGCATTGCAGGCAATGAAGTCGTCCTTTAGTTAGGCCGCGCGTAAATCACTGCGGACGCTCGAACGCCTGGTTTGAAAGATGCAGGCATTACCGAATCACCCTTCTTTTCCACTCCTTCTGTGGGGGCATATCTTGCTTTGATAAACCTGTGCATTCCAGCTCGAAACGTTAGGTCCCGGCTTTGCAAGCAAGCAGCCACGTAGTTCTTTTTCCTCCCTTACGCTTATTACCTGATTGCCCTGAGTAGCAGCAAGCACTTTAGCCGAAAAGCTCAGGCAATTTTGAACACTTCTATTGTCTACTTGTTCACCCATGCAATTTAACTCACCGCTTCCATTCTACAATTGACATCGATTTTGCTGTATGTTTTCGATGCTCAATAATAGAAATTAAGGACTAAAATAGACCCACGCTAATCTTTTTAATGAGCCTTTCTTCAAAGAAAAACTTGGGTGCACTTGTTAAATTTTTGTCCAAACTGAGCCGCGTTTCACATCAAAAATACGCCTTTTTATGAATCACTTTTACCGTTGTTTTGCTCCGCCACACCTTCCCATGCACTCTGCAGCCGATCCCCCATCGGTTTGTTCGCGATAAAAAGTGCTAACTTCCTATACAAGAATATTTATTCTTTGGTGCGGCACACACTTGCTGGAAGTGAAGCACTATAAGGTTAGAATTGTATAATTAAGTTGTTGTCCAAATCACAGATCGCCTCATCAGAATGATGTGCCAGTGGCGAAAGAATTTTCGTGATGAGCACAGCAAATCCCTTAATTCAGTCGTACTTGAGGTAAAAGTGTTAAGTGCACGCATATAGTTAAATAAATGGCGAGAAATAGGCCCCAAGGACTACCATGCCTTCACACTGGAAATGATTGATCCTATGGTAGATGTTACCCAAAAGTCCCATTATTGCAGTGATCTCTTATTTGGCTTTACTGAACTATGGAGTACAGAATGCCACATTCCCTTTGCCTTAACAGAACACAAGTTCTACAACTTAAAAAGTCAAGATTTGACTAGCCGAATGTACAACAAAGTCGGGTATAAGCTCGTCATGAATCGAAAAAGTCATGTGCACTTTCTTCTCCTTCGGTGTAGGCTGCAAAACTCTGTGAATTCCGAAAACCGCCTTTGCACTAAGGATCCACAAAACGTAAAAAAGGCTAGGCGAATTTGTATACTTTTCAGGAAATAGCTCAGCTGCATTTCTCTGTGTATCCTTAAGCTCTTAGCTTCAAGACCCTTTTTATCCTGCCACATGCGAATAAACCTAGAAAAGGCGCAATTAAGCCGCTACAGTAATTAGCCCGCGCAACTGAGCCCTCTGCGTGTCGGATGAAGGATAATCAAACACCACTTTTTTGCATCCTATCGAAAAGAACTCCTCGTGGCTGCGATGAGGTGTTCGATGCAAGTAATGTCGATTGCATTAACCCGACCAATCAGTGCAATTGTTTTTGGGTGATATAAAATAAATGCAACATCATCTTTGCTAAAAGATAAAACAACAATCAAATGTACTAAATATAGTGAATTTTAGATAAAATCCCCATTCGATTACATCCGAACGAACCAATGCACTGCCCGCTAATGACCTATTTAACGTATTTCAAAACAACCTATTTAATGACAACAAATTGCTGTCCGACGGTCGCAAAGAATTACGTAGCGCCGATTCAAACAGTTAAGCGGACGTAGACTAAACTCAAGCAATGCTGTAGTTTGATCCTAAGACTTAACGCCAATTACATGGTGTTGAAAGTAAGCTATTTCAATAAAATGCTTCCAATATAGACTTGCTAGAACATTACCCTTCGGATGTTCATTGATGCATTTGATTGGAGTCGTTCCAATTTCAAATACAGCCTTCCTGACATTCGTTCGCACCAAGCTGATCCACCGATTTTGGAACTCTGGCGCAAGGCTGACGAATGTGCGTGTTTTTTAGAGAAAAATGGTCAACCATAGGCTATTTCTTACAAGGACCCTACTTTTCGCCAAAAGCCATAATCGAAAAAGTTAGATAACAGAATAAAGAGCAAAAGTAACGAATGTCTTCACACCGAAGACAAGTGCTCAAACAAACAATTCACTCCCATTGGCCGAGAGTGTGCGAAGCTCTTTATGTTTGTTTGTTTGCAGAGATGAAGTCTTCAAAGATCCTGGTAGTAAAGCGATACTGCGTGCCTTTTAATGCTTCCAACAGCTTAAAGCCGCGTCGGGTGTTCTGCCATATCTTTTCAGAAACTGCAACTTGAACACAGTTAGCAAAGACAGTCTTCGTGGATTTCATGGATTAAGATTTCACATAAGTGATTCCCAGAAGTAAGCAATTAAATTACATCAGCCATATGACCATCAGTGTGATTAATAATTTTTTGGTAATTTGAATGCATTTACTTGGCAGTATGTTAGCAAAATGTTTGTTCATTCAGTCAAAAATGTGATGCAAATTTTTTTAACTTCACCTTAATTTATAAATAGTCCAAGTTACCCCTTTCATAGGGTCTGCAGTGGGCAGTATGGTACTGATTCTCTTGACTAGAAGGAAAAAGAAGTGTAATAGACCTCATATTTTAATGCATTTTTCTAATTTATTTTCTCTGATAGTGACCACAGCTTCTGCTTGTTTTACTGACTTCGCTAAGACGGCATTTTTTTGTTTTTATTGCACACCATGGACTCACTTTCAACACAAATGGACAGTGAGCAGTCTGTCACACTTCACTCATTGATCATGGCACTTCCACCCGACACATTGGCGTGCGGAGGGCCATATACTTTCTGTTGGGGTAATTTTTAATGTAGGGTGCACTTTTGGCTGGCAAAACAAGTTCTCATTTTGATATAAAGCATTATTGGGAGATGCCCTTCTTCAAAACTAGACCCTCCTCTTTGTTTGCCGCTACAAATACACGAGACATCCCATTTCCCACCACTTTTCCGGTCGCTTCCACTTTTTCAAGCTGTTTACAAACAGGAGGGTGCTAATTTTTTTACACTATGCCTGCCACTTTCCCCTATTTCAAGCACAATTTTACTCCAAGTTATGCCTTTAAAACTGCACAAATGAAGAGATTCTGTGGAACCTTCCTGCTGTGGTTCGCCTTTTAAAATATCTATTCGCTGGATTAGGTTTTTTAAAACAACTTTGCCTAAAATGTTCTCGTTATCTTTCGAAATAACTTGTCCATTTTTGTGTCAAAATCATTGCAAGTGGAGAAATGATACCATGTCTTAAAGTGAACTTGTGCTTCAAAGCTGGTATGGCCCATTTGGCCGCGTATATTACAAATGTATAGTGCTAATTTCAAGGCCAGCCTGCCTTTACCTTGCCACTGCATTGATGCATAAGACCTATGATTGGAGAGAAATCGCTCAGTGCAGGACACAAATACTGGCCCTGAATGCTGCTGAAATAGCTTTCAAGACCTAAGGGCTAGATTCACGAAACTGTGTTTAGCGGGGCTACACTGAGCGTCATGAGGCGGTCCATCCCATCTAAGGAGTTAGTGCTACTCGATTTCAAATTGAGTACTTACATCATACACTGACTGTAATTTAAGGAGGACGTAATCACTATTAATGGGGCTGTTGAGAAGTCCCTTCAAGAGAACAATGGATACCCTGAAATGCATTACTTGAATTCATTGTTTTGAAGTCGAGTAGGAGAGATGGATGGACTTAATCATTGGGAACCAATGTGCACCCACGTCGACAGAGGGCTTATAATCGTAAACTGTATACTTTTGTTCATACCTGATGTGTGCATTAAGAGCTTTACATATTCGTTAGATTTTGCTTTAAATTCAGTGATGGGGATTTACCGTTTTGATAGGTTCGCAAGCTCTGTGGTCGTTTTACTAAAAAGATAAAGAGAAATGCATAAACAACTACATTGGCCATTGGATGCGGTTGTACAAGGTGCATCCAGCTTTGGTTTTCCTAGCAAAAAATTAGTACGATGTGCTTTCAACCTTACTTTTGAAGTTAAATAAAGACAATTTTCTAGTTCTTTCTTGGTTCCGGCGCTGTTATTATTTCAACAACGCCACATCTCCGCTTTGATGAACTCTGGCCTCCCACCACCTTTGGCCAGCTATGTACGCCAGACCGCAATAACTGATAAGGCGGCTAATAATGGTAACCATAATAATGCAATCTCAATCTTGTTAGTAGCGCCTTGATAAGACGTCCGAGTCACCGCGCGCATCCACGCGCCTGCGTCCGTGGCTAGAGATGGATGTACGTGTGGGTGCACCGAAAGCAGGCATTGACTTTGCCAGAGTCCAAAATCAGGATGTCATGGGACCCCTCAGTGCGAAAATTAAGTGCTCATCCGTGCGGTTGCCGAGTGATAGAGATGTCCTGTTTGGACATGCTGGAAGCTTTAATGAAAGACTTTGTTGTGCCAATTGAAGTCGACTCCATGTCGATACCACAGTCCTTTCACTTCTCCTATCTCTAGTCACTTTCAGTTTGCGAAATGGCATTGGGGTCTGTCATTTAAAACACAAAAGACCCAAATCTGTGTAATGTTTTTTTTCTATTCTGATTACTAATCCAACCAGTAAAGATGGTACTAGCGCCCTAATGTAAGCATAAACTATAAAAGCAGACGTTACAGGTCTGCAAATTGAGTAAGAACCTAGTAGTCAACTAAATCGAGTTGAAAGCTATTACCGGGAGTGACAAGTAATGCAACCACAAACGCTTTGAATTCATTACGCCTAAAAGATGTTCTTGTATAAACGGAGGAGCGAAAGATACGGTGGAAATAGATGGTGCGAGCAAGAATATAGACATTGGCTATTTGTGCTAAACACAGATTGGCAGCGTCTTCCGCCCTCCCTGCTAGTTTTCTTTCTAACTCTCCTCTCCCCCAGCTCTCTCCTTCATCCTCGTCACTAACGTGATTGGCGTGTCTAAAGAGTTTATTCTACGCAGAGAGAGACAGAGAGCGAGGGAGAGTCGGGAGGAGAAGTAGAGTAGCGTTTCACCGCGATTGTTTCGTCTTCTTGTGCGCTGTGCACAATTATCGGTGGACCGAATGTATGACAGGGGAGAAGAGACGGAGTAGTGGAGAGCAGAAGGCGCATTGCCTTCATACCGCGGGTGCGCATGATAACCCCTCCCCATAGGGTATGATGACTAACACACACGCACACACCCGCGCGCACACACGTGCGCACACATGCGTGCGGAAGGCGGGATGAGTAAGTGCGCGTCTTCGGCAATGAATAACAGACTACCCTTCGCACGAAACACCTGTCAATAGGCATGAAAACCACCGTTCCGGTACCAGGCGGGTTGACGTGAGAGGTTATACTTTTAAGCGTCACAAATATGCATTAGTATCGTTTTGGTCTTTAGAACAAATTGGATACGGTGGTTTTCATCCAAAAATTTAACCAGAACTCGTATTTGTAAAAGCTGTTTTACCGAAATCCTCACAAACCGTTTGAGTGAAAAACAGCCAATTGCGACAGTCTATCTGTCACACGTTCCAAAGGCATTTAACAACGGTTACTAGGAGTGTCTTGACTTTGAAATACGATCTGCTTTTCATCATGGAACTAGATCTGATTGCAAGTTTTTAAGGGCTCTTCCATTCAGATCGCCCACTTTAGTGGAGAGAATGTAGGTAGGTTTTTGAACAAGTAAAGCATTCAAAAAACAGTTTTAATGTTCCATTAAACGCATGCTTAAAGTCCTTCTGTCTTCACGTGGTGAGGACCACTGGAGCGGTGGTGGGCAATGCACGGGCACATTTTCCTGTCGGTTAACACGCAATATGTGGGGAATTGGGAGGTACCAGTTTGTGCATGCGGTGAATCAGTTCTTGCGCAGAGGGTGGTAGCCAACCCAGTTATGGGTGAGCATCAATGAATCTGCAACGAAGCTGAAATCGGTCTGCGAATGGAGTGCGAGAGAGAGAATGTTCACACGCGAAATTGTAGAAGGTTTTTTGCGCTCCTTCCAGTGTGCGACCATTCATATCGAATCACGCAAGGCAGAAGTGGTGCAAAAAAGCTCACACCCAGATCCCATCGAGGCAGCTTTCACGGCCGCTTTATTGTTTGTCTGTTTGTCCGCGATTCTGGAACACATAGTGGATTAAATGGGGCTCTCGCATCGGCAATCGTCAAATAAAATTCTTTCCGTCATTATTCATTTCAATAGACATCCCCTTGTGCATTTCAAGATTACTTGAGGGGGCTTTCGGGAATGATATTTTGGATTAAAGGTAATGGGCTCTTCTTCGAAGATGTTAATTTCGGTTTTGATGAAAAGTTTGGTTCACACATGGCCGGAAATGCAACCTTGTTTGGTTTATCATTTCCTCATCCTGCAAAACTGTCATGTATTTCGTGTAGCCAGTCATGAAGATTAGAAATAACTATAAATTGTCTGGCGACTACCACGGACCATGCTAGTATGTAATACAAATCAAGAATGGAGATGAAAATATCCTTTTCACTTCAGAATAATTCATCGACAATCATAATCTCTGCCCTTTGACGACTAAATCCAAAATCAGCCACTCCATTTCTTGAACTTTAATTTCCATTTTTTTTTTAAATAAGAGCTGATTATAAAGTTCACACGAGGTCATTTTGCAACTTATTTTCTCATTCAGGGTGTGGACGAATGCAGAACCAACTACTGCGTCTCGTTCTCAAACCTTCATCTTTAACAAGTACTTAATAATATAACAATTTACTTGTCTTAAGCCACCTTCAGAAATATTCCAAACTTGAGTATTTGACTAGCACCCTCTAATTATTAGCACGTTTGACCACGTTCAATGTATTTACAGGTCTTGTTATTATCAAGACAGCAAGAAATCCCCAATAATAGATAGCGTTAGTTCACATGGTGACTTTAAGTGTATGCCAGCGCTCATGTGGAATACGAGGTCATTTATTCGTGCTACCGATCGAATTGCGGAGGCTATATCACTTCGTCGGTAAAATTGGTAAAGTCGAAATCACAAACGGAAGACATCTCCACAGCAAATAGTTCACAGAGCAATGTTTTATGTTAGACCAATTTTTGTAAGCACCACAAACACAAGGAATAACATCACATTGAAACTGAGAGAGGATCACGGAAAAGATAGAATTAATTGCAGGTGAACATGCTCCAATGCATGTGGCAGCAGAAAAGGATTTTTTCCAGTCCTGTGCCCACAAAAACCATTTCCATTATAGTATTGTGGGTGCTCGCAGGAGGACACACGTAACCACACAATTGCTGAGATATAGTTCAGAGAATAGACTATGTAGTGTATCCATTTTACGTGGATAGTGATAGCGCCTGCTGGAAGATAGGCGTTCTGATCTGCATGACCGGTGTTGTAAACAGAGCATGGGTGAGTTCTGACTATTCCACCCTTGCGGGTCATGAGAAGCGCCACAAGCAAGTACATTAGCCGTTTGAGCGCCATTTTGTCCATTCAACCGCCGACATTTGGTATCATTGACTGGTTTATCATATTTTCACTGGTCTTCTGGTTTAGCTAAAATTTAAGAATGCCTGTCTAAAATTCGAAAGCATTCACAGCATTAGTAACGAATTAGTAACCCCTTATGATTCCCTCGCCGCCTTTGCGTTACTTCACATCCACATTTCATTGTTAAGGAATGGTTTCAATAATTATTGCATATGGATTAATTTTTATTTCCTAACCTTCGTATTATCGGCATACACTTATGTGTATGCAATCACTTGTGAGTAGGCGAACTAAACCCTACTTAGACCTAAATCACGTTTTGTTAAAAATTGCCTTACTAATTGTGTTTTTCAGCTTCGCTCCATGCGCTTATGGCATCTCCTTATTCAAATTTTTCTTAACCAAAGAGCCATCAATGTTAAAATATTATCCTTTCATCGCATTTTCAGATCTCTCTCATTGTTTTAGTACATTTTTGCAATCGGTATTTCCACTTAAGCCGATGATAGGAGATTAGGTAGGGAGATCACGAGTTGCTAAGACGTTGTTGCTCCTACATTCAGAACTATTGGGATGGTGACTGCTCCTAAGAGCTCCCCGTCAGTTGGCAGATTTGCATTGACGAATCTCGTGAAGCTGCCAAAATTGACATCTATCCATAACTTATTCGTTGAAGTATTATTTTCCCGCATATGCTGAAAATTAGCAGCATCTGGCTATCTGCTAGGGAAAAAAATTAGGGAAGAGTAAACGTTTAAATGGTGACAGCTTGTATCCTCACCCATGGTGATTGGTGATACTCCACCCCGTAGGTAATGCGCACACTTTTCAGGATACACATTATTGGGAATATTCTAAACTACGGATAGGGAGAACCTATTTTAGAGCGCTGGACCTTAAATTACTCTGAGCGAAGAGTACTTTGCCGGCTTCCGCCACAAAAAGGCTGGAAATTCAGTTGCTATTAAATTGTTTACATGACATTTTTGTCTGGAAGGATTTTTCACAAATTTCAAGTGTCCATTTCTGGACACTTTGAGTTATTTTCTTGGTCTCCAAAGCTGAATGTAGTTAAACATCAATGCAAAATGCATTTAACTACCCTGGTCGCGTGGTAAATTCAGTTAGTTCGTCCATTTAACACTACAATGCTGAGTGAAATTTGGTGGAATTTTTTCAAATCAAACACAAATCTCAGAATCTCGGTGTTTGATTATTATACTCCCCTATTTATCGCCTAGGAGAGTCACAAGAATTGCTGGTGTTTCCAAATAAGTGTAAATTAATATTACATCCTGCACCTCATCTGTGGGCGAATTTAAATTTACAGCAGGCTTTCAAAAGCAATGTAACTTAAATTCTCCCTTCGACACATCCACGGAAGTTGGCAATGAAACCATTAAACGATGTTTGGAATTGCTTAATTGAGAATTAACCTAGCCTTAACGGCAGACATCAAGGCTACAAATCAAAAATTCTGACGCTCCATGGGCTGGTTGACGCGCCTAGGTTGATAAAACGTAGTTAGAAATTAGGGCTAAAAATATTTTGCCAAATAAGGGCTTTAAGTAAGGATTGTGGTAAATTATCCCCATAGGTCATTTTGAGGTAATTATCTTGCCATCTTATAGAACTCAAATAAAATGAGTGGAGAAGTGTGTGCTTTGAGGAAATCAAATGGGTGGTCACTGACACAAAGACGATACAGGCATTTCATTTGGAAAAAAATAAAGTTTATAGTTGAGCAGTTTCGCTAAAATTATAAGAGCATGAATAATTCACTTACGGCACTTGAATTCTTAGAGGAGGTTAACTGCTCGTCTTCGTCGCGGTCGTGTTTGCGATGAGTGAAATCGTAATCACTACGTCGACTTGACGTGCAGAATAGACACCTACGGGGGAACAGCTGTTCCCCTGCTGGAACGCTGTCCAAAAAACACTTCGCTAGAGAATTGCGGTGTTTAGGCGGCACGGATTCTCCTGTAAATTAAATTATACTCTTGCAGCTGCTAAGTGCAGCAGCTGGTTTTTCTGGCCATCTTATGCGTATATTCCGAAATTGGCGCCCCAAAAGAAATGAAGACAGAAAACATGTCATTATTTGGACATTATCACTGCTAAACACAAGGCGATGTGTGAGGCATACAAAAGACATACCAGCATTTTCAAAAAGTGGAATTTCGAGGACATATAGCACTTCCGTTATATTAAAACTTGCCAGCTAATTGAACGGCCTTACAAACTTATGAGCACGGAGTGTTCCACTAGGTAAATAAATGTCTAAGGCAAAGGCTCGTGCTTACTCGTGTCGGTAGGATAGCTCCCACAAAATTTCCATTATCTGATTTAATACATCCGCCGGTAAAATCATCTCCCATATCTGCTTTGTCATTTGCAATGTTTATTAATTTTGACGTTTTTAATTTTAGACTAAGAAATGGTAACAGAGGAATCCATTCACCTGATACGTGAGTACTCTTTATTTATTATCAACAACATTGTTGAGCATATTACGAAAACACTGCCATGCTGATCTGGTGGAAAGATGTTTTAACAGCATCGCTCATAGACTGAATGGTGTGTGTTTGGATTTAATGTCTGAAGTCGTAAACGCATCTTCTAGCAAACTACAACAGAAGCTCCATCCACTTTGCATTTTATTTCTCCTTCTTTAAAAGAGTTTTCAAGTGTGTGTAATTTGAAACCAGCTTTCTATCCAATACATCCCAATTCTCCCAGTGAATCTAAAAAGGGGATAGGGGAGGTGATAGTGGTGGTACTGCTGTTGGTGGTAGTGTTGATGAGGCAAAGTCAGCAGCAGTGACTCATTCACTACGCTACAACTGCGGTGCAAGAGTAAAAAAGCAGTGGAGGGGAAAACACCACTTCATCACTCCGGCATTTCTGGCTGTTTGAAAGCAAGCACCCATCTCCCTTCAGTCCACCTCCAGCCCTCATTCCCCCAGCATTCCCCAACCGCGGCTCTATTTTCGCAAGCCTGGCGATTCCGCAAAACTTTATGCATGAGCGTGTGTGCACCACGCGTGCCCCACGCCGATTGGCTCGAAATGCACACTTGCCAGCACCACACGTGCGCTTGCCTGTGTGCGGCAAAAGTTTAACCCTAATCGCACGCCTGCACACACCCGCCGCTAGCCGCGCACAGTCCAAGCACGTACTCGAGAGTGGGTAATCTCTCCGCCCCACAACTCCAGTGTTGTTGGTGGTAGCGGTACCGCCTTAAATGGATTCCTCCCTTCCTCTGTGTGGATATTTTACTTTTTTGTTGTAAGTCCTCCTGTTGACATTATATGTGTAGCTTACGCACCCAACCATCTGCGTTGGATTAGGATCTGCCATGCAGTTAGTTCAGTCCGCGTCCAAAAAAGAAAAATAATCCTTGTTGAAAGTTAGTAAAGTATGCATTGCCTAAGAAATTTAACTCTGCTTGTGCTGCCTGGCATCGCCTCACCTTATAGGGTGGAACGAAAGTTCACCATAGATCCTGGTCGAGCGACTTCTTATTACCACTAACCGACAGGTGTCGAGTTAAAGGAGGTGTTAACAAGTATTAAGTAGACATCGGTCTACTTTTTCTGCTTTTTTGCTTCTGCTTATTTTTGCGTGTTAGTTTTTGAACTGGGAGAATAGAACGAAGTCTAATATTTGGTAAAATAAGTTTTAAGACTGCTTTGTAGCCATGTGTCATTATTTATTCTCACCAGAGAGACAACTGTGCTTTCACAAAGGCTGCAGTTGTATTTGTATCCGTTACTTGTGCTTTTCCTTTGCAAGTCCATGTTCATTCCCTCTTGTTTTTATTAACATGTGTCACGTCATACATATCCATTTTCTAAGTGGAATGGTTTTTGAAATTCAAGCATTACCGTTTCTTTTCGCAGTTTTATGAATAAATTCAAAGCCTTTGTTTTATTGCCTATTAAAGGACAAGAAAGTCCGTAAAAATTTAGGTAGGTGAACAAATCATTTCCAAGTGTTCTGTAAAAGTTTTTACCAAATAAGTCGAAAATACTGGTTGGTGATTTTGTGGAAATTATAAATTTATACACTTAAAAGAAATAATTTCATATTAACTCCAAGACGGAGTCACTATGACCATAAACACCAAAATTTGTACACTTTTTGCGATCTTGATAATTTCTCTATGAATCACGGCACAGAATTTTGATTTTTGGAGCCGCCCAGATATTGTATTAACCTGCTCGAAGGCGGCCAGAACGGGCGAAAAATGAAGTTATTTGATTGTTCATAATCATAATCACCGGGGTGACCACTAGCGATTCCATTGCAATGCAGAATGTAATTCAATGAAGCATTTTCCGTGGGTGGTAGATAAGAAGTTGAAACTTCAAACACTAGTATGGAGTGCGGTGATCCGTTTCTCTCCCACATTCATTTTTGTGATAAAGGCATAACTGGTCATCAGGCCCTAGAAACTACTGATGTCCACAATACTTCCGGTCGAGTTTTAGGTCTCGATGCAGGTGCAACTGTTCCTATAGCCCTACTTAAAATAAGCCACTGTAGTCAAATTACTCTATTGTAATGTTTCGTTATCTTTAACGAGTCAGTAACCAGTGCCAAATTTTTTGTTGCCTTAACTAGCAAATGAAACTAACACGTTTCCAATATATTCAATTAGATTTTTCTAGTACAACGTGCATGCTCTCCAAATCTTTACAAGTACTTTTTTACGTAGTTAAAGATTGCCTTTCAACCTGACATCTCGAATCTTGATTTATTTACTGGGAAATGAGTGAATTTTATGTTTTTCACTTTCACCTCCTCATCGATGCATTAGGCTCATCCTCTGAATCGGATGACAAGATTTTCTACCTCCAATGTAGAACGCTGACGGACTGACAGATGCCTTTAAGTGACTCAGAGGTCACAACTGGTCTAACACCAAACCGTTATGAATCGTTTATTCATGTAATTTAGCACAAATTTGAAAGAATGATTCGACTTTTACTTTGTATTCTAAAATTGTGATCAAACGCCACATTGATAATGCTTCCACTTCTCTAGTGCTTTTCAAGCTAAACCTAGAACCACCGTGGAATTTATTTTGTTTTCAAGTGTCTTTGGGCTCTCAGAAGCCTTGCAAAGACCTCTTCAATCCCTGTTACTTGGTGAGTTAGTACTTGCCACGTTTGCGGTCGCACTCTTCTAAGCCTACATAGACTAAATAAAACTTCTGCAGTTTTGAAGAAATTTAGCTCAGGCTTTTCGAGGTGCTATTTTTCAGTCCTATTAATTTAATTGCACAAATTTATGTCATTGGCTTTGGCCAAACATTATTGAACTTGATTCAATGAAATATGCACGAAAAATGTGATCATGGCTTGTAGATATATTACTGTATTGTATTATTTTTCCTCGATGATTAAAATCCCTTTCTGTCGATGAAGACAGACACAAAAGAGCACCACAATTCAATTTCGTTATGCTCCAATCAATCTCTATTGAAGCACAGAAAAATGTTAGGGTATATGAAGTTTACGGCAAACAGGACCACACAATCATCAGATGTGCAAAATTTAAACATCTGAAAACTTTTGTTTTTGTTTTGCAACAAAATACTTATTAAATATTTATGAATAGCGTTAAATGTTTTTGTTTTACTTGGATAAAATTTTCTCTGGATCATCCGCAGATTGTAATGGTTGGGGGAATGAGATATCTCCTGTTCCAACATCCCAAAAAATGTCAGAGAAAAGACTGACTTATGCTACATTTGCCACATATCTTTTGGGAAAATAAGTTGTCAAATTATATGGTTAGAGAGTGGTGAGCGAGGAAAGAGGGGAGAGAAAAGGGTGAAGGGAGGAGGAGGAAGAGGAGGAGGGTGAACACTGTGAATGTTCTGCGTGCTTACAACGTGGACAGCAGTTGGCAGTTTTCAGAGCGAGAAAGGAGGAGCACTGCCAGTAGTTCCAAGAGGTGAAACGAAAAATCACATGTCGAAGACCGTTAGCGTAGCAGTTGCAATGGCTTCTCCAGCATTGGTACCTGACGGCCGTCATTCAGGTGCCACGGCATAAATGATGTATCTAATGCTGACTGAATTGGAAGTCAGCCTGGTTGTAATATGAATGTGGGACGGGATGATGTTTGTCTGACGAGTTCTTTCTGTTGGACCACTGTATCCAATCGTAGATAAGGTATCTTGAATGTGAATTTGTCTTATTAGCTGCGGTTGTAAATTAAGGTGATTTGCATTAGTTCACTGAACCCAAAGACTTTGTAAGTCAGTACCTGACCAGATGTGTCACTGGACTATTTCGCACCCAAACTCGTAGTTATACATGGCACATGTGTTATTTGCTAAGGAGCCATTTCAAGTGTGGTGTAGTTGAGACTGATGGCCGTGTTATTGAATGACGCCAGCACCATGGCACTGCACCGACAACAAGGCGGCACGACGGCAGTTTATTTATTTAAAGGACCTGCGAATTAATAACCGAATGTCACGAAGCATGTTGACACCAGTGCGCTAATTTGCGGCGGAGAGAGGACGCACACTACCGCAAGGACAGGGAAGGAGGGAGGGGAGGACGGAGACGAGGGTGGCTTGAGGGATGGGTGGGGTCGGTGCTTACAGCGAGAAATGCTTGAAACACACATTTAGACTGCTGCAGAACAACTGCATTGGTTCGATTACATACCTTAATACTCTTATCCTGGCTTAGCTTTGTGTAAGTAAAGTAGTATCACAGTCATTATTCCCTTTCGTGTAATTTTTTTTCGGCTATCACTCTCACAGTTTTCTAAATTCGCAAATGAACGCCAATTCCACTGCAAAAAATTGCACCATAATTTTGATTTCGTGTACCGCAAATTCATTCCAGTTGGCTCGACTGTCAGTAAGTGAGATTGATTGTTGTGTGATGCGTCTCAAAGAAAGCGTCAGGGGCATCTATCCAATTGTCAGAGTGTGGTTTGGAAAAAAATTTCTTACTCCCTTAAATCACATGAATAACTCCATTATTTTTTTGGTTTTTCTTGTCAAAATGAGGTTACGGAAGTATCCCCTTTCATTCCAAATCTTATCATGAGAGCTTTCTGTTTCCTCGGCAAATAGCTTTCGCGAACAACAATTTTCCAGTATTTTGACAGAAATAGTAATGGTAGAAAGGATATTGTTAAAGCAAATAGGATAATTGTTTGCGAGTTTAATTGATGTGGTTTGCTAAAACAATTTCCAAGTCCCTGGCCGTCATTTACATGTAGATGGGCGGGAAAAAACGGTTTGTGTAGGTGATGAGGGATTGCCAAGTATGCAATAGACCCTCGTATTTACCATCAACGGAATCGTTGATGGGTTAAATGGGTCATCGAACTCCCTTAAGCAATGAATCACGAGCCCAATCAGCTAATTTGATGACCTCCTCCGGCTCTGAAAATAAACACCTTCCAAATAGAGAAGTACTTTATTAGGAATAAATCAGGCACAACTACGCTTACGTGACATCGTTGTGAGGTAGACTTCAATCGAATGTCAATTTCCTTATCGCTAGATGATGCTAAGTATTGCAACATGTTGAACATGTTCGTTATTTCATTCGGTAATGCTTCTATCACCATGCCAAATAAAGGAAGTGAATAATCGTATTTTTCGCTACTGCAAGTCCTTCAGCAGACCAAGTGCATTAGTAGCAGCTGAATTGGAAAGGCTACACAGAAGGAACTTACACTAGCTTCAACGAAGGACTGCCTTTGGTTAGCTAGCGCTCCGTTGAAGGAATGCTACTAGAGAGCAGTGACGGTGACATCAAGTCATCAAATTTGGGTTTGTGAGATGACCTCATTCCGGCCCTCTTGGAGGGGTTATATTATTTTTTGAGGTCATGGAGTTGACAACCCGTGAAAAGTTATAAAACGGGCGTGTGCGACTGTTTCCTCCTGTTGCTGCTACTGTCACGGTGTAAAAACGCTTGCGGTAATAAAATTTTTGTGCTTGCATAAACATTTCTAAAACCTCTTCAGTTTCTAGGTCTGGTTTTAATAGGTCTCCCAACCTATTTGTGTGCATCCGCTTAGTTAGTGGTTGCAACCTTCACAGTTGAAAGAAGACATCGGTGGTACGTGAAGCATGTTTTAAGCATTTATTATGGCACTTATAATACAAATCCAGCGCCTGTAGGGGATTAGTAATAATTATGACCAAGAAGGGGGAATTATTCGCACACCTATTTTGCAGTTTGGTTTACATGCTTTATATGCAAGAATAATTAATGCATCAATCATTAATTGTTGCACTTCGTAATCATGCCAACAGACATGCTGAATTATTTAATTGTTGGGAGATGTATCCCGTTTGGCTCTGCATTTATGCAAAATCTCAGGGTTAATTAATTGAACTTGGTTTCTAAAACCGGTGCACTGCCATCAGACGCCTCGTTTGGATTCTGTTTTTTAATCAGAATGCTTTGAAAACTTACAGAATTCAACTTCATTGATAATCCACCTTAGTATAGGACGATTTGACGAAATTCAGTGTGGGGTGGAAGTTATATCTTCAGAATAACCATGACAAATACGCCTACGAGAACCCACTAGCTATTTAGAATGGAGCAAACTACTTCTGGTAGCAGAGCAGATGGTGGATGTTGGGAAATTATACACAATCGCGGGACTTTGTTCTCTCCCCTAAATCCCTCCACTCACTCACTGGACCCCAGGTTCGTAGACAGAATAGCCAATTAATATCAAACGGGCACCATCATCTCCACCCCTTTCAAACATACGTCACCTTGCCTGTTGACCGCATCAGATGGGGCCAGCCCTTGCTGAGCCCAGTTCTTGCATTCTAAATCCACCTCTGAAAGAGGTCAAATCGAAATTATTAATCAGCAGTAATTCTCGCGCCACCTAATGTATTCGATGTATCGATGTGAATTAAGTGATCTATGCGATTTTGATATTTTGGTATTTCTGAGGGCCCTTTTAACATTTGTACCAAAAGGTAGATAAGCAAAATGTTTTGTGAAAATAAAAGTACCGTTCAAAGTTGTCACCAGAAGTGACAGAGGAATAAAACCAAAAGTTGGAAGAATTAATGCAGTGGGATTACATAGAATGGCTTATTTTACAAAACCTTCTTCGAAAATGCCGCTATACTTAGGTGGGCTACCGCTGCCCTAGGCCAAGGTTCACTGCTATGGTCTATGGACTCATCACAACATCTTCAAGCAAAATTTACTCCATCCGTCTGGTGTGCGTTGAAAGCCCAAATACGATGCATACTTCCAGCACTTTTTCCTTCATTAAGTTGCATGTTGTCTTTGAGGTGGTTGCCTTCTGTCACTTTTATCCTCCGACAGATTAAGAGCTCAATTGTCAATTTCACCGTTTTAGGCTTTCTAGAGCTCTAAGGCCGCTTGAGTGCCCCTTTGTCGGTTAAACAATCAAATGTAAGTTATTGATGCGCTAGTAACTGCTTTCCTCGGATGATAGACCTGCTACTTCGAAGAGAAACTGCTCATTTGGTCATTTAGGATACTCTTGCCATTTGCTAGCACGCTCTTTTCGGACTGTCTCGAAATTTGCTCCTCCATTGTTCCGATCTATCGCAATCCTTTTAGTTCTACAGCAAGAGTTTCAATGTGGTATTTGCCTCTTGCCTCACCCAAATGCGTTTTGCCTTGATGCTAGAGAGCGTGCTGCATTTTCGTAAAATTAGAAAAATTGACCTAAATTTTGATTTCATTGATAAGAGTTGCTGCCGCCCTACGGAGATCAACCTCGAAACCGAAAAGATTACTACGGATGCAGACACGGGTTTTGTTTATTGTTTGCGAATTTGGCGTTGTCCATGCGCCAATTGGTACTGCAATTCGTGCACATGAATCCTCGTTGCATTTGTATTCATGGATGTGGTTTAACATTACACCGTCTACAATTTCAGAACGGGTTATAATTAAGGAAAAATGAACATCATTTCAATATCTGCTTTGCTTTTTTCCATCTGCCAATTGGTCCGGAGCGCCTCAAACTGCATTGAATTGATGAGTGGAAACAGTTTTGGTCTCTTCTGTCCCTCCTACTCCGGCTCCCTTCCCCTCGATATTCCGACCGGGAAGCGATACTCAAAGCTCCAGATTGAGTCTGCGAATTTCCCCTACGGAGGTGCAGTTCTCTCCAAGGTAAACTTCACCAGCCTTGAGAGTCTTACCTACTTGCGTATTACGTCTTCCGGCATTGAGAGGATTGATCCCGACGCATTTTTCAATCTCAAACAACTTACGCATCTTGATCTATCCAAGAATCGCCTCACCTTCATCGAACCTGGCACATTTAGGGGACTGAAGCTGAAAAAGCTCATTCTCTCGGGCAACAGTGGCTTGAAGCTGTCATCTTCAGCTTTTTCTGGAGCAAAAATATTCAACTTTGTCGCCAAAGACTGCAATTTTCATTCCATTTCCTTTACCCTCTTCAAACAAAGTGGTACGCGGCATATCAGTCTTGTAAACAACAGAATTCGTACGCTATCAGAGGAATTCTCCGTTCTCATCATACCGTCGGATGGAAGTTGGGGTTCAGTCGATCTGTCCAACAACAGCCTAGTTTGTGATTGTGGTCTTCTCTGGCTAGCCCAGCTCCTTGATAAACAACGTAGATATATGGATGATGCTTCTTCTGAACTCGTCAGCGTACGCTCTCCCAGATATCCTCGTGAAACGACAGAAGAGGAAGTGTTCAAACCAATGTATCGGTTAAATCTTACCTGTTCAGCACCGAAACACCTTGTGCAGCAGCGATTTCCTCTTCCTGGTGAATTTGATTGCCCTGCACCTCAAGTAACTGGAATAGATATTGCCATAATTGGAAAATTGATGGAGACGGTTCAGCTGACATGCCACGCTAGAGGACGCCCAATGCCAAACGTTGCTTGGGCATTCCAACAGCACAACCAGGAAGTGCATCGAATTGTAAAGTCTCCCACACAGCTGCCTCCGTGGGGCGGTGATCAGATGATGGATGTGTCGATTGGGCTAAATGTGAGTTTGCGGGAGTTTCAAGCACGCGATTTCTCATGCATAGCCTGGTCTGACTTAGGACTAAACAAGCCAGTACAGGTTTCACCCTCACAGGATAACTGGCTCAACGAAAGTCCCAGCTCCTCATCTTCTATTGTACCACGAGGTCCTCTTCCCCCGGAGAAGGCTCATCGAGTCGGTGTTCGTTTAAGCGGTTTACACATTGACAACCATGAAGGTCTCGCTGAACTGTTGCAAGGATCGACAACTAACGATTCGGCGTTCGATAGAAGCGGTGAGTTATCGGCCAAAGGTTCTACCGACTTCAGTCCATACCAACAATTATTTATTCGTCGCTTCACTCCACTGGATCTCATAGGCGCCATCATTGGAACCTTTATAACCACTCTGATTCTACTATGCATAATCACCAGATGCGTTCCGCACTGTTATCGCAGAAAATCCCACCCATCCAAACACATTCTATTACAGTATGAAAGGAAGCAGGTATTGACGCCCTTTTTGAAGGAAGAAAACAAAAATGAGTCAGACATTGTAGAGCAAAACAAAGGTCAACCTCAGCAACAACAACAGCAGCAACGACAAGAGCAACAGTCGGCGTATTTTGGTGAGGCAGCAACCACAGTTGGTTCGGGATCTGGCCCGGCATATTGGCCAGTGCAGGACTACGCCTACTCCACCCACGAGTACGACGTGCCGGGGATGACGGATCCACTGGCCGGAGCCATGCCTCTCTCCCCCCACCCAATGATGGGAATGTCCAACGCTACGGGCACCCTGGTGCGACGAGGGCGGCCTATGTCTACTGCAAGTCTGCACCCGAGTGCTATTCAGACCCCCTATCTCTTTCCCAAAGCAGCCACCTCAACCACAGGTCTCATTCTGCCTCCTGTGGCCACAGTCCCACCCCTAGGAGTCGTCGCCTCTCCCTTCCTCTCCTACGCCACTGTACCTCAACCACCCTTGCCGAGTCAACAGCCCCCTGTCTACTTCGGCCATAATCACCAGCTCTCACTAAGTGCACTGCCCAACGGCCAACTGGTAATGACGCCTACAATGAGTCGCAACGTGAACGGTGCAGCATCGCAGCAGTTTGAGGAGCCCGAGGCGTGCGTAGAGAGCAGCGTGACCAGTTGCAACTCCGAGAAGAGTGCGACTGAGCGTCTCATCGGGGCATCAGGGGGAGTGCCGCCGACGCAGCAGCACAAGTGATCACTGTAAATCTGCACAGCCACCACCAGCTACCACTCCGTCTATTGAGTGACATCTTGTGGCATTTAATTTTCTCTTTCTTACTTCCCTTTCCCTCATCCTCTATCTCACCCACTCTCACCCATTCAACTCCTTTTCCACACTCCTGTGTGTCTGTGTTTGCAATTGTGGAAAAGTGAGTTTTCCTGTTTTTCAACCATTACAAAACGATCAGAGATGAACATATCAGGGCTGTCACTCTATCATGATTACAAGTACTTTTCACATTTTGACTTCCCATTGCACCGACACCACTGCACACCATGCATATAAGCACTCTCCCCCCACCCCACTTTGAATTTAGGTAATTATATCAGCAAAACCGACACGACGGCGTCCCTCCATGAGGTCAAGGGATCGTATAGACTAATGGTTAAGCTCCAAGATCCAGACTAGCCCTCTTTCTATTTCAAAATATGAGTAATTCGTGGGAATGTCTGAGGTTTAGTACTAAATTTTTTACTACATCCGCCCAGTTACTACTAAATTTCGAAGTGGCATAAGTTATTTCGGGAACTACTGCAGGTATACGTAGACCTAATTTTAGTAGAGATATGAGCCAACAGTTTAATTGCTAATTAGACTGGTAGGCTAGTTATCCGCTACAAAGTTATTCCTAAATGATAACTAAAAGAAGTAATGAGAAAATTTACCGATTACTCACAAGCATTTTTAAGGCTCACACAAGGTAAATGTTTGAAATTCGAGTGCGCGTAGACCTGCTATGAATGTGGGTGGAAAGGCTAGGTCCTAGTTCAGTCAGGTACTTATTTGATGGAGGATCATCTCTGGTGGGCATAAAAAGATGCCCCCTTTAGTACTGAGCAAAATCAGCCGATGAGTGATTGGTGCTAGGGAGAAACTTCAGCACTGAAATGCCATTCAATCACATTTTACTTTCGTGCAAATCTCATGCCTCTTGTACTGACACACCGGATATTTCCGTAGGACTACCAAGAACTTTAAGAGCACAGATTTGGGATACATAAATAATACATACCTGACAAGTAAATGGAAATTATTCACGGATTTTGCGCAATGAGATAATAATTGGTATTTCCCATCAAACGACATTCGCTTGAATGTTTTATGAAGTGGGGTTAGTGAGGCATAATGCAAACCTGGAAATAAATTTAGTCTGCAAAATCCACTAGCCATGTGTAACTGGATTTGCAAAAAAATAAGGCCAATTTGAGCATGCAGAAAAAAACTGCTTTTTCCGAGATATTTTGCCATTGCCAGAAGCTGTGGTGGCGGGGAGGGGGAAGTGGCCAAGTCAGTCATAGTGACTACAATGGAGGGGAATTAGTTAGGTATGAATGCTATGCTTTGACCCTAGTAGGGTAGCAGAAAGCACGGGTGGAGGCAATGACTCATACTGGTACGGTTGGTCCGTATTAATTACACTTGCCACACCTAGGCTCGCCTGAAATGATAAAGCGGGCGTTGGTGGCATGCCACGGTGATGGCAGCAAAACCGTGTTCCGACGTGCAGACATGCGCACTGCCCCTGCACTAGCATCATCACCATCATTGCCACATTTATAGACCGAACATCAGCAACGCCTCACTAACTTCTTCACCTCAAACAGGGCGAAAGCGCACAAATACCCGATACTCCATACGCATATCGGAAGGGCTAGAAACTCAAATAATGGCATCTACAAAGCAGAAGAAATAAGTGTTTACTTTACCTGAAGTTTTGACTGAAAAACGTACGTTAAATAGCCATTAACCAGAAGCGTAAATATTTATTAAATTCCTTAGAATGTTCAAGTTGTGCTTCCCTACGCAGTTCCAGCAGATTTCGATAGCCACTTCAGTGTCATGGTAATTCGCCCACATTTTTTATGAACAGCTAATTGGCTTTCAGGGGGGAATTGGAACGCTATGGCACTTCATCCAATGGGGCAGCAGAATTGTAGAAATTTAGAGGCTCTTGCTCATAGACCGCAGACCTAGCTCCTGACATCAAAATAAGAAAGTGGTTAAACAAAAAAGTGTGATGTGATAGGCGAACATGGAAGCTTAATGCCTAGCTTAAACTACGATGAAAACAGTAGATTAATTAAGAACTGGAACAGATGGAGAAAAAAGTTTTGTAAAATCAAGCAGCGGTTGCCTATGAGGTTCTAAAGTTACACAGCACAAAATGATAGTGTTAACAGAGGCTTAAGCTGGGTCCTATTGAGTAGCACCTTCATGATCTTTTCTAGAGACCGCACCATAAAGGGCCTCAGTAGTCTTAGTCACAATTGTGAACCCATTGCTATTCGTTCCGATTTTACGGCACCATTGCGAAACTTTGTTAATAGAGAAGTGTTAACATGGCCTTATAAGTAAAGTGAGCGAAAATGTAAGGGGAGAGGGTGTAAGTACAAGCTTCTTCACAAAATGCGTATCTCACGATAGAAACTTTAGTAAATAGAATAGACCTTCGGCTGCTTAATAAGCAACTCAACAAATTTACACTTTGAGGGCTAATGATAATTTATTGTTGTGCCTTGGCTAAAAATACGCCTACCATCTGAAGCCCAATGGACGTTTGGATTACTTTGAGTTATTCGCTTCACGAAGCGAGATTCGCTCTAAAATCCCGTTTCCCCCGTGTATACTTAGGAGCAACTAAAGTTGAATACTTACATAGGTGGAAGAGGCGTCAAATGATTGCAAATTTACGATTTTATTGCCAGGAACACCACATTGTTAATAATCCCACAAATACCACTGTATGATTGGACAGCGGAAGTGAAAAGGTGGCAATGCGTCGGACAGAGCAAAATGAGTAAAGCCATTCGATATGCTCCTCTCAAAGTTACTATTGGCAGTTTCTTGTTTGGTATTCACGAGGAGTGTGGCCGTATATCGTCCTTAGTTAAAAAGCAGCAGTCTTCTAAGGAAGCATCAGGCTAATTATAAACAAAAGAACAAGCATACAGAAGCAACCATACCTTCACCTCTCGTCCTCATCAGGAGATTTTCTACAGAACCTCGGTTTCTACATATGCTAAATTTGTGTAGGTTAGCCTTATGCAGTTAGTGCTCCCTTGGGATGACAACTAGTCGCTTCAGCGTTGATGCTTGCATGCATGCTAAAAGTATATAACGGCCTTGATCACTATAGATTTTTATCAAAAAAGAGTTTTGTCGGTTCTCCAAGTAGATCCTGTCATTATTTCGCCTAAATGATAAGCCTTCTTGCACTGAAGGCTGGTTTCAGAGGCAATTTAGTTCTATGTGAAATACAATATCATAAAAGTTCCACTGACGAAAAGTTTTTATTTACCTTAAAATGTGGACGTTTATTCAAAGCCGAATTTGCCAAGTGAATAAAAACAAATCTTGGAAAAAGAGAGGAAGGAAGAGGAAAGCAAAGTTGGCAATTTTAAAGCTCAATAATGCCTGCAAAATTATACGCCAGCGCAATATCTTCATTGTACTTAATAAAAGGTGGTCCAGGTACAGGTTGTTTTGAAGGATCACTGAGCGTCTGCTTTACGTTATCTATACAATTGGAATGCATTTAACAAGACCTTGGTTGTGGGCAGATGAGAAGTGGAAGTTATATCAAAAGTCGTGCCTTTTTGGTTTTGATTTGCCATTAGTAAGTGCCTATTTTCATCTCAACTTACAATGTTTGCAACAATTGTTTAAAAACAACGAATTATGCTTATTGATGCCATATTTTGTCGAACAGCATCGAACCACAGAAGAGTTAGCTTACCCCTGGACATGCAACTGTAGGCTTGTACTGATCACATATTTAGGCCGCGCTTCAACGCCTAATTAGTGGCTTGTAGCACGCGTATGTACGACTCATTACAATTAGAAATGAGATTAGATGTCACTTTTTGCAGATGTTAGCTAATAACACCGGGCATTCGACTCCAGTGCTTCTTTTTTAACTTCGTCTTCTTATCTGCACATTGCCTACAGGCAACTTGCTCAAGTACCTGATTACACCAAGGAATCGAGTCGTTAGTGCAAGAACTGGTATAATCAACTAGGCGAACTGATCGCGGCATTTCCTTATTTTTTATCTGCAAGCACTTATGCATGGCTAAACTCCACGATGAAGCATTGTCCTCTAATGCAAGTTAATGGTAAACGTCTCAAGTGCAGTTAACTTTTGCATAAAATAGACAACAAATCTGCTGCATACATTAATTAACTACGGTGTAAAAGTGAAATTGCAAAAATGAGCAGTCAAATCACTTTCGATCACACCACTAATAATTACTTTCAAATTCATTTTACTATGGCAAAATTGGTAGCAATACAAATACCTCACAACCTCTTCCGTGAACTTTGCGTCTTTTATTATTAATTATTAAACAATTATTTGCGTTTAGCAGCAGGAAAAATTTAATCGCTTTTAATTCTGAAATGGATTTGTCATTCAAAGTACAGTTGCAGATTCATAGGTGGAAGATGCCATTTAGGTTGGCAAAACTTTAGAATCCAAAGGATTTCGAGACTTCATCATGATCACACAAACATCCTTTGAAAGTACATTGGAAAACGGTCTCTCATCACTTTCTACCACAAACCATGATGGAATCAAATAGGCCAAAAGCATCATCACCATTTTGAGAACAAGATATGAAGCATCTTTTATTGATATTTCTTTCAGCCAAAGAAATAAGTATGAGTCGCCGATGATAAAAGTCGAATAGTTAACAGACCATTTAGAATGAGAATAGTTCTTGATGCTATTTTAACACTTTTATGAACCAGGTGTGTTGATTTAACTCCAAATTTCACTTTTTTGTCCCTCGCTTGTGTTTTCATCATTAATCTTAATCGGGAAAAATTTGATGTTTCGCCACCTTAACTACCAATATGTTCGTGTGGAACAATTTTATCCCAAACCCAATGTTTGTGAGCTGACACATCAAATGAAGTCATGTGTTTGGATTTGCAGCAAAACGTGCTACAGTTAATCACATGACCCATGCCATAAATGATTAGATTCACGAAACACTTCTACTTAGTCTTAAAATATGCGTGCCAGTAGCAAAGTGAGCTGCGAATTGCATAAAATAATGCCGCACAACTCTTCAAAATTATTTTAGCGCGTCTTCCACGCGTATTCACATATTTATGATGAATTCGGAAATAATAACGCGAATTGATAGGAGTTCAGATCCTTTCTCATTCTTTTGTACATTACAAACTGTATTTGGTAGTGATCTCAAGTCAATTGCTTTGGCTTTTTACGTTAAATCGAATTGCCAATTTAGAGGAGGAAAAAAATCTGAATTGTTTTGGTACCACAGCTTTATTGTAATGCCCAAAAGTGGGATGTTTTACATGAAGCGGATGCCAATCTTGAGGGAGTGGTAACAAATTAGCAGGGCGGAATTAACGTGTCTAAAACAATGCTCCATGGAGGAAGTGCAGATAGATAGAAAAGCGGTTAAACACACCAGCCAGATATGAATGTATGAAATATCCCAAGGCTCACAGTTCTGTGAATTTGACCTTTTGAAAAGCAGGTATCATTGCTTATCCCATGAATTAAGAAAATTCCGGTAGTTAGGATATTCGGGCGTTACCTGCTTTTATCGCTGATGGTGGTGGGGTGCCACAACTAGAACCCAGGTTCTTCTCGCCACGGTAACCCTATTACCTTTAAAAGGAACTCCAAGGTACACCCCAAAAATGGGACCAATTTAGGCCACACCGGCAGATGACTACACTTCTCCCATCATATTTGATTTCGCCTAGCATAGGGTTGCCCATTATTAAGTAAAATAGTGAATTATTATAGTTCACTAGCAAATTTGTAGACCAAATTTCTTCTTGGTTAAATTAGGTTATCTTTTCAGGCATTAAAGAGGTCTTATTACTTGTATTGGTATGGTCATATATTGAAGCAAATCCACACATTCCACCAGGACTTAGCTACCTGCTTTCTTACAAAAATCAAGTGCATCACTTTTAAATTATCTTGTAACATCAGTCTTGAGCGTTTTGGCAGAGACTGCACACCGACTTGCGGAATTTTTAGCTCTTCGCGTGGGAATTTTAAAGACATCGATTCACGCAGTGGAAACTTCTGCAAGAAAAGTACTGACGCGAAGTCGCACGGGGTAAAATATTTTTTACCCAATAAGAGCCACACATACGTAAACCTCAAACCTGTTCTTGCAAAATTTTTTAAAGGTTTGTCGCATCAAGTGATGATGTGCTCAAGGGAAATGCGATTGAACTGTCACTTCCCAAGTGAAATCCACTTCCCACTGGCGATTTCATCATGCGTCCCATTTCAAGTATTCTTGAGATGATTTAAAGCTTACTTCCTACGTCATTTTTCCAAAACGGAAAACGGCGAATTTGAAAGACTGTTTGCAAGTCGTGAAAGGTGCAGAAGTGATTGTAGTGCTCATTCTACACCAGAATAGGACTTCCAAGAATAATTGATTAAATGATGATGAGGAACACCTGATGCAGAGAGTCCATTAACAATCTTTATGATGGTGGCGGTTTTAATTTGCATGGCTTCCCTAGGATAGTGCTAACAGATCTCCCAAATCGCCTTATTTCATATTAATTTAAGAAACTTCGTTCCCATTATGACCACGCGTTTGTCTAAGTACGGCGATAATATCGTAATTATTGTGCAGCCAACAGCAAAAAAAATTTCCTTTTTCCTAAAAGAGTAAGAAGTTATGGAGAATTTAAATGTCATTTGCAGTATCGACACACTGACATAAATTAAGACAAAATGTTATTTATGTTTAATGTTTGTAAACTAGGTAGCTATATTCATTCATTCATTTAAGTGTACTCACTATTTGAGAACCTGGAACTTAACTGGAATTTCGCATAAAATTAAGAATGACTTTACTTCAGGGGCATTATTGCGAACCCACCATAATTCTTCTTGTTTTTTGCAAAGTATGAAAAAGAAGTTGCGAACAAGCGTAGTAGCGCCCATCGTGTTCACCGATTGTGCTTTTACTGAACCGCTGCGTGATTCTGTGGGGGCTTTGAAGACTTCTACAGGGAAATTCCCTGGTTCAATAAAGTGACACATCACCGCTTGAGCAGGTAAGCGACGATCCACATACGAGACAACCGTACTGCAGATTGTGCAAATGTTCTTGTTTCTATAGTATGTTATATGCCACCGAAAATGCCATTGAGACATATTTGGCCGGTCAAACGCATTGGCTTCAATATGAATTTTTAGCTCAGTTGGGCAGTTGTTACCATGATGATGTAACTTGTAACGTTTGCCTTTTTCCTGACATTAGTCCTCCAGTACTCGTGCCGACAAGGGATTCCTGCATTACAGGGTGATGTTTAGAAACTGCAACAAGTAAAAAATGTTCCATATATTTTGATTATCTGAGTCCTTGACCTACTCAATTGACTGTTCAACAATAATATTTCAATTGCATGATTTCCTCTCCGACATAATTTAAAGGAGTTGTCACAGCTGGTGATAATTAGCGCATGGAGGGTTCTATAATACAGCACAAGAAACCCTGAAAAACGTAATACAGTTTGTTTTCTACTCACAAATCTCAGTATAGTCCATCAATTTAGGCCATAAGATTTCTCAATCCTGTGCCCTTTACATTGCCCAGTGTATAGTTTTTGCCAGGAAATTAGGAATTTGGGATAAATCCTACATTTCAACTAGTGCAAGGTATGGAGGAAATAATTCTCTCCCTTCCTTTATTAGTATGCGAGACTCATTGTTTACGTGATGCTCATTAGCTGAAATTCTGGCAGTAGGTTAATGAATTTTTTATTGTTAGGCGTGACAACAAAATACCAAGCCAACTGTTCTTGCATCGGCCCTTATTTAAACCTACTTCGATGCATTTAAGTGGATTTACTGCAGCCATATCAGGCGAGAACCGCCATCCATTACAAATCGAGCACGTGTAACCCTGGAGGAAAGTTTGGAGACAAGTATCTCTGGGCTCAGCTGACCGCAACAGGAGAAGACATGCAAAATATGCGTGGCTGAAAGTGGATTACTATGACTACCGAGACCTTTTCAATCCAAAGGGCTAACTTGCGGTATTCATTGCTCCAATGAAGTGGTAGACTCACAACAATGACCAGCTTTCGTTAAGTATTTATGGTTGGCAGTTTTGGATTCAGTGATAGAATATTTGTTGTATTTCCAAGAAGTATTTTTTGAACAATCTTCGTCACCTATCACTATTCCTTTAAAACTTTACTGTTTGGTTTGAATAAAAAGTAGTGAAAATACCAACAGACAACTTGGGTACTGAGCAGTTCACAGAATTGACACCCAGAATGATCCGGCAACCTGCAGTTATTGGTATATAATGCGACAAGCAGAACCATTGCCTCAGAATAATTTATGATTTATTTTATACCACAGTCAAATGGGACTTCATAGGTGGAGATTTAAAAACATGGAAAATTGATCCTACACATATTGTTTATCCTTTTCAAACGCATGTCATGCCAGAAATTGTGCAATGTATTCTCGACAACCTGCCTTTTTATGTCCATTGTGTTTGTTCGTTAAACCACATCTAGCAGACTATAAATTGGTCAAAGGGAGTCGTAATGTAGAATAGCTTATATTCTAAATTTTCGCAAAATAGGCTAACTTCGTGATATTATGCATGACCGGAAATTGTTGCTAATAAATGTCAATGACGCTAAAGAGAAGGACAGCTATTGTAGACTATTTGTAAACAAGAAGAGTTAAAGACTAACTAAGCTCCTTTTATGCCGCAGCAATTCATAGTTAACTGATGCAGTATCACCCAAGCCGATGAATTTTAAGACAAAAAGCCAATGAACAGAGGTAGTGTTTACGCGGTGTATCGAAGATTGAACTGAGTAGGGACTCCATTTGGTACGACTTAGTATTGAAATAAATCAAAGAGCTGGCCAAGTAAATTCACTTGGACTAAAATCCTGGATAGCAGACATAAAGAATCCAATTGGACTCTCCCTTCTTAGGCGCTGTAGCATTTTGGCTATGTTTGTATCTCTCTAGCCTTCGTATACACCAAAAATTTTGGCATAATACGATTTAGAGAGGCTTGCGGGATAAATGAGCAACCAAAAGATGGTACTACACACTAAAAGAATCTAGTAGCAGCCAGAACTATAACTACTTGCACAGTCTAAATTCAAAAGTTGTTATGATTTACTTACTCGGGAGCAGTTGAATCTAATCATAGGTAGTTGTATTAATTTGGAAAAAAAAGAAGACGCGCGCCCTAGCTAAACTATCAAAAAGACAAAAGTAAATTTTGCAAAAAATTTTAAAAATGCGCAGTGGTTGTACAAATGTTAAAGAGCTCATATTGGTGTTAATTGTTTAAATGATTAAGCTTAAGCCGCTCCACCTAAACGATCGGGATTTTACAATTTGATTGTTATGCGTTATATAGATCGAGCGCAGTATGAAATCCTACAAGATGAGGAAGTACCGTACAATGCGGAAGATCTTGAACGCCTCCCACTGGTACCTCTTCAGCTAGATTCGACACACAATTTGGATTTGTTTTTTTCCCAGATTTATGAGTACCACCAACTCGGTGGGTTTACTGTAAGTCACCGATGATATCCTTCATTCATTTACTCGATTTTATATTGTGTTTTGGGGGACAGTCTGTGTAGTCGGACTATGTTTTCGTCGCGAATTTCGTTTCCAAATCCTGGAATTTTAGCCGCTCTCATCCTCCCTTCCACACATAATTCTGCCTGACTATGCTTTTGGTATCATGCCCGATTATGAATTCTAAAACCACTCGTACAATAAAAGTGTTTATTTGTTGCCCATTACATATTGAGAAATTTGGACGATTTAATTTGGGACTTCATAGACTTTCGTTTTTACTTGGAAACTAGGATTACTCACGTAACCAATCCAGTATTTGCGTATGATCTACCATTTACAACTGTACAGGTCTCACTCGAATGTGTGGTTCCTCTGGACTTAACACCAGTAGCTTAAAGACTATTTCGAACGCTGAACTTATTGTAAATGAAGATTTTATATTGCTTTAGAATATATTAAAATATCCATATACAAGTCCCGTGTGGGCACGAGGTTCCTCTGGGAGAGGAAGGCCTGAAGTATCTGTCACTATTCGAGCAATTTATTGCCCTTGGTATTTATTGTTACTTTTCGTTTTAGGTGATAACGGCCAACTACGTGCTTTCCGCGTTGAAGTTCGTGTTCCTCTTTTTCTGTTGTATGGAGCTGGTGGTGTGTATGAAATGGAGCAAGGTACTGGACCCCAAGACGACCATCAACACGTGGGATGACATTGCGGTTTCACCGGCGGTATGCTGGGCCTCGTTGCCACCGTTCGCTGCGCTCTGCCTCTTCGTCGCCATCCTTGTTTTCGTCTATCATCTAGTAAGTTCTTCTCCCCTCCTCTGCCTATTTGTATTTATTACAATTCGTAGAGTTTTCTTTTACTTCTGGGCTCCTCCGTTCTGCTGAGTCGTATGCTAATGTCACTTTGGCCAGTATTTACTGCTTCATAACACCCGTTAATATTGGTTTTTCAAAAAATGTATATGAGGGTGTTTTCACTCCTATTTGGATGAATTACACCTGGAGAGCAGCGTCTAAGGCGAATTTCCTGGATCGGACGTAGATGCGTTGCATTTTTTTAAGTTGGCAATATTAAAAACGTTGCGGTGTTGTTATGTGAACTCACACAAAAGTGTATGAGACAAGGTATTTAATCTATAGTCGAGAGGACCGTCCTCAAGTCACTCTTAATGTGTGTCCCCACCTTATTAGCCACGTAGAAAATGATTCACTTAATTCAAAAACGAATCGACTACCTAATGGAATAATTTAAGCATTGTCTTTGGTTAAAGACAATAGGGGCGTTGAGATTAAACTTCCCTTATTCATGTTGGTAACTGTAAAAAAGTACTTATTTTGCTGCTTACTTCGATGTCGGAAGGGGTAGCCCATTCGTTTGGTAGAAGCTTAATTCTTTAGTTGCGCTGCACAGTATCCCATTCGACCTCACTTCATTCCCTAAAACTTTTGGACGTACGACGCCATCACGTGATCCTCCAGACCTGTTGTTACTTACTTTTTTCTTACATTAAGCACATTTTTGGAGAAGTAGCATTGTCGACTCATGAAACTTTATGTATTTCACACCAACTTGAAAGTCCGATATCTTGTCAGTTATTGAGTGAAGAAAATTCATTAAACTACCTATTCCCAATGATAGGTGAGTCATAAAATGTCCTCCAAGACACTATAAGAGCATGGTGTAAATAATGAGCCAAACTGAAGAATGTGATTATTTTTTATTTTACAGAAAATGGCACTAATTGCAAAATTCTTGAATGCCTCCGTATATCCGATGGATCTTAACCGTTTCCGTCACACCTTATGTATACGCCATGTTTTTTATTCATAATCTCTCTAAGTCGAATTTATTCGCACTAGCATGTCCATGCCCAGATGAGGTGACTATAGGTGGTTGTGTAATTTCTAGATTCGCTCGGTTATAGCGCTGGCTCAGATGTGGGGTGTTCGTCGCTTCTGCACTATAGCTCTCGATATGCCTACAAGCGACTCCGAGCTGAACGACTTGACCTGGAGCGAGGTCCTGCGGCGTCTTCTCTCCGTACAGGCGCAAATGCCCATTTGGCGCACCAAGGTATTGGACGAACTCGATGTTTACAATCGCATTCTCCGTCAGACGAACTACCTCATTGGTATGGTTAACCGGGAGGTCATCCCCTTTCGGTTTCACCTACCTATGGTCTCTAACCCCTATATCTACCTACCGCACTACTATCTCCTTAATCTCAAATTCCTTCTCTTTTTGGGACCCAAGTCTCCCTTCGCGTCTTACTCGCAGCTGCGTCCCGAGTACAAGTTCCTCACAAGGCGACTCGAACTTGCTGCTGAAATGGCCAAACACTCCCGCATCATTGGCCTCATTGGCCTTATTCTAAGCCCTCTTGTCTTCCTTATACAGATTCTCCTATTTCTCTTCTCTAACGCTCAACGATTGCGTTATCAACCGGCACAACTTTTCTATCGAAGCTGGTCCAATTATGCTCGTTTGTATCTGCGTCACTTTAATGAGCTCCCACATGAATTTGACATGCGCTTGAACCAAGCCTACAAACCAGCAACAGAGTACTTGGATTGTTTCCAATCTCGCCTCTTGAGCGTTACGGCATCACACTTGGCCTTCACTTTTGGTGGCCTTTCAATTCTCCTTTTCGTGATCAGTCTTTTTAGGGAGGGTTTAATCCACCTCACTGGTTATTTGGCCGCGATGGCGGTTGGTGGTCTGATCGCTAACGTATGCGCCAACTTCACCCCCACAGAGGATGCTATCCGCTTTCCCCGAGCCTCGCTTCTCGCCACCTTAGCGAAGATCCACTACATGCCCGATAGTTGGAAGGATAACCCCCACGCGCACAACGTACGCTCCGAGTTTTCGCAACTCTTTCAATTCCGCGCGGTTGGTGCAGTTGAAGAAATTCTGTCTCCCATCCTCGTACCCCTAATCATGCTCTTCTATATGCCCCATCGAGGTCTGGACATCGTGGACTTTCTGAGAAATTTCACCACAGAATTGGATGGGGTTGGTGATGTTTGCAGTTTCGCACAACTGGATATACCACGCCATGGTGATCCTGAGTGGTGCCCCATTGTTGGCACAGCCCCTTCATCGCCTTCTTTGGGTGATGGGGGCTCCGACGACAGCATTGGTGTTCGAAATCTTCCTGCAGTTGGTGGGAAAACTGAACTAAGTCTGATGCATTTCCACCACACCAATCCTACCTGGTGCCTTCCTCCTAATAGCAAGGCTTTCCTCAGTGCCGTCAGGAAACAGGCCTTTAACGATCTGCAGCGACACCAACGAGTGCAAGCTGATTTTATCTGGGGTATGAATGCGTCCACTTCTCCTCTTTTTGCATCACTCTACGCTGAGCAAGATATCAAAACCACTACAGCAATGTCTGCGCAGCAAAAGTCTGATCAAGTCTACTCATCCGACTTTTCGATTCATGCTAAAAATGTATCCCATATGCCGACTGCCATGGAACAGCCATCCTTCGGCGTGGCAGGCGCACTGATCGAGTCGGTGAGTAAGGGGAATACACGGACACCAAATACTGAAATTGGGACACCAGCTGAAGTTTCGTCCCCGACCTTGCCGCGTCAGACGGAAAGACAGGGTGCTTCTAGGTCTGCATCATTGCTGGTCGCCCCTATCTCAATACCGTTTCATGGAATGGCCACCTCGGGCCTCTACTACAATCAGCAGGCCCTCTATCAACCCTACATGTCACAAATGGAAGAAAAAACCATGAACATAAGCCTTATGAGTCCCAGCGTCGGTGGTAGTATGTCTTACGGAGAATTCACTACAGACATGGACATCAGTTCGCTGTACATTCATGATCTTCACCAAAGACGGCGAAACGCACACCGACTGTCTCAAACATCTTCTACCTTGCTCCCATGTGTAGCCTCCAACCTGCGCCAACGCTCCTTCACGAGTGATGGTTTGCAGGAGGAGCTGCGCTACCAACAACCGGCTCATCGTTACCTGGGTGCTGCTGGGCGGGGCCGCGGACTGGTGCACGGAGTCTCCGTGCCTGCAAGTCTGCGCTCGGCCCGCCAGTTCGAGGGCGTGGTAGAGGAAGAGGTGGACGCCGACGTCGAAGAGGAGAACACTCTCACTACGTCGACCTCACAGCAGCAGCAAACAACTTCGGTTTCCTCCTCCACCGTTATCGCCGCCGTTTCACCCCACATTCTCGGTGATGATGTGCAAAAGTGGCCCGACCTTCCACCACCCACCTGCTAGTCACTTGTATCTCGTGATTACCCATACTTTTCCTTCCATCCCTGGCAGCTCGTGGGGGATGTTTTATGTACTTTGGATGTTCTTTTCATGAACATACGCATGCGCTGCATCGCTTAGCACACGCTGTGTACTCCATCTGAACGATTGTCACTGTGACTAAGTTTTTAGCTGCTGATTATCCAAGACGCATCTTAACCGCACTTGTCACTCTTGTTATCACTTTTTTCCATTCATACGATTACAAAGTGCGACCTAGCCCTTCTTATTTTGCATTACTTGGCGATTTGCAGCATATGTTTATTCGCTTGCTCTTTTGTCGGGATTTTTTTATATTGCACATTATATTCACAAAAAGATCGATGACTACAAGGTTTTCCCTCTAAAGCCTTGTGGTGCGATCTCAACAACCATTGCGAAGATCATTTTGTAGAAAGAGCAAACCTTTCTTGAAAAACCCGGCCTTCTATGATATTTGTTACAGGCAATTACCCATTTTAGTATCTCTGGCAACCCGATACGATGCACGTAGTCCCTATGACATAGTAGTCAAGGCTGTTCAGCAGTATTTGCTTTAATCCAAGTGCTCAGTCTGTTTTATTGCGGCTCAAAGGGTTTTCCATTACAGCTTAAGATTAGCAAAATATTTCTCTCTATACTACTGATTTGAATACGTTACAAACTAGCTTAAAAAGCCATCTAAATGGGGATGAAGGAAGTTTTTTAGTGCTTTTGTAAGGACAAAATAACACCTTAAAAAAGTGTTGAGATAGCAAAAAAGAAATAGAAGGTGAAAGCAGCTAGAATGTGACCTAGTTTAGTTTACGGATTTCTCGGCTTGGTTTGCCTCTCCGGTCGATTCAAAATCGTCCGCATAGCCGTCACTGGCCTCAATCGTGGAGGCGGTTACATTGCTTAGAGACAAGGTCTTCTCTTGGAGGGTTTCACTATTCGTTGAGATCGGAACATCAGGAGTGCTGATGTCTGGGACCGAAGTATATGTGAGTGAGGAGACCAGATCAATTGAAAGTGGCTTTTTGTGGAGTTTTACGGGTTTGGGCGATGAGAGGCCTTCCGATGTGATAGGCAGCGTGACAGAGCAATTGTCCTGAATGCTTTGTGGTTCATTAGACTTTGGAAATTCTTTCAAACTACTCTCTGGCTCTGGGACAACATTAGACCGCTTTCGGTTTTCTCTGCAGGATACTTCCTTGTTAGCCATTATTGGGGCCAGGACTTCTGTGCCTGATAGCGAGTTTTTATAATGGACCTCCCCGTAGACAGAACTACTCTTCATGCGCAAACCTTCACTGAGTTTAAGACTTTTCCTCGAATTCGAGGAGGTTTCGATAGGACTGCCTCTGGTTGAAGTATCAGGTGGTGTTTCGCACTCAACAGGAATCGAAGTCTTTGCGCCTGAAGGAGCGCTTTCGATTATCTCAGCGTGAAGCGACTGTGGTGGACGGATTGCGGGCCCAGTCGTTTGAAATCGAACGTCTTCTAGTGTAGTGAGCTTGACGCTTTCATGTAGAGGATTCCCTGTGGAACAATACATGGTAATGTTTTCCTCAATCACCCCCGCATTACACGTGTCTTGATCCGGGGACGATACCGCATCGACGCTACTTCTTCGCACGCATCCATTTTCCATTACATAATTATACGGGCTTGCATCTACACACATGCTTTCTAATGTACCCTCGACTGCGTGCGAGGGGAAATTAACTTCAAAAAATCGCCCATTACTGTTTTTTCGAGTTTCTGACCGATTTTGCTCAACTTTACTAGGCAAGAAAGATGGTGCAGATACCTCTTCAATAGGACTGAGTGCGTTTTGAGGCTGATAGACGAGTGGTTGAAGAACCGACTTGCGGGTCTCCTGTGTTGCAACGCAGTCCTCCGCCGATGGCTGCGTGTGTGGAGGCCTTTCTGATTCAGTCGTAGAACAACTACCATGTTTCAGTGTGAGTATTTTCCTCTCTGTTGAATCTTGATGAGCAAAACATTTCCCAGAGGACGCCTTGTGTTGATTCAGCTCAATGGGGGCCTCAGAAGGGGCAGGCGGGAGCAGACGCTGCAAAATAGAGGTCTGTTGAAGTTGCGGTGACCCTGCAAGACCGCTGAAACTGTCCCATGGAGAACAGGGGGAGGTGACCAATTCGTGACGGAAAAGTTCATCAATAATATCATTGGAGAAGCAGTCAATGAGGTTGGTGCCCGTTTCAATGCAGGAGTCTACGATCTCCTCGGCTAGCCAGTCGCAGAGGCGCGAAAGAAAGATGGTGTTGGATGCCAAACCACCTCGTCGCCAGCGCTCCTCATGCGCAGCCTCTGTGGTTCTGCTATCTGCCAGCAACCGCCGGTACTGCTCAACCGGTAATCGAAGAGTCTGATAAGTGGAGGCTATCGAGGGTTCTTCTGTTAGTGGGGTTTTTACCTATGAATAATTTATTTGACGTCATTATATGGGGTTCATAGCATGAGAAGTGTTAAAGTAAGAAGTCAATATCTTGAGAAAAACGTAACATTGCAGGACACAAATAGCACTCTTATACATTATAAAGTCTACAAAATTCTTGGCAGTGCTTTACAAAACAAACCTATTGGACTAACCATTAACTAAAGGCGAGAATTTTCATTCGGAGGCACTATAATGTGTAAGCAAACTAACCTTTGGAATACATTGCGCTCTTGAGGAGTACTCGAAATGACACGTTCTCGGCGAATCGTGACGATTTTGTTCAACTTCTCTGGTTCCTAGGGTTTGATTTTGGTAAGGCGCCTGTTGCTTTGCGTAATTTCTTATGAATTTTTCAATAGAATCACTGAGGATAAAAAACTTTACATTCCTTCTCACCACTTAATAAAAGATAGTGAAAAATGTGTGGTCATCTCATATTCCACTACCACATGGAAAACCTCAAACATGTATTTTTGCAACTCTACATGATTGATAATTATGCAGTCATGGACGGACTCACCTTGATGCAGACGAAGATTCCGAAAGTGAATCAAGGAAACAACCGCGTGAGGGGGATATGCGGATCCCTTTGATTGCATTTGAACCATGGACTTCCAATGTTGCTCCCCACTTTTCAAGGAAGGCTACTAATTCAGGCGGAAACTTTCGTTGATACTGGGAATATTTTTGTGATCGAAAGCCGGGAACGGTATCCACTCTCGGTGATTCAGCTGCAAAAACAAGATTTTTCTATTATTTTGAAATAATCAACATAAATATATAATAACATTCCCCTAAGTTTTTAAATTAATGAAATATGTTAACATTCAAGAAGTAGTGTCAAGTACACAAACTCCGGCTTGATTTGCAGGACTGAGGCAAATAAGATTTTTGCAAATTTCCAACATGCCCCTCGAAGCTGCTACCTAGTGAGAGACGTTTCAGGTACGAAGAGAGAAGATCTGTGTCATGCGTTCTACATCTTGCAGGGTGACGAAAAGCCTGGACAGAAAATCAAGTTAATAGGATCCAAATATCACGAAAACAATGCTGGTGTGGTTACTGTGCCTTGTGGTACGCGCTGGCTGTCTCATCGACCCGACGCCCCAAAGCAGATCTTTTCCCTTTCCGAGCTCCTTTCTCACCAAGCAACCGAACACAAGGCTTCAAAACACCACTGGATGCAACAGCCCCCCTTGGTAGACGGTAACGTACAGACATCTTGTTTCCAGTGGGTGGCATGTGCAAATTGACGGCAGCTCTCTCCCCCAATATGTCCGAATCTAAATCCAGCAGAGCAGCCTTTGACTTATTTATGAGCTGCCTCAACTGTGATATCTAAGATAAAATAGAAGTCAATTCTATTAGTTTACTTTTGAGGCATTCAGTTGGCGTTCTGTTGGAGCATGAAGGGGTTTGCGCTGAGGATAATTCAAGTTTTTATCCCTAACGGGTGGTGAACAGGTTCGCAATGGAGGTCGATTAGACACTGCTCTGTGGCTTTCATGCCTGATTATCGGTTTTACCGCCTAAAACATAGGAAATCAGTGAGTCTTTTCGTGGTAAATGTCATTCAAAACAAACAACGTGTACCTCGATAGATTCTGTGTCACGATCCTCTGAGTCTTCGGTTGGATACTGGGGAAGATTGCTGAAGGCAACGTCGTGCTGAGCCAGGTATGATGCAAGCTGCAGAAGTTCAGGATTGGAATACTCCATAAATGGTTCCCTTATCCAGAAGCCCCTATTTTCGGTCATCTTTAACGGGAAAATACTTATATTCTAGACTATTTATTGGAGATAAGTCTCTATAAAAAAGAAGCCCAGTCAGTTTTGATAACATTTATGCACACAACATATTTTTAGAATAGAGTTTAAGTTGAAGCAGATTTATGAGCACAAGAAACTGATGGGATGATATAACGACACGAATCCATTAAATGTGAGTGTATTCGTTCTCTTTTGATGTGGTAGAGACTGTTCAATGATGAAACCAACGATTGAAGGATCTGTTTTTCTGTTTTTGAATCAAAGCATAGTAGGCTTGACGAATTTTCTGAAACCACAGAATAGGTTGCCATAGGGAAGATTGGATACAACGTAGCCTGCAAATGATCAGACACATAATCGAGGCGACGTTTAAACTCTTCTTGCAATATTAAATTGTTTTTATTGAGTGGTACAACTTCCACAGCTTCTGGATTCGGAGTATAACGTAGAAGAGTCGATTGAAAACTTTCAAGACCACCATACGAATTAATCAAATCATCGCCTAGTTGTTTGCCGTTGTTCAAAAAAGGTGAGTTAGAAGTACTCTCGCACGCGTTCTCAGAGGAGAGTCGCACCCACCGGTAGAAAGCCGCGGAATTACGATTCCATTTGGAGAGAAGGTCGAGAAACTGCCTAAACTTCCTTACGGTTGCAGTTTTTGAATATTTGTGGTTGTCCAAAATGTAAACTAACTCTAAAAGAGTAATATTCCGCTGGATTTGTATGTTTAATTGCGAAAACCTTTCACCAAAAGAACGATGCGGTTGATTCATCAATGTTTTAAAGAGCAAATGCAACCCAGATTCCTTGATGGAGATAGCAGATAAAATCTGGGATATGTTAAAAAGGCATCCCTTTAGTTTCATGATCGGTTGACACAATGCCTGAACTTCGGCGATGTTTTCTTCAGGGAAGCCAATTAAAACCTCGCGAAAGAAACGCTCTGGCATGTATGTGATGTTGCTGTCAGTCAAACACCATGTTAACAACAACAAATTCAAGCTTGCGTTGGTTTCGTTGATATGACAAATACGCAATGGAGAAAGGCGGGAGATTAAAAACTCATTAATAAAGACCACGCATTTAATACTCTTCTTATTTATGTGCGCGTCCATTGCAGGTTGTAATTGCCCGTACTTCACGTACTGGAGAAATAAGTAAAGCATACGCAGGGAGTGTTCATATACTGAGTCAGAGTTTAACTTAAAATGTCTTAAGATATCCGCTTTGTACCTTGGAAGGCCAATACAGTAGAACAAATCAACCAGCGCTGATGCAGAGTCCTGAACTGACATTAATACTGCGCTCCACTTTGCAATTTTGCGAGTTCGGAAAACCCAAATTCTACTTATCCCTCGAGGATCGCATATACTCTGGTAACATTGGTAAGAGCAAACAAGAAACAACTCGCGAGTGGGTAAAACACCCCAACAACCTCAAAGAGCCGCCAAACATATATTTTCTCAAGTAGATTAAGTAAAACAATTTAATGTTGGACTATTTTCTCAAAAACTAAGTCTAAAACTTTAAATTTTGCGGTAAAGAGATAAATTTTTTTTGGCGTCTTTTTTTTGGAAACTGGAGAGACAACATGTAAGATTCAAACCATTCCTGAATTCGATTGATTAATTGTAATACGGCTTTTGGTGGTACTTCCCGCCTTCAGTCTCCAAGTTGTATTATATTTCACTTGTTTATATCATTTACTGAACGTGTTTTCAGAAGTACCTACATATGTACTTAAAGATACGCGGGATCCTATTCATAGGCAATACGTTGAAGTTACTGGCATGAAGTTCATTTAAAAAGCCAAAATTTGAAGACCTCGTATATAACTTTCCTTAAATTTTTAATTAATTATTCCTAGAGAGCCATTTGGTTTTGGCACTGTGATGATTTGATAAGCTTGATATGCCCCTGGAAACTGCAAGATATATTTTTGCTTTGCAGGGTAGTTTCTCGGCTATATTTATAGCATTCTGGTAATCCTACTTGTTTGTAGCAAACTTTTTTAGTATTGGCATGATTTATAAGTACTTCGTATAAGGCCTGGGGGCTACGCCGATGGCAGTGACAAACGAAGGCAACCCGTGGCTGATTGATACCCTTTAAAATCAGAGAAGGTAATCGGCTGCGCATTTCTTACGCTAAAAAGCATTGTGCAGACTATGTGGATTACCTACAGAAGTTATTGCAATTTGTTAAAATAAAACGGGCCCGAGTTCTTGTCTTCGCCTAATCAATCAACCTACTCCCTATCTATGGTCTGTGGCGAATGAATTCAAGTTTATAAGCATTGATAATGAACCATTTGCATTGTTTCCACTACTCACTCATGCAAAGTTTATAAATTTCAGGACAAAAATGTGTCATTTACCTTGTGTAAGGTTGAACAAATACCAACCCCATCGTCGATTAACCTGAATTCTGAGTGTAATGCCTTAACTAACAAAGTGGTGGTCGAGAGATGGTGAAAGCGGTTCATCCTTCTCGTAGACTCGTCTCATTGAACTCTCGGCCCAAAATACTCTGTAATTAGTGCGGTTTTCTATAGGTCGCATAAATCACACCCACCCAAAAGAAAAGCCTTCAAGGGTCATGCCTTAAGGGGAGTGTATTTTGGCCAGGCAGAGTCAACCAGTGAAGGATAATTATTTCTATGTTAGTAACTGTAGCATTAACGTCCATACCACCGATAACTGTAATGGTACCACCATATTATATCAGAAATGAGTTGTTTACAGGGATTTATTGTAACAACCACAGTTACAGCGAATGAAACATTCTCTAAATAAAGTTTTCGTGGAAAAACAACTTCGTCAACCTACAAATAATTGGACGCAATTTCCGTTGAAGATTGTTAAGGATAAAATCCAAAAGTAGGTTTAATAAGCTTTTGGAAGAAATTTAAAATTACTTGCCTAGAATCGGAAATGGTTAGTGGCGTTAACCCGTACTGTGTATTCGGAAATGGTTGGTCAAAATCCTATTTTTTAGTTGATTTTTTGGGATGTAAGATCAAATAAAGTTAATTCGGTATGGTCCTGTCCCTGTAAAGGGACATATTGCTTTTAGAAACTAGTAACTGCAAATCATTTCGAGACATCCACTGTCTGTTCACTGGTATGAGTGGTGTAGGTTGAAACTTGTTAATCGGAAGATAAAAGTAAACATTTGGCCTCCCATAAGGTTCAGCCGGGTAACAGCTTTCCCGTAAGAAAGGATCATAGTAATTTACGCTTTTCATCTCGTTCCCACTCTGCTTCACTGGTTCCTGTGGGTTTGCCTTTGGTGTCTGATCAGCCCAGTCATTCTTCGTAGAACTTTGTCTATTCTCTCGAATTGTATTTGATTCGATAACACGCCAAAGGTCTCTTATGTTTTGCGATTGCAATATTTTGACGGTACAGATGACATTCGGGTCCTTGGAGTTGGCAAACAGGGGAATTGAATTTGATCTCCAAAAAATAATTTTCTGCAAGGAATTTTATGGTTTGGAAAATCTTTTCAGAAGAGGGAATAGCAGAATTTTTGCAGCGATAAACGGCATTAAGAACAGCTGCTTCTGCGTGTAAGTGCTGCATAACACCATCGTAGGGACCGGGTTTGATTTTCCAAATCGACTGAATTTTTGATTTTTAGCAAAAACCTCCTACAACTCACATATGCTTGTCATCATACAGTACGTATCTGTTTAAAATATATTCAAAAAATATCGATCGGAGAGTTTTAAATTTGTGTCGAGCCTCGAACGTAGAGAACTTCCCTCTCGTTCTCACTAATGCAGTTTCACCTGCCAACTAGATGAAGGGAGATCATCAAGAAACCCTGTGCGGATACAGATTCTACATATCCGATGACACAAACACCTTAAAGCCGTTCCTAAAAGAAGATGACAGAAGGATTGCTTCAATTCAAAAAATATGTCACTCCCGCATATACCTTACACGAGAGACACGCATTCGTAAAGGTCAGAAAAGGCGAGCCGTCCTGGTACGTGCACATAGCAGAAAAAACTTAGAAATTTGTCTGAGGCGAATCGACGACACCTTTCCCCACCTATATGCATGTTCGAACCTGGATGACGCCGTGGCGGCCGCCCACATGGTTCGACTGAGAAAGTATCACACTAACGAAGACCTTTCACTTAGTCTCCCATCCACGATTGTGATCTACTACCAGCTGTCTTTTAACTTCGACTCAGGCGATATGGCAAGGTACGAGCATTGGCGCAAGACTCCCGATGCCCTGCTTTTCAAAGAGCTCAGATGTGTTTTGCTGATCGCGATGAAAGACACTCCTGGTGCTGGATTCCTCCGCAGGTACGCCATAATAAGTGGGGAATGTCGCAAAAATGTAGTCACTTCCTACAAGGTACTTCGAGCTACTTTTGCCAATTTACCCGAGTTCGAGGATGAAGGTACTACGTAAACCAGTAAAAGCGACTTTCGCCTCTCATACTGCTTTTCTACCTGATAAAAGAGCAGGACTATTTCACGTGATGAAACACTCATCTACAATAAATTTTCTGATTGCACACTCCTGTATTTGCCTATAGATGGTGTTTTCAACAGCCCAATGACTAATTAGAATGCAGACTTGTTCAAGAAAGGAATTTACTACACAAAGGTCATGAAAATTGCATTTCAAATGGGGATTCTAATATGTACTTTCTACAGTAGTGAGGCAGCGCATCGCGCAGGTGCTCCGGTATTTTGATATAGCGCTGTCGCACTGAATCATACATGGCATCCCTACCTAGATAGCCGTACTCTTCAGTGAGATATCCCTTCAAATTAGAGGGAGCCAAAACCTCTAGGCCCTCAAAAGTTACTTTTTTCAGGGGAAAGAATAAATTCCATGAAAATTTTTTATTCATTGAGTCGTAGACGCCTCCCTTGTGCCAGTTGACCCGAAGGTGATGTTGAGGCGAGTCGGGATGCGGTGAGAGTGTGAACAAGTCTACGTGGATATCGGTGAGGTCGTTATTAAGCTCCTCCACTACGGACGATTTTACTCGCCCCACTCTCTGGGCCGCCTCCCGCAATCCACGAGAAGTGAAGTAGAATTTGGCACGCTTGGAGCCTGACCCTGTATAGGATCGCTCGCAAACGCTCCCCTTGGAATTCGTGAAAAGCCAGAGAGTGGAGGAAAAGGAATTTTGAAAATCCACTTGAATTGTGGCATCGAGAGGAAGTTCATATTGGGGGCCTTCAACATTGACCACTCTCACACCGCTCCGTTCACGGAGGCAAAAGTTGGCCAAACGGGAGAGATTTCCCTCGGAGGACAGCTCACTCCCCTGTGGATATTCGAGTGTGGCAAAGTCAGTGTCGTAGTCGAAGGCAATCATCTGTCCACCTTCACGAAAGACGCCCAAGGCCGTTCCACCGTAGACAAAGACCTCCACACCAGCACCAACACAGATACCGAGAAATTGACGCAGAAGTTCTCGGTGAAAAGGTTTTAGACAGGCTGTACGACGGATTTTCTTGCATATATTGCGAGGTGTACAGGAACCCCACATATCAAATGAAATTTGCGTCTTGCCTGTACGCGTTGTCTGCTCCTCATCAAATAGTTCTCGGAGTGGTTGAAATAGCTCCTCCTCATCCATCTCACTTCGGCCTAAAATTGACAGAATATATTTTTGTATTCGTTTTGATGCACCGTCTCCCTAATTGAAGTATCTTCCACTCCTTTTAGAATATGTCGCTAATATCAAAATCGAAAGAATAATATTGCTAGATGAGAGAATGCTCGTATCCTCGATGTAAACGGTTTTTATCGCATAAAACTGAACGCTATCCCAATCAGAATTGAGTGTATGAGTAAAAATAGTGTCCTGACAAATCATGCACCTAACAAGAATAACTTCGACAGGCAGGTCAAATTACGATGAAGTTCCAAAGGAAATACAGGTGCGAAAACTCAATCATCCAAAGAGGAGCAGGTGAGGAGCTGTGTTGAGTGAAGCAACTCGCAGGAAGCCCATATGATATGATCAGTGAATCCCTTTCAAGTGACCAGAAAAGTTCATGCATTTTGCGGTTGTGACTTGTAGGGGCATGTAATACGCATGCAGTTGTCCATGGGCATGCATTATAAGTAGTCGATGTCATACTTTATTGCACCCTCTATTATTTTCAGTTATTTTGAGATCCCTTATCATAAAGCGTCATCTGAGCATAATGGATGACTTGAGCCCGTCTGTTTTACGAATTGAAACTCGGCTTCAAACTGCGGAAGCTTCTCGTGCAGTGGCAGAAAGTGACAGCCAGAAGTGATTTACAAAATTAATTCAGGTAGTAAATCTTTCAAGGGCAAATGTGCTGTGTCACTATTGACCAGCTACGTTGAGATCGGTGCATGAATAGCCATTCATTCCTGTTGAGGGTGAATGACGAGACGATTGATTTAAGCCTACATCAAATGAGAAAATCGCGAAAGATAAGAAATAGAATCAGGCGTACATTAAAAGATAACAATAAGCTTTGAGGATCATAACTTGCAAGCATGTCAATTTAAAACGGATGGACGGAATAAAGGCAACCAGTACTTTACCTTATACCGAGACGCCAAAATGATCGATAGCTATCTGGACAAAACGGGTGGTATCTTCGATAGCTAGCAAAATGAAGTAGATGAAGATATGCATGAGCATCTACTTCAATATTCAGCCGCCTGTTCTACCCTTTATGGGCTCATTTTAAAACTCCTAAAGTCCCATAATCAAATGCGCATGTGTCTAGTAACTAAGTGTTAGCATTTGGTGGATTAATGATGGATGGATGAGAATGAAACAAAGTTGTTAAACCGATTTGAAAGCATTCAAGAGTACAGCCCGGAGTGTCTATTTTAAATGTAATTTTCCCGACTCAGGATGGATCTACCAGACCGAAACGCAATCATTCGTCTTGCTACTCCTTTAGGTTGCTCTAGGGTAAAGTAGCATGAATTTTCCATGCTGAGATGAAGCAGTAGACGGACTAGTCAAAATGTCTTCGAGTTATTCTGCACAGCCTCCGTCTGCGTGTTTGGATTCTGTTGCATTGAATAACCATGCGACAGGAATCGGTAGACAACCTGAGACTGGTATTCCTAGACAATATGTTCTAGTAGTTGATGCGCCAATTTGCACGATATCCAGGAAGAGGGGAATTCTAGGTCGTACCATACTCGTACAAGCATATATACGACAAAGTCGTGGAGCCGCTAGTTGTCTATCAATCAAGAACACATTTAACAAGGACTGGTTTTCATTTCAGTGGGACAGAACACTCATGTTGCACATGTATTGAGCGAGGCTAAAAAGCCAACGAAATGTGAAGGAGATGACGGTTGGGTGCCCTATCAACGCAGTAAAACGGTTTAGCGCCTGACAAGTCAATAAGAACTTTATACTGCTAAATTCAATAAAAACTGGGGTTCGATGATGGTTCTAGAATTATAAAGTCATATGCATGAAATGAAATCTACCGTTTTCTAAACACCAGAATGCATCGAAACGCTTCCTGTGGTTAAATCTTGACTAGTGTAATAGGAATAAAACCCACACGTCTTTCTGTGGATACTCAAGGCAAAACCTAACGTAGATTTAACGATTTGCGAAGGTAAGAGGAGAAGATGATTTGGTAAGGGCAAATGAACCACGACACACTCACCCAAACCCGACTTTCTGGTAAACAAATACGCGCCACAGGTCAAAAATGCAGCATACAAGCGGTTGACAGACAGTGAGCCAATCAAATGAAGGCTTGCTTTTAGCAACAGCCCATTGGCTATCTGGGGCACTGGCATCACAATACAAGTTCCCCTGGAATGTTCAAACACCAAAAAAGACCACCGTTTTCCTTTAAAATGGCATTTATTGATTATTCTTTGATTTTACAAAAAAACACCCGATTGATTGGATAGACGCACCTATTCTGTTTAAGGAGTAAGTAGCTAAAAACGTCTGGAAAGGCAATTTGTGCCACAGTTGGCAAATCTCACAAGTTTACTCCCCATTACATTTAACATTAATAGTCTTGCACTTTTTGCCCTTTGATCAAACATATAATCAACTGTACCACAATATTTTCGTCAAAAATTCAGTTTCACTCCTTAATAACGCCAGATGAAGCACTGTGCTTTCTTGTGCTGTAAATGGTGTCCATTTCCATCTTGCTTTCGCTATGTTATTCCTTCATAACTCTTATTGCCCATGTTTAAGTCGTTAACTCCATTACTGGGCAGCACTCAGGGAGTGGTTCCAGCTTCCATCTTGCGTCTGTGAATGTCATGCGCTCCAACTGCATTGCTGTTAACACCGCTGATGTGTTAAGCCGGCCAATCACGTAACTCTGATTCAAGGCCTCAAGTTCTAGTCTGCTCTTTCATTAAACCAGGAAAAGAAATTCCGTTGGCAAAGGTGTCACAGCATTTCATCACCACTCAGATCCCTGTTGCACACTCGAATTCTTATACAGTAGATACGAGAATGCTTCCTAATCTGGGTTCTTTAGGGTTGGTGACTAAAGACCCAAACCATTAAAAAATATATCAACTTCAGTTTGAAAAAGCCTTCAAGAAATTCAGATTTGAATGAGTCTGTCTATACTAAAAGACACTTTCGTAAAGCAATTGTATTAGATTAGTAGAGTATGGTGATGATTACTTTGTGACTTACAATATCGGAAAGACGTAGGATTTGTGATATCTCAAAAAGCACTCTGTCTTAAAGGCGTTCTGTCATCCTGTCCGCTCAGTTTGCATGGAGCTATCCCACAGAGGTAGACAACATTCCTATTTGAGGCCTAAAATACAACTGGTAGTTATGCATAGGTAACAACTATCAAAGCAGGGTGATGGGGAGTCACAGGGCCGGTTCCTGTAGGGCACCTGAAATGCACCAAACACTATTTGAATCCCATTATGGATGGACAATGGAAAATCTTCCACTTTTAAACATCGAATGTGCTGATGTTTAAATTAACGGGATTTTTGGGGTTCTGTATCGTTTCGGTACACTATAGATGGGGATGGATCAGCAGGCTATCGTGTGAATCGACCTAGTGCGTCTGATCTACTGCCTCTGCATACTTAGTGGATTATCCCTAAAGTATTGCAAAGCTACCTATTCTTGGACTCTAGATTTGATTATCGAACTGTCAGAAAATCACCCCCGACCAATCTGGTCTACTGTCCAAATCTGTGCTCGCGTTCCCCATTTGTGGCACAGCCCTCCCAACCCAATCACTTCCGCTGTTCATTATAGGAGGCTTTGTGCAGAGCAGAATAGAAACACCCATTCATGAAGAATTAACCCTAACTTCTCATGCAGCGTGTTATGGGTCCTGTCGAAAATGCTCAAATTGCAGACTTGGTTGTGGATGTAATTGTCATACCACATCAAATTCGTTTCAAAGCCTACTTTGACTCGTTCATACTGCTTCACTGTAAATTTGAAGGTCTGTTTGGACGCATACGAAAAAAATCTTGGCTCAAAAACGGTTCTGAAAGGATTGCTAACTGTTGCGCTCCAAGAAATGTTTGAATATTGAGGCAGTCTTTCAACTTCCCCCATTCGACAACTGAACCATGCCATGAACAAATGAAACCGAAGTATGTTCAGTTTTGTATCCTTACATACGCTAGGCTCTGGTAATAAATAATGTACACCACCGTGGAAACATGGCGTAGGATCTTGCCGATTGCTTTACCTGTTTTTTTTTCCGGAGTGTAAGCAAACCAAAACCGGGTTGCACCCGCTCCCTAGGCAACCTTTAAAGGGTATGATCTTGCCGGTGGATGAAGTATCCAGACAAATCTAATATCGAACAGCAACATCACGATTAATTATGTCTCACTAAGTAGAATTCAGATTAAAAAGAAGAAATCTTGAAAACTGAATCCCGTATTTTTCCTGATTCGTATTTGGGACTGCTAATATGAAAATAAATTTAAGTACTCACGTGTAATTTTTTCTAAATTGAAAGGGAAAGTAAACGAAAAATAAGAGGTGACGTGATCAAACCACGTTGGAAGAAAACAAAATGTGAGAATGGTGTACAAATGTCAGAAGGAGGAGACAGAGTTTGCAGAGGTTAAGTTTATGAATTTAATGGAAACTTTATCATCGTTGTGAGACTCAGCGTTATGCGAGTACTCTTTAACAAGACGCCATAAGTTAAGGATGTATTGGTCATTACGGATGTCATTCTTGGGCACTTCGGAGTTTATAAAATCTACCAGTTTTTGAAGGTACTCCACGTTACGACCACAATGGCCCACTGCTGTGGCGATTTGGTGTGCCTAGAAAAAAGGATTTTAAGGCAATTCCCAACGTCACACACAATAACATAGCACATTTCTCGAAGGAGAACAACATAAACACCGAAAAAGAAAGCCACTAATTATGACAATAAAAACGCATGAGATATGAGTCCAGTAGCACTCGGTTTCTATGGCATAAATTTAGAGTGCTCACCTCAACCGAACGTATTTTCAGGTTGATGGATGGCTACTTGTTCAATCTGATTTTGCAACTACTAAAATTACCTTACCTGGTTTACTCGTTGTTTTTACTAGCAAACAACAACCCAAACTGTGATAGATATTTAATGACTGACCTGTACTTCTAGGGGAGCCTTTCCAAGGTATTGATCATTCCCGGGTTCTGCGATGTAAACAAACGCCCTTATGACATCAGGAAGCTGACTTTCATTTTGTTGACCCTCTGGATTTTCATGGATAACTCTTCGAGGAAAAAAAGACACCTCATCAAATTTGTAACCGCCCAGGATCATTTCACGTTCGGCCAAATGCTCAATCGCAGCGTTGATCTGTTCAGCTCCGTCCACCTCATAAGCCTTACCCCAAACTCGTGCTTCCTTGTTCTTTGAGGGTAGAAGGGTCACCACACGACCGGGCTACAATGGAAGTGAACATTAGAAAACTATAATTATTATAGCTATTTGCGTTCCTCTCTACAACCCCATTGCTAACCAAGATCTTAACAATTAAACGACATCAAGACAGCAGAGCCTATACATGCCACAAAAACCTTTGTTGCACAGCCGCTATTTTGAGTTTTCAAACCAACTTTTTAATTATGATCGATTGCAGAATACTGGTAGATTTTGAACCTATTGAACTAGCAATCGTAACACGAGTCAAAACCACAAGTGAGGGTGAGAGAATTATTGGGAATTTTAAGAGAGTGAACAATAAATCCATTGCCCGACACTTGGGATCTGTTACTAAATTCGACTCCTGGGCTGAATAAAGTCAAGAGTGGACTTGGGAACCTACATCTGTTTGCATAAGGGCGAGTCAACGCTTTGTCGTCCTGACACCAGGCTTAGTCACTCACGATGAGTCATCTGATGTATTAGTAGCTTCCGCTCCTAATCCGTACTCGGGATTGAAAATAGATCGATTGACACCACTACAAGAATTCTCAAGGTTCTCTCTCTAAAGCCAAGCACCATTTCAACTAGAATAAATTTGCATTTTTTAAAAGGAGAGTACCAGCAAAAATGGCAACAACTAGGTCTTTTAAGAAGACGTGCTTTAGAATATCAATAAAAGACAAACAGAGTAAAGGAACGCATATTTACATATTGCGGTGTGCCACGGTGTGTCGTTGTTCCCTGGTAGAACCGTATTTTGTAACCTTTTATGTAACCAGACCAACTTCTTGTATATGATATATTTGGTCGCCAGATAAGGGACCCATAACCGAATATGTATAGTTTTCCATTTCCTGGGCAAATCATTTGTGTAAAGCAGACACGCTCGGCAATGGAAGCAGACCTCTCATCCTGGTTTGGGGCCATCGAAGGTCCGCCTTGAATCGACTCACCCTGCCCCGTCCAGATGCAATGACTAAATAAATTTACCAAGGTCAGACCCCATTGGCTGGTGGGTGTTTGGCCAATTAGACCTCTGCCTCGTTTTGGTGCGTGAGTATGTTCCGTGCATACACTGGTTGAAATTTCGAGCAGGGCTTTATAAGGCCTGTCTAGGCCATGCTAATGCACTAGGAAAGAGTGAACCGTTTTCTGAAAGAAGGGCTCTATAATTCCTAGACTTTGCTACAAATTTTAATGGAAAATAGTTTTTTTGAAAAGAATCAGTGCAATTAGACTAGCACTGAGTGCGTGCGCAATGCAACTTTGCACGCTCTAGGTACGAGCCACATCAAGCAGCGCAAATTTTACGTTTGATCTGAGATTTCGTAGGTGGTGTCCCCCTTCAAAACTTGTTATTTTGCTGATGAAAACATGCCTTGTTGATTTTATGCACTGTGAACACTATATATCAAAGGATACATACCAATCCGTACCTAGTCTGTGAATAGAATCTTTCTAACATTAACAGGATTTTAGATATTAGAAGTCTTATCAAAGGACCACTATAATTTTTAAAATTCTTACGACCTGGATGCAAAACTTTGACTGTTCACTGGTTACTAATAATAACCAGTACTCCATTCAAGCAAAAGAGAGACTTGTGATTTTATAGACTGAAAAGAACTGCTGCCATGGCGACACTACAGGCAGTATTAATGGCCAGCGCACATGCTGTGGGCTAACGATGGTGATGTTATTCAAGATAGCAGGCATCGGTGGTAGTACTTGAATGCACCAGCATGTGATGACGAAGTTTCTTGTGACCGAAATCGAAAAACCGTCAAATAGCTGATAGATACTTAATGTCGAGTCTGGTCACGGGACAATAAGCAGTAGGTTATTGTGACTGTACTAGTCTTTCAATAACGTTTGTACTTCTGTCGGTAGTGGTTCAGACTATAGTAGTAGTTTCCAGCGCACAGCAATTAGTCCCGGGAGCATTTAGCTCATTAAGCGCCCGGTCAGTGCACGACCGACCATGAAATCCCACAAGCGACTAATCTTTCTCTAGGAACGGTAAACTCAATGGTTCACGGACGTTCGTAACATGAAAAACTAATTCCCTCTAGACAAGCTTCCCTAGGATAGTCTAAGATTCACAGATAAACTTTGAATTCCGAGTTAATTACATGAATGCAGCAGAAGACGACCAAGATAGCTCCATTTCCCACATGTTAAAATCTGCAAATGCATTTTGTGAATTCAGAAATCCTGATTTGAAGGAAGGAAGCTGGTGTCCACCCATTTAGATCAGTTCATACTCTCGCAGCGGCGCAGCAACGCCCCCAGGCGCTACGGTTCGTTGGGTTACTACCTGCTGAAGCTTGATTAAATAACAGAATTAATAATTTTAAGATGTATCAAATGTAACCACAAAATGGCCATTACCCAAATCACCTCTGCCATCCTAGAAACAAATTCACTCTGGTTCTACAAGTCTTGTCTTAAGACAGCTGTTTCGGATGCAAGAGATACGCTCCTTGGTACTAAGATTACATTCATTTCGTTCTTTGTTACCGTTCAATAAAAAAGTGCACCGAATAAACATCAAGGAGTAAACAACGTCTTCCAAAACGCACCTTTCCTAGCTTTGGGCCATAATTTTTTCAAAAAAATTAAACTTGTGTATGTTTAAAGTATAGGCAACTCCCTAGTAAACAAGTGACATGTATGTATATTCCAAGGGCCCAGCAAATTAATTCATTCCAAGAACGCGCAGTTACCAGGCTTCAAATGTCACTCCCACCATTAACATAACAACATTTCCAAAATAACGTTTACAAACGCATCTACATCACCTTCACCAAGCTAAGGCCTGATATTGAGTCTGGTTTCATCAGGAAGGAGACGGAATTCGAAGCAACCAACGATGGCATAGGCAAGTATTTTGAAGGCGCCTTAGATAACTTTTCCCACAAGACTAGGAAAAGTAGGAAATAGTAATTAGGGTAAGAATTTTTTGGAGCACAGTGATAGTGATGACATCAATTAGGGACCTAAAGTTGAGGAAACGCAAAGAGGTTCAGTCTCCCGGAGGATCCAATCTCGGGTGCGTCTGCGAGCGACGCTGAGACTTTTGTGCTCTGCCTCAAATGCCACTCGGGTGAGGAGGCGCTCGCGCACCTTGGAGTGGTAGGCGTCAACCCACATTACCGTCTCCTTATCCAGCACCGCTACGTCGATGAGGCGGCGCTGAAAAGGAACCAGAGTGAGAGCCTCAAAGCTCAGAAAGGGCGTAGCGGAGTCGCGTGAGCCCTGTGGGCTCTCCACCACCAGCACCACATTTTCCAGCCGAATCCCATACTTGCCAGTGAGATAGTAGCCCGGCTCGATTGTCAACACCTAGAATGGGAGAGAACGGGACACAATCCTTACATTCAACTGAAAATCACAGACTTGGTGGCAGCATACGCCGAAGTAATCTTGATCAATTGCACCCAGTTAAAGCGAACATTCATCTAGATTTTTGCTTCTCCATGCCAGTTCTTCTTATTTTCTAATTGTAGAACCGGAGAATACAAAAAAATTGGCGTAGGTAAGCAAAAGCCTGGATGAATGTTTGTTTTTACTGGGTGGAATTAACAAAACTCACTTGGACGTATGTTGCCAATAGGTCCTTAGGTCTATTCTCCCTCTTGGGCTCGAAAGAAGTGCTGTGTTATCAAACCAGTCCTGATAATATTCTCGCATTGACACAGCCTGGATTACACCTTTCACTATTAGTATGTTCGGGAGTTATGTCACAGTGGTTCAAAATAGAAAGCATTTAACCACAGCAATTTATCAATGAAAAAGAACGCTTTTATTAGAAGCTACCCATAGTCTCAGCTGAAGAGGTGAAGTCACAAATCAGGAGAGGTGCATAACGATAATGAGCCATAAATAAAAGTGTTGAAATTGGTATATTTTAACCAATTTAGTGAGAAAAATCAGCATTTCTAGAAAAGAAAGTATGGGTACATCACTAGACACAGGTTTTGTTGTGCAAAAAATACAAATTTGCCCCTAATTTAGGACCCAAAGTGCTCAGCAAATCACCTAACTTCCCTAATAAGAGTTCGAATATAAAGTAATGAACGTCAATATGCGCGAACTTTTGCCTTTAAGTAACTAGGGTCGTGCCTGAGAGCAGATAAATAACAGAGACAAATATGAAGATTAATGGCACCATAGGCAATAACCATGTTCTTGTGAATGCCGGGCTCAGCGATGCCCATGGCGGAGAGAGCCTGGGAGCGACATCCGGACATGCCGATAGGTCCCTCGTGAACGCAGAGGTTGGCACCCACACCGTGGCCAGTGCCATGGGGAAAGTCACGCCGATCGCGCCACATTGAGGCCCGACATACCACATCCAGCTTCGTCCCTGTTGTGTTGTCTGGGAAGGTCTGTGCAAACAAGTGGAGACGAACCGGCGCTTCGTGATGAGTTTGCTTTCAGATATCTACTCAGAGCATGTCAACGCCCAGATGATAACATCCATCAAACTTCAAATACGAGCATTTTAGCAAAATTATTCTGTGCAAAACGTTGAATGTCAGTAAGATCAAGATTGTTTTCAAGTTGAAAAAGATTTGCGTGTGGTTTTATTATGTAAAGTATCATTAAACGCAACTAAACTCACGAATGATCGTTCATGATAAGGAAGAATTATTGGATAAACACATACGAGCGTAGCCAGAGAGGCATGAGCCTTCAAGACCTCCGTATAGTCCGCCACTTGCTCCTCCGTGGGGACCCCTAAATGAACGGTCCGGGTAACGTCGGTTGTACCAGTTGTGTACTGGCCACCAGAATCCAGCAAAAAGAGAGAATTGCCGGTCAATTGAGAACTATCACCGCTTTCACCAACATCGTAATGAATTATAGCTCCATTTGCATCTAAACGGGTAAGTAAAAAAAGCCATTCGACGGGATCTTATTGAATGTTCTAAAAACAATCACAGTTTGAGCGGTTAATAAGAGTAACTAGACAGGCTATCGCAAAATTACGCCAGTTTTTCGCAGACCCAAAAAGATGACCCCATTTTACGCAGTTCAATTATGATACGCTTTCGAGTCTACCCGTGTTTGTTAGCTATAAACACCTAAGTCTTACCTTCTGTACTTTATAAAAAGGGCCTCACCAAGTTCCATTACATCATTGAAAACTTTGAAAAAAAGTCATACTAGCAAATGGGATAGCGGGCAGTTAACGTCACCGTAGTGAAAGATCGCCTACGGTAAAGGGCTTTGGATCATGGAAAGAAGGTCTCCACACTGATAACTTGGTAGTTCAAAGCAAGCCAAAAACAGAGGAGAGCTATACCTGCCCCAGGAATTGTGGGAAAACTAAGCCCAAGGCAGCCATCCGCAGCGAGTCGAATCTCATTAAGATAGGCTGTGACAGAGGCCTCTGTGACAACCTTTGGTGGTTCAACACCAGGCACATCACAGGGTGTAACAGCTGTCGGATCCATTCCACCAGATTCGGCAACATCTTCTAACCAGGCCAGGAAATCACACAGTGCCAAAGAGTCAACAAGATTAGAAAGTCGCATGCCCTCCACTTCCCGAGGATTTTTCACAGCTTTAAGACTAGAAAGCGGGGAAATGTCAAAGAGGCGCTGCTTTTCAGGGACCGCACTTGCTATCATATAACTTGAAGAAGAAGGCAACCAAACACGCCCACTTCGCCAAGCGGAGTTTGAATTGAGCCAAGAGGAGAACTCTTCGTACGGATGAAGTAATACCTGAATTTAAATAACGATTACTTAATTGAAAGTAGTAAAAAAAGATAAGAACCAGACTGACCCGATGTAATGGTGATTTAAAATATTCAACAAAATCAACGGAGTTCAAACCACGCCTCCATTCAACAAACAAGTGAACATCATCCATCGTTGCAACCACATAGGAAAAGAAGAGGGGATTGTAATTTATGTCTGACCCACGAAGATTGAAAAGCCACGCAATTTCGTCTAGCTGGAAGATGACAAGCGCAGTGACGCCTTTCGTCTTCATTTGCTCGCGAAGAGTGTCCAACTTCTGCTCCCATGAATATCCCGCGAATGATTCCAGTGGAACAGCACGAATAGGGTTAGTAGGACGGGAGGGCCTATCCTTCCACACAAGGTCTACGAGGTTCGCTCCTTCAATAGGGACGAAAGAGCGATTTGAATCCACCTCGGTAGCAACGGCATCCAACTGACGCTGCATAAAGTCGACGCCATTGAAAGGCATTTGCTGGGGATCAAACCCGATTCGACAACCTGGACGAGTCACCTGGACTAGCCAAGCAGGTATCGTAGGAACATCGGGACGACCTTCACGCATCAGGATCCAATTTTTATCAAGTTCTTGTGCGGCCTATAACATAAACTAATAGCACAGTCGACGTAAACGAACCTCAAAAGGCCAGCAAAGCCATTTTACACTCTCTACACACACAGCTTAAACTACAAGTTTTGAATGCGTTGGACCCATAAACAATGCACGGAACTAAGACAAGGGAATCGTAACTATGATGTGATGAATGTAATACCACCCACTGAAAATGCATTACCAAAGTGTAGTGAGAAAAGCCTACCTGGTTATGGTAGCGGCCATCAGTCCAGAGTGCCGCCTTGTCTGCAGCTGTGATAACTGCAGTACCCGCTGATCCGGTGAAACCGGATATAAAGGCGATGCGTTTATCCGCAGCAGCAAGATACTCACTGAAATGACTGTCCTCCATTGGCAGAATGAAAGCACCAAGCTGGCGACTTTTCATCTCCTGGCGGAGAAGAGCGAGCCGTTCCTCAGAATCAAATGTTCGCATTGGGAATGAGGAGGCGGAAGAATGTGCAGTGCAAAACTTAGTGCAAGAAGACAACGGCTTGCCCAAAGACTTAACAAACCCAAACTAAAACATTAATAAAGGGTGATTCAGCAGGAGACACTGCTAACGAGGTTTAATAGTTCGGCAGCGTTATTACTTGTTTATCGTTATATCCAAAGGGTGAATAAATGGTTGTAATTCTAGCGAACAAGCTCAGACATGCAAAATAACTGAGGCAGCTCCGCCATGGCACGGAAATACACTCAAATGCAAGAAAGAACACACAGTTACGAATAAGTACACAGCTCGAGGTCCGATAAGAATTTCCCGAGTACTTTGCCAGTTAAGAAACCGACGCGGATCCTAAGAAAATTGGCTAGCAAATAAAGCAGGCAAAAGAATGCCTGTTCTTTCACCATTTTAGGTCGGGCAAGATGATGACAACTATATGAAAGCCCTAATAGACCACTAGATACCAAACATTGTGCATAGTCCGAAAATCAGAGAATCACGTCAGGTTCCTCAACTGTCAACCCGCCGAGTACACACAAGGACAGTTAGGCGCTGTACATCGATTCAACTGCCGTGACACATTAATTAGTGAAATCTGAGTGGTAAGGTGAAATAATCTGAACAAAGGCATATGAGGGATTATGTCTGAAGTAGAAAAGCTACATGTGGAATTTATACCAATGCAAATTAGCCATGTATTTGTAACAACCAAATATTACGTTTGAATCCAAAATTTATTGATTTAAAATCAGTAATAAATGTGATGAAATGCAACTGCTTTGGGAGTTTTGCAAGGCCGGCTTTTATTAGTAACTATCAAATAGAAGGTAATAAACTCACCCCAAATACACACAGAAAATATTCAGAGCTTCCGCTGTCGCAAAAAACATCAATTGCTTATTGTGACTGTAACATCTATTATAGGGTAAATATTTGGGATTCTGCATCAACCACTCCATGCTTTATCCTTTTGTTTTGTCATCCCTTTGCGTTCCGCACGTTAACCTTGTGCGTGATGGATCCGTTGGAGGAGTTTGACCACCTACTGATGTATGACCGCTTTGTGCTTAGATTTTCCTAGATTCAATTGCGGCAACCATCACTTCAAGCTTATTTGCCCTGCGAAAAGTGCAAATCATATGGGATGGCTCGAGAGTCTTGCATCTCTTATAGTTGACGCTATGACAGAACGTGTTACAGCTATAAAATGTTTGAACATACCATTGAGATCAAAGGTTTGCAGGGTTTCAAACTTTTCATATGCAACACAGAAAAGCTTTCTAGCTATTGGCCTGATGTTGAATTCATCAATATCGTTTACTCCAATAATCCGTGGCCCTAGATGTGGCACTGACGCCGGCAAGCAGTTCAGAGATTTATGGGGAGATAAATCTGAAATAAGACATATAGATGGAGATCTGTTTGAGTGTGTTATTTGGGATTCTTCGAAAGATGTTACTTCACAGATAATTGACTATGTCCTCTTAAGGTAGGGAGGTCTGGCAGTCTTTTTGCCCGGATTTGCGCATACTTCTCGCTTGGACTCCATCATTTATTTCAGGAAATTCAAGCTTGCTGATCAAACGGATTTGGGCCTTTGGCACCAAGTATCTTCTACGCGACTCAGTGATCTGCTACGTTCATTTTCGCCTTCCTATGCGTCTTTACGATTCCCTTCTCGAGCGAGTACGCTTCACCTCATTCGCTCTCTCGATCAACTCGATTCAGTCTTGCGGAGTTTTAACAAACATCTTCCTCTAAACATTATGGGTGTGCAAGCTATCTCGGCCGAATTTCGCGGTACTTCCGTTTTTGCACCCATTGTAACTGTGCGTGGTACTGCTCAAAGAAAGTTGAAACCTCTCATGAAAAGTTCATGGCATGATATTCACCATACTCTCCGACCTTTATACGGTAAGTAATGTACGTTTTAGTCAATGTATACTATTGGCATGTACTTGCTTTGAAACCTCTTTTTTTAGCTACAATAAATATCGAAACCTCTAGCAAGTGGCCGCGCGATGATTACCGAGCTTTTTTTCATATGAAGCGTCTTTTTCTCCTTCGCATCAAGGAACTACTCGTTCACATAGGAGTCCCATCTAGAATCGTTCCTTCTGGAATGCTCGACATTTTTATTGTCAGTTTAATTTGTATTATTGTGTGGTTTTTGTGTCAACTACAAATCTAACTTTTATTTCAGAATGGCATAGTGCTCCGTATTGGATTCTGTCAACCTCTGGAACTATCACTCTTGCGACGAAATTGCGATTTAAACCAGCGAAGAAGCTTGAAGACGTCTTCTCAGATCAACCAAAATGATTCCATCAAAGAGCCGGAAACAATACGCAGATGGCTAGTGTTCAATGAATGGCTACCCGCTGTGGCTAGTCAGTTGATGGCCATCTCCAGGAGTCATTTGCATACGTATCCTGAGGCCTGTCGTCTAGTGAAAAGATGGCTCTCTGCGCATGGTTATCCGGTTATCCAATGTCCCGATCTATGCACCGAACCGTATGGACTCGATTCCCAGTTAGTCCACTTGGGTGATGCGGATCTAGGCGCATCACAGTGTCGCCTTTCTGAAATAGCCGCGGAATTGTTAGTTGTTCATGCAGGTGGTTTTACTCCGGCCGTCCAAACTCTCTCTTATTCAGCCGGTTTACCGGATGCCACGAGGGAAAACTTCGTTTCATCCTCACCACTGGCTACGTTTTTGCGTTTCCTTCGACTTTTGTGTGTATTCGACTGGACAAATGATATCCTTTTGGTTGACCTAAACGATGGATTTGTGGGAAGTGAGTTAAAGATTTTTTCCGTGCATTGTACATTATGGAGGTCAGATTATGTTGAGAAACCATAACATGTAACATGTATCAATTTGCAGAGGAAGGTCAGGAGAAAGCCGGTGCCGCGGTAACCACTTTTAAGGTTACTCCACGCGACAAATTGCCTGCGATGGTGATCGCCACCCCACTTGATCTTTCGGGCACTCACTGGACTCTCCAGGGCCCCTCAGTCGAAGGTCTCAAACGTCTTCGGACACTGGCGATGCAATCACATGAACTGCTTCGAGCCATGCTAGTCGCTGGCGCTGAGTTTTCTGATCTAAAGGTGCTGCCTAGTTTACTATCGACTCAAAATAGACCTCATTCATATATTTCTCATCGGGTCGTAATTGATTCTCGGTATTTTGGGCATTTGTGTTCCACGTTCTAGGTCTGTACTTCATTCACGGTGCTCTAGCTATCAACGGAACATCGATGCTCCATTTTGGATTTTTAATTTGAATAGCCAATTACACCTTATCAAGCTGTCACTTCATTCTTCAGTTAAACTTTGCGTCTGTTTACTTGATGCTTTAAAGCTTTTTTTTGGCGCCATTTTTACCGCCAAAATCGTCACTGAACTCGGTAGGAAGTCCCTATCTTTTCCAAACGCTATTGTAGTGATAGCATTACTTGGTATGGCAAAAGCCAAGTGTCAGTGTGGTGTCTGTAAAGCGATATATTGAATGCGCTAAATGATAGTCTGTAGGATCAGAGCTACTGAACGGAACACCGAAACTTCTCAAACATCATATTACGTGCCTTTTTGAGAACAATTTGTGTTGTAAAGACTCATTTTTTGATGTGTAACATCTCGTTCACTGTAGGCAGTCTTTCGACCGGATCTGTCACAGATGGATGTTCTGATCAAGCTCAGACCCTCTGTTTCCAAGACACGCATATTGGAGGCTATTGACCTTGAGGTACCAAGTTGGGCGCTCAAGAAAACTTCTCCAGAGGATGAGAAATTGAAAGCTGACCCGAAAGGCACCGTCCTCACCAAGGAATCTGATCCAGTGACTCTCGACCTCCCCCATCCTGGTGCCAGCTACTGGCCAACAGGTTATCTCTGCGATCCCGTCACTTGGATTCTGCGCCAAATTCAGGTGCGTTGTCTCTACTCTCACTGCAGCCTCGAATTAGCACAAACGCCTTTGTCTTCACTTTAGTCAAAGCTCTGCGTATTTTTGTTTGAGGCACTTGGGCAAAAACGAAGAATGTGAAACTTGCAGCAGTGAAACGGGCATCTTATTTGAAATGGGTGAATTGTCCTTTTTTTTGTCAAATTTTGAAAAATCGAATGCGTAGTCTAACAGCATTGGAAATGCTTTTAGATTGATTCCAGTTCATGCTTATCTATATTTGTTCCAATTATTAAAGCGTGCTGTAAAAGCACTTGTGAAGTTTCACCAACTAAGATGCTTCTGTTGGGGTAAGTTTGAGTCGGTCGTGGAAACAGGTTTTGATGAATTTTTTTTGGGAAAACATGACGAATAAGGTTCTCTTTGTGATTGGCCAGTCGAAGGGATCTCAGTCAAATGAAAGTACTTGGCATGCAAAATTAGTTTATTTGCAAATGAGGAGGTGGTAACGATGTAGGCACGGCTGGAATACGTTGATGTAAGGGACTGATTCCTGGAAGTTGAATGGAGTATCCCATATGCATTATGCTCATAAGAGTTAAGGTATATCTACCGTAAATATTGGCAGAGATAAGCGTAAACCGTTTGCAGTACTGGGATTTTAAGAACTCTGAAATCACAAATGGCTTATTTTGAGGAGTAATCTGACCGGTGGATTCTATGACGGATAATTTGCCTTGCATTGAGGCGATGCGAGTGAATGCTTGCATGGTCGGACATGCGTCAAAGTACTTCCAAATGTACTTTACTTTTACTAGCTACTTGGCTATTTTAACTAGGAATATTCATTGTGTGAACGGGTACACGCGCTCTCCATTGTCTGAGCCTTAAATCATATCCTACTTGGCAGCCTAGGGCCCATCTGACACGCGTCAGGTAGTTACCGAATCTAAAATAGATATTCCAGTAATAGAGTATTGTGTATACCTTCAGGCGAAAATTGACAAATGGGATCTGTTTGAATATATGTGGGATCGTCACTCTGGTCGTTGGATAGGGCTGTGTGTAAAGGATGCTCCAGAATGTGCCCGTTTGCGCGAACTGAAGCCCTTCACTGAGTCGAAACTCTGCATGGCAGGTGGCTTCGCCCGTCACCGTGAGTCCCCTACTGGTTCGATGTCCCTCACTGTGGATATACAGTCGGCCCTGGGGGCTCTACATCTCTGGGCTGTAGAAATGGTAGAGTGGGTGCGGATTCAGCGCCCCTGGTCCTTCAAGCTGCCAGGCGTGGAGGTGCAGGGGCCAGCTGCGGCGGTCTTTTCTTCCGTCACCACTGGAAGGAAGAATTCTTTCGAAAATAGCGATAACGAGAAAAAGGAAAGAAAAGTTAGAAGCTACAGTCCCGTTTTGAAAATCAGGAGAAGAAAAGGCGGTCGTAAAGATCACTCCGAAGCCGAAAAGTAGAAATGCTGAAATGTATAAATTTGTTTCATTTTGTACATATTAATAAAGCTGTAGAAACTAGCTTATTCCCGTCTTTTTCGTACAAGTTAATAAATACAGCTGTAGTCTTGATACAGTCCGCAAATTTGATTGAAAATTTTCGGCATATTTGGTTCGGTAGAATGTGGTATGATTGGTGTCGTAGAACCCCAGGTTTCTGCGGACAAGGGGCTAGCTAGCTCACATCTTAGCCGGATGTAGACCATCTGTAAATGCGTGTGTTTGCGTGTCGCTACATCCACTAGCTGGAGCTGGACGGGCCGCTGTATCACCGCTTGGGTTCGTTTCAGGAGGATTCACTGTTCCCTCTGTATCGTGAATTCAGGTCTTTCATTGGTGCGTATCACTCCCTGTGTAAGTCATGGAGGCGATGTACTATTGTCAAGTGATACTTTGATAACATCCAGTAGCCTTCGAATCCCGAGATGCAACATTTCGAATAAATCGGTGGTTAATGTTTCAATAAAATTTAGATGCTCCCAGCTACCTCGGTTTCAGCATTGAACCTAGAGGCTAGATTTCAAGCTCCTCAGTCAGGACTTGTTAGGCTGCACTTGTAAATGGTTAAACGGTGGGGGTATTTCACTCGTCGAGGTTGCGTGTTGAAATTAGTGTCAAACAGATAAACTTGAAGTCAATCACTGTGCAGAGGTTCTCGCTTCTCATGCACACTTCCCATGCGGAAATTGTCAGATCAAAAGGTTTTATGACCGTGTATGGCTAGGCAGAGAGTTGGCCTATCGGCGATAATACCGTACTACAGGTTGAATCTGAAACTGGTTCAACTAGAAATGCAGCGGTTTCGAATTATAGGAGTTGAAATGTGACCAGAGTAATGTTGGATTGGTTCCCAGGCGTGGCCGAAGCTGCTTTTTGTGCCACCTGTTTGAGGTGAGACGGCGACAGTGGCACTGGCATACGGTGGTGGTTGCAGCTGCGACAGTGGCTTCTAATTTAAAAAGGGTCATATCAAAGTGCAATGATTCATTGATTTATGAGCTAGACACCCTCCAGTCTCGTGCCCTAGTTTTTTACTCATGAGCTCATTTTAGATGTTTCTATCACAAAAGACGATTGTCTATGGCTTAAAACACCAATCCACGTAATTATGATTCTAGTGTGAATGCGATGCACGGAAATTTAGAAATTAAGGAAAAACATTTCTCCCTACCAAGGTGCTAACTAATAGTATAAATTGATATTCTACTAAATGGGTCCAATATTTAAAGAGCTCTTGTTCCATTAAGATGAAAAGATGAAAGTTGCTACATCGTCGTCACAACAGCTATCTCTACTTTGCATTAATAAAAACCACCCATCCTAAAAGTTAAACTAGATGTCTGCAAAGCCTTACTGGGGGCAGAGCCCTAATTTGGCGGTTGTCTTAATCATTGAGTGCTTCAGGTTGCATAACGGCTAAAAAAGTGACAGTATATGGCTAATTCTGAAGTAAGGGTGAATTTATTAGCTATGAGATGTAGGGTAAGTGGAGATGTAATACACACGAGCATATTTACCAAGATTTCGCTTCACGAACAAAAAATTGCAGGGTACCATTAAGCTTCTACCACGACGATAGATGGATGGTCAACAGTGCCAGTTGTTCCTGAACCTAGGGGAGGTCTTGGCAATTTTACCCCCCGTTCCATTTTATTGTTATCAAAAGCAAAGAGTACCACTTCGTAACCACGCTGCTACTTAGCAGCAAATACCTGGGAAAAATCAAGTCTCAGATCATTTATTTTTTTCTTGGAAAGGCGTTATCTTTAGCATTGGAAAATGTTACATGGTATCCCTCCTTTTAAATGGAAGACAGTGGGCACTGAATTGTAGGCTTTAATTACTAGTCCATCAGAGCGCTAATAATTTTCGAAGAGTGATTGCTTTTCTTTAGGTGTGACCCAACATGTTCAGGCTGGTTTTGGCGTATTTTCTCAACCAAAGTATTAGCAGCAATTGCGAGTTTTTTTACCAGTTGAGCTGCCGTGAAAACAAAAGTAAATGAATGTCCCTTTGGTTTACTTGAGATTTTGGGAGGCCGTTGGAGCGAAATCCGCCGCACGTAAAATAAGCGTTTATTTTCAAATGAAAGTAAATGTCACTCGTACTGGTGATAAATGTCGATGAAACACTTATCAAGATAAGAAAAATGACAGAGTAACACCGCAAGCATACTATGTCAATTTAAATTGAAATACGAAACCGGTAGCCTTCAGCATTACTTTTGACACTAGCGAATTTACTCAATAAGTTAGCATCAGAGCAATCTCATGATCCACGAAGATTTTCCTCATAGCGAGTGAGAGCATCTGTGCCATATTTAAATTTCTAGTCAATTTTTCGATCCAAAGACTAAGTAAAAAGTTGTCCCTATGGGAGCAAGTACAATCAAATTCCGGTCGTGCACCAAACATTCCTGATGAAACGATTGATCCGCAAGTGAACTTGTCCATACTTGAATAAAAACGAAGCAAATATCCACATACACGCAAACACAGATTTCCTCCTTTTTCACTTAGCTGTAGTGAACTCCATTCCCGCGACGACGTTCAGTGGACACGAAGCTGACTAGGATGAATCGAAAGTCCCGCTGTGCAGCTACAAGCGCACAGCGATGGCCAACTCTCGTGCATCTACCCCCCGATTAAATGCTGTAGATTCTCGTACTTCACCAACCCTGTACCTAAAAAACTAGCCTAGGATAACCATCGCTACTGTCCACGAGTCAGCCGAACTAGCAAGCGCCACAGCAGCCGGGAACATGCCTAGAGAGCAAGAGGAGCCCACTCCGGCAGCCGGCCTTAGACCTAGGTTTACATTCACACCATACGTTTGATCTGCACGCACACCAGGAGGTATCCACGCCCCGCAGAAACCTGCAACCCGATCAGGCCGCTTAATTTACCCACCTTCCACACTATCCGCTCAGTCTTCACGTCAGGTTAAAAAAGAAGAAGCAAGGTAGGTAGGCGGCACACAACCACCGGGTCACATTGCACCTCTTATCGAAGACAGTTGAGGGCATTCACCAAAAGCACCATTTACCCCAGGATGAGGCAACAAATGTTTTGATTTCATTCACAGCGAACACTTAAGTACTGGAGCAACTAACTAGAAAGGTACTAGTTGCGATGGGAGTAATACAACCCAGCCGATGATAAGATAGATGGTAGTCACTTTTGTTCGTTAATCTACAAGGTAGGACAGCATGATAGACTTAAAAATTGGGAAAGGGGAGTGAGTGGGTGTCGGTGAGACACACAAATCGTCTTGTCAAGTTTTAAAGTATAGGGTTACATACTTCCATAGATAAATGCAACCGTTGTTAGAAAAAACGGCAAGACACCAAGGGGAGGAGCGAAGCAGAGCGATGAACTGAACTGCGCTCGAGCACGTGCTTGTCTGTCCGAGATAAGCGGGAAGGAAACGTAAAAGAACTCATTTACAAAAGGCATCATTGAATCGGTGGATTTGTGTGCGGATGCGCATGTATTATATAGAAGAGTATATGACGTGGGAACTATCGACGGCAGCACCCAAGAGCCGTGCGCAGACGTTCAGAATTCGATTCCGAGGAGGACAAAGGAGGATGGGAAGGGACACAAGGCACCGCTGTCAACTGTACCAGAGGCATGAGGTAATAGAAGGAATGGAAATACTATACAGACGAATTTATTAACCGTGCACGTTCGCACGCGCGCGTCTGTGTCGGAGGGAGGGTGTTGTACGCATACACAAGACAACAAGTAGTAAAAAAATCGCGATTCCCATGGCGTACCTCTGAGTGGGCTGGGGTTCTTGTACGCAAAGGATGGGATAATAATGGATTTTAAAATGCAAAGGAGTGTGCATTATAAAAGCAGATAAAACACCGCAAACGCTCAGACTATCGTAGAGCTGAGTTGGTTCGGATACGGTAGAAGTAAACGGCGCAGTCAACAGATCACCCAAAAGAGTGGTGATTAGAGACATTTTGTTGCTGCTGGGATTGCAACTGCTGCTGCACCTGGGCTTGGAGATATTGATGCTGTGCTTGCACCTAAAACAGAAGTGGTGATGGTTGCATTCTAAAAAAGCTTATTTGATGTAGCAACATAAAAAGGTTTAATAAAATGCAGGAATCAGAAGGGATACACAAAAAGGGACCTCCTTATACTTATCTGGTCAAAATTCATCGGGGTAAATTGGGGCGTTTTATTCGCCCTGAACCTAGAATATTCGTGGTCAATGTTGATGAGTTAACCGTGACGACTGAAGTATTTAGTGAAATACTTCAAATAACCACGGAATAAATACATGATAAGCTAAGCGACAATCATTAAGAGGTTATTCAAAGCAAATATGGCGTGAAAAAGCTATACCTGAACTTGAGCCTGGACCTGCTGTGCATGAAGAAATTGCTGTTGTTGTTGCTGCTGCTGTTGTGCATCCGAAGGATTATTGGGCTGTTGCTGCTGCTGGTAGACGCCAGCTGGGGACGAAGCAGTCCACCTCTGCTGTTGCTGTTGTTGTGCAGTCACGGCAGTCATTTGCTGGGACTGCGCCTGGACCTGTTGGGCCGGCGTAAAAGCTTGAATCATACCTAAAGAAGGAAAGGTAGGCATGAGTTACTCATTTTAACCAACAGATGAGCGACAAGGACTGCATAAAGTTTGGAATCACCAGGTAGCTGATGAGCGGCGGCATAAGCAGCGGAGAGCTGGTGGAGCTGTTGAGGATTGAGGGAATGTTGCTGCTGGCTGACGGTGGGGGAGACAGTTGAAGGAGGTGGTGCTGCTTGAGGAGTGGTGGGGGTGACAGCTGTGGGTGCGGATGAGGCAGTCGCCGTTGGGACCACAGAAAAAGAGGCACCGCTCGCATACATCATTTGTTGGTGTTGCTGGGCCGCGGCCGCCTGCTGCTGCTGGGCTACTGCTATTGCCGTCGCCTGATGTTGAGCTGCTGCGGCCGCTGCAGCCTGTTATACGAAGAGGGGAATTGAAACAATCACCGATCTGCTTTTATCAAATGTGCATTACCTATCCCTTAAATCAGTAGTTTTTTTGGTAATTTTAAGTCGGAGCATTCAGCCAAGATGCACTGACTTTATTGTGGCCTGAGAAATAAGGAAAACTGACTGCCTTGAGCTATTAAATGCAAGAAATATGAACGCAGAACATAATCACAATAAATGGATATTCCGGAACAGCTCAATCACTACCCGTTGGCTTTGATAATATCACTATACACTGTACAGCATACAGCATTGGACGACACGTAAATGAAATAAAGGCACTAAAAACATTACAATGAAAAACAGCTACACCTTTGATTAAAATTTAAGGTTATATTGCATAGTCCTTAGAGAGATGGACTGACGTGCGACTAGGAAGGAAGGCAGAATGACTGAGAAATAGTGAGAGACCATGTAAATTACTGGCGAAAACTAACAATCAACTTCTCATTAAAACGCCCTATCCTGAGAAGGTAACTGGGACGCAGCAGAAACCATACCTAAATTGTCTCCACTTGAACAGATGTAATTTACTAAACACCCCCTTACACCTTGCGGTCGAGAATGTAAAACGGATCATTGGCCAAAAGGCACCGAGTGGGTCATTTCACCCTGCTTTTTCAGAATTTCATCGTCGGTTAGATAATCTCTATGCCATCTCAGCTTTTATAGGAGGATGTGCAAAAATATCCTAGATTATTTACTATTTTTCGACTGCCTCAATAGAGTTAATCGCCAAAAAAGCAGCAATAGACCATTCCTAATATTTCAGGCAATAGTAAAAAAAACCGCGAAAGATCAGACAGTCATGCGGATAAAAGCGCAAGAACACCTCTTTCATTTAAATGTTAAAGCCATCCAGTTACAATGTGATTTTACAGTTATAAAAAACATGAAAACACAACTAATGCTAGTTACGCATATAGACCAAGTAAATCACGGTATATGACCACCAGAACCGTAAAGCCGTGCATAAAATTCCATAAAAATGGAAATATTCTCTCAACCGATGACACCCATATATGCATTAGCCAGGCCCTCTAAGACAAGCGTGAGCGCCAGCCACATCTAAAAAGTCAAAGGACAACGACTTGACATCAAGGTTTACGGCCCCGCACTCGAAGAAGCGCACAGGCTAGAGTCACACGCGCACATGTACAAACGTGGTGACTAAGTCAAGAGTTATTCATGATGGGACGCACGCACGCACATGGGTTGGGGAGAAAGCAGGCGAGCGAACACACCAACGCTTGCATGCATGCACGCACCAAGGCCAAGCCTGTCCGTGTGGGTGCAACGTACGCACGCAAGCGTCCAACTCAGGTGGACTTGGAAGAGACACACGCAAGCGTGCAGCGAGCGCGCATACGCACGCAAACGCACACACATTCAGGTATACGATCGATAAAAGACAGACGAGGGAATAACGCGGGGCACGTCCATTTGGGTGCGTACGCACGCACGCACAAAGCACACAACTGTGCGAACGTGGGGATTGTCTCCGAACGAATTACTTTGACAAGCGTGCGAGCGCATGCACCAGGAGGAGAGGGGCGGGGAGAGGTAAAATTATCGTATAGCAACACAACACTGCAAATTAGTAGAACAGGGGAAGAAACCTCAGCGAGCAAAGGCAAAATTTGTGGTTAGAAGCGCAGACTTCATTGGTTTGCCCGTCATTCACTTAAAAATTACTCACACCAAGCTTATCATAGCAAAAACTCGCTAACTGGTCCAGATATGTTAAAAGATATGACGAATTGGCACTGCAGACATAAACATTTAACCTGAGGCTAACTAGTAATTAATTCGCCAAAAAGTTTACATGTTGTGATTAGGTGTATGGCGATTCATAACGAGTTTAAAATTCAGTGCTCAATCATTTCCAAAATCATAGTAGATGTGCAACAGGTGCATGAACAATAGCACATCAGCGCTTGAAGGCAACATCAACCATTTGCAAAATCGCTTACGGGGAGGCAATGTGATGGAGAAATGCTTATAAGATATGCGTAGGGATTTTACCGAGATAGGTAATAGTCGGCACGCCCAAAGAACACTCATGGCTTTAAAAGCACAAATCAGGCAACTGTAATTTACCATATGGAAGACAATAAAGCCAAACCATTCAAAAAATGAGGGAAAAGTCAGACAGATCTTGCATACTAAATAGAAATTATTGCCAAAAAACCTAGACAGAGGAGCAGTACCAAGGCTACGAAAAACAATAAGCAACAAGGAGTTGGAATAACCAAATCAACCATAAACAAAATGATAGTGAAAAGCATAGGAAAACTAGCTATGTAAATCAGTTTCAGTGAACCTATTTAAAGTTTAGGAGATGAACTATTAACTAAAGGAACAACTTGGTTGTAGAAAGAGATCCCAATTGCAAGTCTGTTAACAAATAACATCTAAACCACCAGGCGTACCATAATGCGCGAAGAACATGTTATTTTAATTATTTCAACAAAACGTCCCCTCGTGGCTTTAGATCTGTGGACGAAAGACAGTGAAACGCTCAAAAATGATACTAAGTATAAAAAGGATAAGAACGAAAAGACAGCAAAACCCTACGACTCTCAATTACCTGCTGCTGCAACTGGATTTGGTATTGGGCCTGCTGCTGTTGCAGCTGAAAATGCTGGGCAGCTTGGGTATATTGTTGATGGAGCTGAGCATTTTGGGCATGATAATGACCGGCCTGAATGCCGTTGTACTGCGCCATAATGCGTTGAGGCGACTGCTGCAAAAGCGCCGTATTTTGGACTAGAGAGCGTGACAATAAATGAAGGGGAAAGTACCTGTGAAACGTGGATTACACTGCATCTGTCTCTGAACTTGCGGAAATCCATAGGCACCCATCTGACCAAATCCCATAATTTGTGTTCCATTGTTACACGCATTAATTTGACCATAGCTACCCATTGCATTGGGCCTCCGTGGCTGAGTAGCAGACTTCCTGACAAGAGCAGGAAGTGTCCGCTCTTCGGGCGGTTTATCAGCATACTCAACAGCCTCAGAAATAACGTGGGATATGACCTCCTCAAGATGGGTAAGAGCTTCTTCGCTCGATTTTAAATGAGAATCATTCTCTAAAAGCAAAAGCCCTCATTATGTACATTCGAACGAGTACATTAAAGCCACCAAATTCTATTAGGAAAACAGGGATACGAAGACCAATGGACATCTCAAAGTTCAGGTACTTCCTCATATACGGCAACGTAGGCATGAGTAAATGAGCAATTAGTGCGGCAATATTAACTGGAAAAAATGTCAATAACCATGCACAGTTATGAATTCGAGAATAGATTTAATGGTACAAAGATGCTCAGGAAGGCATGAAACAAAAATCAAAGGAGAACATCACACAGGTTACATTTGAATAATTCCCAAGCTAGAAATTGTCGGAGGTACGAACCTTGTAAGACGCTGTCAACGTGCTCAGACGTAACAGCCATCATAGCAAAAAGCATAGACCACCTAAATTTTTTACTGACGGCGCTGATGATATGAAGCGAAGCATTTAAACGCAAAACCGCTTTGCTGTTATTCCGATATTCCATCACGGTAGAAAAAAATTAAATGCAAAATCAGAACGATGCGATTTATTTGCTAATTGTTTTGCTGAACATCTTAGTCTAAATGACACAACACCACCACAATTTGGGCCAAAATTTTGCAAATATATCTATTAAAACACTGATTCCATTGCTTAAGTGTGAATGGATATCTTCGAAAATACTCCTAAGTTTTGCCTCTACGCAAATCAGTTTGTAAGTAGAGGTGAATGTGTTAAAACATCCAGTAGTCCACTACCAAAATTGTTGCAAGATCGGGATCCCTGCAAATGCAATAAACGCCCTGGTACCAGATGTCCTCTAAGGTACAGCCAATACAATGTTGTGCCCGGTACCTGTTACCACTCATTTATGCTTAAATGAAGCCGAGATTATTCAAGTCAGTTCTTACGAGAAATAATACCGCAGGTAAACCGTTAGTGTACCAGTATAGTAAATGGACTGTGCCATAGAGTAGAATTTCAAACCACAGAATCCTCATGTAGCAAGCTTAGGCTTCTCTGAAAACGAAATAAGTACACAATACTTAGGCAGAACATATGTACATACTCAACGTGCAGAAGGGTTGGTGGCTACTAACAAGGACCGGAGACCAGCCGAACCGGCCAGGTACAATGGCTAAGACAGAGTGGCCCTTTAACAAAACCGACAGTTATACATGCAATCAGCGTACTAAACCACATGTTTGTCGATACAAATACTCCAGAAGTGCTAAACCTACTCAGCTATCTGTCAAGTTAGTTATGACAACAAGGTGAGATTTTGAAGAAAATGGGTTGTATCTGTTGTATTATGCTGCAATTCCTGATCGTTTATTGTAGTCTCTAAGCTTTCCCTGATTTAAAATAAGTAGAAGTGCACCAGCAATATATGGATGAGCTATGAGGCTATCAAAGCGATTGGGGGCCATACCGCTGATTGGGAGCAAATTCTGAGGAGTTTTAAGTACTTTAGTGGTTAAGCACCAAACTACCAAAATACCAATTCATTGACTTAGTCTCGCCTTTTGAACATCAACCTCGGCGACGGTGCGTTAGAAACTAGCTCGAAAAAGGAGCACCAATCACCGAATTTTCCTGCATGTGAGAAGGCATATGTTTTCAATGTTGATCGTAGATCTTGACAGTTCTATTATAGCTGGCCTTCCATCCACTTTGTGAGTACCACCGGGGGAAGAAATGCGTTAACTACGTACTACTTAAGGATGGACGATGCTCTACAATTCTCTGAAAGCAGTGCTTTTCAATAAAAGACAAGAATTAAGGTAATTTAGCAGGGCTAACTTGTCAGTGCTGCCAAACCGTCTCTCTGGATTCCATTCAGCTGGTAGAAACCTGAAGGACGTTGCTGTTTCACGTTATTAACATTTTCATATGTGTGCCGTAGACAACTTCATCGGGGGTTTTTCCAAAGCCTTCAAGACCACTGTTACCTCGGTGGTTAATAACAATCTTTTAGAAAACAAAATTGAGAAAAGTCCCAAGAATGGACGTCATTTCTACCCTTCTGTTGCAGATCCTGCCATTCACAGTAGGCGGACTTATTCTGCACCGCCACCACTGCTCGCCTCGAGTCATCGCTAACGTCGTCATAAGCCAAAGGAGTGTAGGAAAACATGTTACTAACGTACAAACAAATCGGGTAGCTATTACCATAGCACGACTACCGTAACGCAGAGCGGAATTACAGCCTGTGGGGAATGAAGTCTCCGCATGATTTAACACACAATTAAGCAATACGGCATTACACCCCTACATCCATTTAAGAACGAAACATGTGTTGCCTTTAGACGATACCACTTTCGGCTCATGCAAAAAATGTTGTTTACATTTGAATTTCAAGTTCACGAACACTCCCCAGCACCTACATTGCGATCAATTGATGTATTTTTTGAACTGAACCGACCATTAACCCGTTAGGCACGGAAAGGACTAACATTGTTTTTAAAGTAATTTGCAACAGGCGTTGCTGAATGACAAATCCTTTTACAATGAAAACAACGAAATCCATTCGGCAACTATGCAGCAATCACAGTCCCATAGAGGAAGGTACTGACCTGAGGCCTGTTTGCGGCTGACATGGAGAAACCAACCCTCCCAAAAATGACAACTACTAACGCTGACTTTGTTGAACTGAGGCTGTTTCCACCCACCCGAATGCAACTTAAATGCTTCACCTCGGTGCAGAGCATCTGACTAGAGCATGGTCGATACAGAGAAATCGAAAATTACTTGGCCGATTCCTCTAAATTTCCATGTCCTCTACAACCCCCCCACAGAAAACAGTCTAGCATTGGTCACTTGCATCATAATTGCGTTCAACAATTACTCAAAGATGGAATAGAACGTATATAAACAGGGTCAAGTAGGTGATCGCATCCAAAAAACACAGTCTGCAAGAAAAAAAGATCTCATGACAGCAATAAAGAGGACACAAGTCGGAAAGGTAATAAAATATAAAGGCACTTTTTACTGTAACGAAGTTGATTTCAAATTGGAAACATTGGCTTTCGGTTGAGGAATGAGCGAATTTGGGGACCTATTTCGATGAAGCCACATGAAGTTGCTGATCAAGTGGGATCAAAAGGGGATCTGAACACTGTTTCCGATTCTTGAAGTACAAATGAATGACAAGACAGGCGCATAATATCGTAAGTGATGCGAAGAGGCAGGCGAGGATGAAGTTAATGTCAGCCCGGCTCTTGGATCCTCCATGGCCAACTCGGAACTCACAACGCTCACCAGCCCACAAGTGCTGCGGGCACAGGCATCCTACACACTGCGCCAGGCCGTAGGGATCCCGTGCGCATTCGAAGCAGGAGCCGCCATTGAAGCAAAACCTATTGCAATGACTCTGCTCTGATGCTTTCATCAGAAAAGCTGCCAAAATAGACAACACTACCAGAGTATTTTGCAAAAATATGCACATTAGCACACATGCAGCATTGCACTTATTCGTTAGAGGACAACGTTACAAGAGGATGCTTGAATGAGCGGGTTGCATATAAGATATTGCACAAGCAGAGCAGGTGTTCACTCCTTAAAGTTAATAAGTAAGCAGGTCCGAAACCTATGGAAAGGAATGATATCGGTTTTCAATCACCCAAAGTATTTGGTAATTGTGAAACGCATAAGATTACAGATACTAGACACTATAAGGTGACATGGTCAAAATGTATCATGTGCAATGCTCTGGACGCTATTACGGCGGCGCACAGATTCACGGTGAGTGAATGGGAGCAAGAAACTAGTGGGTGCTGAGTCTCGAGATCAACGACGATCGGCATGTTACTGCACACCACTCTGGACTAGAAATTTGGCAGACGATATGCACCACCAAATTATTATGGAGGGTCGATACACTGTAACTACTTGCGCAGCAGAATGCAAAACAACATAACATCATCATTCGTGCACTTGCGACATTTCATTTATACCATAACATTTTATAGAGATGCCGATGACGAATTGAGCAAAATAAGATTCGCGTTCATATGGCTGGATAGATGGATATAAGGCATAAAAGTTGTGATCAAAGAGAAAGGAACATATAAAAGCGCAAATGTCCAGCCTCATAAAGGAGCACAGTAAGAAATAATGGTTCTTATGAAAACGAAAAATTTAAACAGTAAAACCATGAAGTACAGAAAGCCCTGATCACTGTCAGTAGACAGAAGATAAAACATATAAACAGCAACATAATGTAGGTCAATAGCCACTTAAAGGGACATTTAAGCGCTAGATAATTTTGAAAACCCATTATATGAAGTGGTTCCTGAATGAATGCAATTTGCGGAATAACATGACAATAAAAAAAATCGCAGCTAAGCTCCACAAAATACAAATTTAAAAAAGCGAAGCCCGAAACTTGCGTCAAAAAACCTCTTCCACAGATAAATGAGATGTCGGAAAACAGGTAGTTATGGCAAATTCAGAGCTATGTACTCTATGAAATTTAGGAGTGGGAACGAACCTTTGCAACTTCATCGACATCTAGGTAGGGGATCTCATTATCCAGTTTCGATAGCGATCCAAAAGATGATTTCTAATCGCCTCACTTTTACATCAAATAAAATAACCTATTTTCATATTATTCTATTATTGCGGAAGTATAAAGCTTTGAAGTAGGAAGGGAATATGGAGAATGCACTTCTAAATGAAGATGGAGAACGACTAGAAATCCTCTAATTTAAAATCGGGAAAAATATCATCTCAAATTACCACCAGTTGAATAACTTCGATGAAGTGACAGTTTGATTTACTGAACAGATTCATATCAAACTACGCTAAAAATTGTATTCCCATTGATAACGCAAACTCCATAATCGACTTCAACAAAATATGTTAGGAGATACAATCGCAAACGAAAAAAACACCGGACAAACCAGCTATCAGACTGTAGCTCTTGCGGACAAAAAAAGCGATAAATGAAACCGTATACCAATCAGGGTAAGAAAATTACTAGTACAATATGCATAAAGCCTTGTAAGATGTAAATGTCCCGAAGTTCAAAAAAGAGAGGATAAAATATGAAAAGTGTGCAAACTGATAACCCGAACCCCAAGATGAAAGGAAAACAAACAAGGCGCATTATATTTACTTTTTTTAAAAAAGGAATCTACAAATACTAAGCTATTCCTAAAAACGGGCGTTTACGGTCTTATAAAGTCATAATAGAAGGTAATTCTAAGAAGACAATGAAAACGAAGTTAATAATGTTTAGAAATTTCGGGGTACAGATTGTGCATCAAATATAATTACCGTTTTTCGAGTGTTTTAGTAGGCCGAAAATGCAACATTCCATTAGTATTAGGCAATCATACCAAAAGAAAAGTGATATTTTTATTGAATTCTAAAATTTTGGCTGCAGCCATTAGCTAATTAAAACTGGCTTAGGATTCTCGTTGTATAAACATCGATTAGGCAATGCTAATCCACTCATTTAAGTGAAAGGCAAAATCCACGCAAAAAATAGCTTGTATCATAGATCAGAGTAGTGCGAGCATTTGTTCATCAAAGTAAAATTTGTGTAAGTGTCTAATACTTCAGTTTTCATTATTTACGTCTTTTTAAATCGTCTTTTGATATTATTGTGCAATGAGTTTAGCGCCGGTCTTTCGCTTGTGGTTTTCACATTGTTAAAGCGAGTAGAATGGCCAAATAGGGGCATTCCCCACTGATAACATCTTTAAAAGCGTAGTGATGAGATGAACACATGTTTAGATTGTAATACCATGGTGGTTTATCCCTCGGTGCTGGTGAGGTGCCACTTTTGAACTCTTGAATTTTAATTTTTGTACTTCGCTGGGTGGACCGGTCTTGGGGTCATGCCAGTAGCCCAAACACCTTTGCTGTGCTAAATACATATATTCTGCCCGAGTACTGTGTCTTCTTTTGTCTGCAGGGAAGTCTCGGGACCCTACAAGATTGCACTTGTCCCTTGGGAACTGGTGACAGTTGTTCCGTAGCGATAATTGTGTTAACAAGACGCTTTTATTTAAAAATATGTACCACAACTGCAGGATGAGGCTCGTAGACCTCCTCTTCCCTGGTCCTCATAACCTTAGAACACCCAGGTTGATTTGGCTTCAACATGTTTATTAGGACAATTACGGAACTTGGGGTGGGCGTGGACGCGGAACCGCATCCGGGGTTGCGGAACGTTGACGCCTCAGTCACGAGGCTCGAATTGTCTACCCGCCTACCCTCTCAAAGGCACATTAAAACTATACAAGCTATTGCACAATAGTTCGGATTAAACTCTTGGGTCTTATGTATTTGTATTTCCCATTACATCTGCAACAAATCTGTGCAGATCAAGTCAACACTGCCTTGAGTCAGCTTAAATTTCTATTAATGAGTTTGATTTTGCTGCGCGATTAAGGATTTAAAATTCGATAGCGTGACAAAAGCTGCACATAGTCGAAGGGTGTGTTATTTTTTCTTGCTTTATTTGCATGCCATGACCTTGCAGCCTCGTTTGGAATGTTCTCTGGTTAGTAGGCGATCTGGGTTTTCACTAACGTTGAGGGCTTTGTGATGGCCGTTGATTTGTTGAAGTTCGGTTCTTGCACTGTCTCAAATGTCGTAGATAAATCTACAGTGTCGGTGAAGTCATTTTGGGATGTGAGTCAGCTTGTGTGTTTGTATAATCATGAGTTTTAGTTTTGCCATACTTTGTTCATCTTGGCTCCTAAAGGCAATTAATATTTAGAGCAACAGATTATGACTATTACAAATTACTTCTCTTCGTTGTAAATATACATAGTTGGGTGGTTTGACTGCTTGTGCTAGGGTACACCTTGTGTGATTGCACTGCTCAGGCGTTTTGGATGTGCGTTCTGCCGGCTTCATGCTCTTGAATTGAGCCGGTTTCAGTCCGCTTTCCAAGCCAAGGGGGTTCGCTTAATTGGTATTGGACACGACACCGAAGGTGTTGAGGAGTTTAGAGAGGGACAGTTCTTTTCTGGCGGTAAGTTTTCATCAATGATACCTGTGGGTTGGATTTTTTAGCGCTTAACATCTAATAGTATATTGGCTATGAATTCGTGTTCCTTTGTAGGATTTAGTTCCCGTTTTTCTTACTAATTACTTGATGCTCATTAAAGTGCTTGTGCTCCTGGGGCTACTTTGAAGTATCTGTGCGTTTAGAGCTGTATTTGGACGAGAAGAAGGAAACCTACGCAGTCCTGGGCTGCGGAAGCGTAGGATTAGTTCCTGGAATGTTTTCGCTTATTCAAAGTGCTGGTAGAAACCTTATACGCGAAACAAAGGTATTCGTTAGCCTTTAATGACCTTGTCCCACTCTTATTCATGTACTTAATGTACTTCATTTCTAGGGAAAAAACGTTGTGGGCAATTTAAAAGGTGACGGATGGCAAACTGGTGGTCTGGTTGTGGTTGACAAAGGTAATTTGATCTCTGTGAACTAAGGAACTATTTCTTTGGGTTGTTCTTTGCAATCAAAATTTTTTGTATCCTTATGGAACTTACATAACAAACAACGGAGTTATTTTCCATATTAAATAATGATTCTTTCTGTTTAAGCGGACCAATTTCTTTACATTAGTGTATTAGCTTAAGTTCCATAGAGGCAGGTGAAATATTGCTCTTGTCGAATATGTGATTTTTGACAATTTTATCAAACCTCTGGAGTAACTCTTTTTGAAATTTCAGATGGTAGCCTATTGTACTTTTTCAAACAGACTAAGGTCACCGATAATCCGGATTACGTTAAAATAAAGGAGTTATTCAACCTGAAGGAAGAAGATCTTGCTCCCCTAAAGGGTAACCAACCCAAAGCTGTGTGCAACTAACACTAGAACCTGTTGCTTGTAGGTGTTAGTATTCACCTATTTTTTTGAGGACCTCTCTTTAGTCCCCCTTTTAATGTCGGACACTTCTAAATCTTACTCTAATTTTACTAAGTGCATACTCTTGCTCTTAAACTCTTGGATGGTGACTTGATAAAGTGCCAGTTTAGTAATTAGGACATGTAAGTTATCATTGATCCGCGTTTTATCTTCACATGAGAGCCTTTGCATTAGCTACCTAAACGGCCAGGTTAACTGTGTCTGGTGACTGGCCTTCTTTAGTTTATTTAAATGTCGGAGCGTTCTTTGAGGGAAACTTTGATAGTCAATGAGAGTAAATCGACTGATAATTTCGCGTCGGCCATTGCTCCACTTTCATTCTTCCCTGGGTTTATTGCTCTGCATGCTATTATCCAAGGGCACACTAGAAACTGTTAAATTGGAATGCAGATATATTATCGTGCCTTCCCGATTAATGGTAGAACTGACACCCTGCGAATAGTCCTCATTTGGTTTGGGTTGTTATTTGGCGATTTTAGCCTTCTGCTACCAGGTTTTGTTGTGTCTTTCCTACTAGCTAGAAATTCAATAATAAATTTGTCCTCTCTTTCGGCCTCATTGATGCGATTGAGTTAAATGTATGGTGAAAGTACTTAACTGTCAGCACGACACCAATGAAAAGCAAAGTACGCGGGGTCGGGACGCAGGCTTTACCTAATGTCATTCGCTGACATAACCGGAAAAATCTACACTACTGTAAGATTACGTAGTAATAAACTGTGGCATTCAATAGATTTTAAATTCAGCACTTTTAGGCTTCATTCCCGCCATTTCGGCATAAATGAATTGCCAATTTGTGTAGTCGTCGCACATGATTCTCGTTTAAGGCAATGTATTAATTTAACCGATTTTACTCAACATGGTAGTTTGTGTTCTCATCTGATAGTTGTATGTAGCTACAAAGAAAGAAGAATTGGGTGGAAGCTTCTTTTGCGAAAAGTCTGGTAGTTGAGTAACCAGGCCTCATTTTAATCCGCAAACTAGTAGGAAGTTTAACATAAAAATCACTAGGCTGATTAAACGAAAACTACAGCACGATAAGCGAAAATAGTGGAAGTGGTTGAGGTGTGTTCATAAATGTAGTTTACAAATATTCAACCCCCTGCAAAGCGGAGCACACTATATTTTGTTCAGTCCAAGATATATATATATATATATATATATATATATATATATATATATATA